GTGTTGCTGGGAAAAAGATAATTCAGGGTGTGAGAGGGGATTTGAAGTCTAGAATAGCTGCTACGCAGCGTGCTACGGGTTACTTGTATGGGTTACTTACCACTCAAGATCTGAATTGTGCCCTATGAAACTTCCCAGTAAGTCGGGTTGGAGGTTGTAAGTTTGCTGGCTGGGAACTCTTCCATCAGTCTTGCTGGGAGTGAGGAACAGATAATTTTTTTCCAGCAATCTCCCAAAATGCTTAAAATAGTCTCAGAAAACTTTATTCACGCTTTGTTGTTGTTTTTAGGTCTTTTTCTCAAAATTTCCCGTTGGCTGCCCCCGTAGACTGTTCACAGTCCTCTATTTTTCCGTAAGATCGTCGAGATCGAGCGCTTTGCGTTTCGGGCTGCATCTTGCATGAGTGTCAAAACTACTTAGCGGGCAGGGGGCGGTTTGGGAGGAAGCGCTATAATCCCCGACGCCCGCCCCCTCGGTACATTTGAAAACCAAGATGGCTGCCATTAAAAGACGCGCTATATCTCAACGATCTCACGAAAAAATAGGGGACTGTGAACAGTCTATGTGAACAGAGTCTCTTAACCTCTCTTCGATCTTGTACGCTTAGATATTGCGTATTCTCAATGTATTAGGACTATTAGGGACATTAAGTCTTCGTAAACGAGTTTTATGTATGGGATAAACTATAGTCACTGTATAGTGATTTAATAGGCCGTCGATAAAACCAGGAACACGGAACATTCCGGAACATCCCGGAACATCCCGGAACATGAAAAAATAAAAATAATTTTCATGAAAAAAAATATAATAAAATAATAATAATAAAATAATTTTTGTAAAAATTAATAATAACGTAAAATAACAAAAGAAAAACGAAAAATAATCAATTAATCAAGAAAAAGAAACTGATATCCTCTGTGAGTATGAGAAAACAATAATTTGTCGCAACAAATTAAAATTTGTTGGGCGAGTGAGGGTTCATGCAAATGACAGTAACGAGTGAAGGTTTGCTTCTAAATTCAAAATATATTAAAATGGGTCGCGAGGAGGGGGGGTTTTTAAGCTTTCCTCACACAGTTACCTCTTGTAATTGTTTGCCGTGAGTTAATTATTTGGCGGTTATCCATTTACGGTTCTGCAATGGTGTGAAATGTCGGTGCAGTATTTCATGTCAAGCCAAGTCGGTAAGTAGCTCATTTCAAGCCAACATATAGTCTTCTTATTTATAACTGACATTTGCTTACTTGAGGTGCTTTGTTTTCTTTGAACATGAATTACTTACAGACTAGGCGGCTCTGTGAACTTAAGAAGAGTATAGGGGCTCCTGTCTTTGGATTTTAGTGGACAATACTCACATTCGTAGTAGTTTCTATACTGTTTACAGTCAGCATGATATTTCAGACGTCTCCTCTAGTCGCAGGAGGAGTTTGCGGGGAAACGGCTAAAATTCAGGCTAACTGATAACAGTTAGAAACTACCGCTGCGCTACCACTGCAACTGCAACTATTCACGGTGAATCTGAATCTTTAATTTAATTATCCAAGTCCAAAGCGACAAGCCCCTAAGCTCTTCTTTCGGTCGCAAAGCCGTAAATGGATAACCGTTAAACCACATGGCAAACCTTTACAAGAGGTGGCTGTGTGACGAAAGCCTGAAAACCCTCTCCTCGCGACCCATTTTAGGCAAAAATTATTTTCTATCTATTGTTCCTTTTATTATTTATTATTATTATTTAGTCAATTAATCATTTTTTCATAAAAAAATATTTTAATCTTTTCATGTTCCGGGATGTTCCGGGATGTTCCGGGATGTTCCGGAATGTTCCGGAATGTTCCATGTTCCGGATTTTATCGACGGCGGATTTAATAAGCTATTGTAATGTAAATATAATGACATTATAATGATTGTCGATTGACTTACCAAACACTATTCTTAAGCTTCTGCAGGCTTCTCTCTTCCCTTTTCACTTTACATCTAAACTTGTTTTTCTTTCGAAAATTCTCGCCGCCTTTCCCCTCCTTGTAAAAAAACGCAACACAATCCACAATTGCTTCTTCCGTTGCTGGGGCGGGAGGCACGTTGGAAGCCATAGCTCGCAAACTGACCAAACGGTCGCCCTGGTCTGCGAGGTCAAAGTCTCGCCATGCAAGGGAGACGCTTGATCCCCTACCATGACATTTATTTTGTCACGCATTCCTCTAAATAACTTTGGCGTTTCGCGGCTATTCGAGATCAAGTGCTGCTCAAATCGAACAGAAACCGGAACCCAAAATAGGACAAAATAGGAAAAACCAAAAACCACATCGGGTACCAAAACCGAAAAACCGCTAGTATTTTTCACGAAAACCGAAAACCAGATGCTAAAAAACGAAAAATCCGCAAACCGCAATGGCATACTGTATTTCGCGGACTGGACTGGACTGGACTGGACTGGACTAGTAAAACGCGGACTTGTAAAACGCGGACTCAAAATTTGTAAAACGCGGACTCAAAATTTGTAAAACGCGGACTCAAAATTTGTAAAACGCGGACTCAAAAATTTGTAAAACGCGGACTCAAAAATTGTAAAAAAATTCCGGGAGTCCACATTTCTAACCCCACATTTAGAAATAAGCGTTGACAGGCCAAACACGACTCATAAGCTCGTGATAATGTGAAACGTGACCTTGAGAGTCTGCTTGAACAGTGGTTCTCTTTCTTTTTTCTCTCGCGCGAAGGTTACTAGCACTACACAGTGCAAGACGTGTAGCATTCTAAACTTTGACTGAGTAAATCTTGTTTTTGCCGCACTAAGTCTTATATTTAGAGGTCATGAAGCAGGTTTGTTACATGCATACTGAGTAATCATTTCCTGTGATTTATGCTTCTGTACTAGGTGTCCCTAACAGGATTTGATTTCAGATGCAGTTGTTAAGTGTTTTATATCCTTTGACCTCTGTTTATTACGGCTGAATAAAGATTTTAGTTTTTTTGTTTTCTCCGAAATGGCTGTATCTGAATAACTACATGCATGCATGCAAGTTTCTTTGTCCGTGAATGTGATTATTTCCTGCCATGTCAGTATGACTCTGGGCCCAGCTCTATAGTGTGGTTTGCAGGATTTTGAATTTCCACGGATAGTGCGATCTTCAGATATGAGTTGTACACTGTAGCTTAAAAACTAAAGCTACACCAAGTTTGGAGAAATATGCCGTGCGTCAGTCAAGATAATTCTCTTAGCGCTCACACAGTCCATTTAGTTTTTCTTAACAAAAGTGAGTCTTTGAACTAGAGCGCGATGTCTTGTTGTTCCTTCGTAGGTATTTTCAAAAGTTTTTGCTTAACAGTCATCTGGGCGACTGCTATGGATTCTTAAGCAAGACTGCAGTTTCGGAACTATAGCGTTCCTCGTCAGTTGCTACTATGGTAAAGTCTTAGGTACAGAGAGCGAAGAAGACTGTTTAAATACTGATGGCTAGGATCGAAAATACTAACTTGCCATTGGCTGCAAAAAGTGACCAATAGCGTAGGTGTTTCTTTGATCCGCGTTCTGTTGTGTTTCCTTCAAGGTCAAAAAATGCTTTTTGGGCTTAACCGGTATGATAGTATCTGACTAGGTTGCAGTAATGGTAGGTCACTGACAGTAGGAAATAAGCTTAAGCTTTTGCTTAAGAATCCATAGCAGTCGCCCAGATGACTGTTAAGCAAAACTTTTGAAAATACCTACGAAGGAACAACAAGACATCGCGCTCTAGTTCAAAGACTCACTTTTGTTAAGAAAAACTAAATGGACTGTGTGAGCGCTAAGAGAATTATCTTGACTGACGCACGGCATATTTCTCCAAACTTGGTGTAGCTTTAGTTTTTAAGCTACAGTGTACAACTCATATCTGAAGATCGCACTATCCGTGGAAATTCAAAAATCCTGCAAACCACACTATAGAGCTGGGCCCAGAGTCATACTGACATGGCAGGAAATAATCACATTCACGGACAAAAGAAACTTGCATGCATGCATGTAGTTATTCAGATACAGCCATTTCGGAGAAAACCAAAAAAACTAAAATCTTTATTCAGCCGTAATAAACAGAGGTCAAAGGATATAAAACACTTAACAACTGCATCTGAAATCAAATCCTGTTAGGGACACCTAGTACAGAAGCATAAATCACAGGAAATGATTACTCAGTATGCATGTAACAAACCTGCTTCATGACCTCTAAATATAAGACTTAGTGCGGCAAAAACAAGATTTACTCAGTCAAAGTTTAGAATGCTACACGTCTTGCACTGTGTAGTGCTAGTAACCTTCGCGCGAGAGAAAAAAGAAAGAGAACCACTGTTCAAGCAGACTCTCAAGGTCACGTTTCACATTATCACGAGCTTATGAGTCGTGTTTGGCCTGTCAACGCTTATTTCTAAATGTGGGGTTAGAAATGTGGACTCCCGGAATTTTTTTACAAATTTTGAGTCCGCGTTTTACAAATTTTTGAGTCCGCGTTTTACAAATTTTTGAGTCCGCGTTTTACAAATTTTGAGTCCGCGTTTTACAAATTTTGAGTCCGCGTTTTACAAATTTTGAGTCCGCGTTTTACAAATTTTGAGTCCGCGTTTTACAAGTCCGCGTTTTACTAGTCCAGTCCAGTCCAGTCCAGTCCACGAAATACAGTATGCCAACCGCAATGACCACCAAAACCGAAAAACCGATCTAAAAAATAGCCAAAACCGCAAAACCGAAAATCCCAATGCCCCACTCCTAAAGCCATGACGTAACCTGATCAAAAATAAAACACAAACAACGGTGATAAACATTTTGAACTGTCGCATTTTTATATAAACTCGACGTTTCGTATGCTAGTCTTCATAAAAGGTCCTTTCGTCCATTTTTCCACACTAAAACATCGTAAAACATCTTTTTTTGGTCCTTTCTTCCTTCACTGTCTTTACTATTCAATAAGATATTTATAAAATTGACGTTTTCATCTCTCATTTCGATTTTGCGGTCAGGGGTCACGGCATAAGGTCCCTTGCCGTCACACGTTTCACTTTTACAAGACAAACACGTTTTCCGAGAATTAGAGGATATCGATTGTGCTTTCGACTCTAAAAATTTTGCTTTTGGCGGTTGCACGATATTTTTCGTCTGGGGAATAAAAGACAGAGTATTCACGTTGAAGATGTCAGATATCCAGTCGTTTGCAGTGATCTACCTTTTTCTGGCAGGCTTCTGTTGCATTTCTATGGGCGTCGATCAGTGTATCCCCGCCAAGGGCTACGAAGGATGTGCATGCTACAGAGAAACAGTCAACAAAACGAAAGAATATGTGAACCTTCTGCCACTGAAGACGGATTCGTCAATCCCAAGGTACGTTTCTTCATCCGACTTGTGCAATCTGCGCAGCGTTTTTGTCTCGAAAAGGGGATAACGTGGGAAAGCGATCAAAAGATTCTTGATTAGACTAGACTGAGATCAGTTTTGACTTCTTACGGTTTCAGCACGTCCAAGGGCTTTTAAATTTAGTCTAATTGCTAAGCTGGTGTGAAGGAAATTGAAGACATTGAAGGTAATTTTATTAGCTATGGGCAAGCTAGAATGCAGAGCTATTTCTGCAGAGATCAGATGCCCTGGGTGGGTCTCGGGGTGGGCCTTAGGATAAACTCGAGGTGGGGATGGGGGTCCTTCCTTTATTTGGCCGAGGACGTGCTGCTAGACAGGCCTTGGCACGCTTTTATTAAAATTAAGCCTTAATACATCCTTACCCCCTTGAACGCTCAAAAATGTTCACACACCCACTGGAAATATTTTTATTTGTGATAAAAGTGAACAGAGTGTTGGTTCAACCTACCTCAGAGAAATGTTCTGGGCTTTGTTCAACTCCTGGAATTTCGTCCGTTCTACGAGGGATCTGTAGATATTCAGGTTTTTCTTCTCCGTTCGTTTATTTACAATCTACAGATGTCTTAATTCAGTGGACTCCTCGGCATATATGGGCCTTTGCCGTCCAAGAGGGAAGACTGTTTGACTTAACAATCCTATTGAGGTGGAGAAGTTTCCTTAGCTTTTCGGTGCATGTTGCTGTAATTTAAGTTAGTTAGCTACTTGTTAATATTACTAAATAAATTGATCCTTACGTAAACACCGCAGTAACTTGGTGAGATCATCTGACGTATCTGTGTAATTTTTTTTAGGTTTACAGTTATGGACAAGGATGGGTATTACATATCTTACAGCCCATGCGGAGTTTTTAGTGAATTTGTTGGTGAAAACATGACTGGTTATTCACCCTGTATAGAGGCCACCGTAAGTACGCCTGAAATATTTAAACAAGTGGTATTACAAATCCAATTGAAACCTTGTTCGGGTCAGAGAGGGCAAAAAAAACCCACACTCTTGTAAAGCGGCACGTCCCTGAATAGGCATCCCTTGTTTACATCGGATACAACCCCTCCTCTACTATTAAGTCCATTCCAAGAGAGAATGAGCTAAGAGAGCGAATCCCTGTGCCCCATAATAATTTTTTTAAATCTATTTAAAGTTTGCGTGCGTGCTGCGAAGGTTATTTTTGTCTGTTGTTTCCGTCACCCGCGTGGTCTACTTTCACGTGAACGTGACATGTTTCGCCGCCAAACATTTTAAGTTTGACAGCCATTACAGTAATTAACGCTACTAATCGGCTCCTGTTGTTGACATGTTTTTGATCAGCGCGTTCCGCTCATAATTAAGGAATGAATTTCATTTACAAAGGGATTGCAGTATTGGAGTCAAAATTTCACTTTGAGATTAAAGATTGAGATTTTCTAACGGCTGGTAGCCTCATTTAAAGTAACGAATATTGAATTCTGACACACTGTGAAAGCCAAAGGCAAAGTTTATCACGCGCGAAACACGAAACTGTTAATAAGTGGCTGGCTTCAATTGTTTATATTTTTTCTCTTTTTCCAGAAAAAATTTTCTTTCAGAAACAGTACATTTGCTTTTAAGGATTATTTTTGAGAGTTTCAAACTGCATTACTTCTTCTAATTAAACATCTAATACTTGCGATGAATATTTCGCTGGGCGAACACAAATCAGGTCAGACGCTTCAAGCTGTTAAACAGTCGCTAACCTGGATGCCAGAGACTTTTGATGCTCCGTTTCCGGTTTCGGTCAATTCTTTATAGTGAGTGGTTTGCCCACATTTGTATAGCGCCCTCTCAAAATTTAAATCTTTGGCGGCCAAACATTCATGTTTGAATCCACTTTGAGCTTATTTTCTCGTTACGTGTCCACCGTCAGAGGCGGATCCAGGATTTTTCGTAGGAGGGGGTGCACTACTAAGGAATGGCGTAATTGACTGGTGACGTAAACAAATTTTAATAGCGAATACGAAGAAGAAGGCTTTCGACTAGGCAATAACATAATGTGAACTGCTGAGAATACATATCAAATGATAAAGCAGATTTTGTATAACTGTGAAGCAGACTGCACAGTTTTAATTAGAAAGCCGCAGGTCATTTCAGGGGAGGGGGGGTGCGCACCCCCTGCACCCTCCCCCTAGATCCGCCCCTGACCGTTGAATCCAATAAAACGCCGGTATCACAGCTCGCGGATGTGCGTGGATGTCGCCGGAAGAGACAGTTGTCGTTTTAATACAATAGGTTGTTGGTTGTTTATATACTGATGTAGCGAAGACCCCAATGAGCAGTTTTGGTCGAGTCGGAACCGCTTTCTCTGGTGAACTCCCAGAAGCCAGGACCGTTTTGCTCTTAGAAATCTTTTTACCCGTCGTCAAAAGTAATGCCAAGTTTGCACCTCATATCGCTTGCTGTGCGTGATCGGCAGTGAAATAAATTACCCGCCAAGTTTACAATTACATAACGCCACTCTAACCGACCAATAGGGTGGCGTCCTTAAAATAACCACGCAGTATGACACAGACCCAAGAATAGATTGAAAATAATTTTCAGGAGAAGGGGGTCATGTATGGGGGATTCGCTCTCTTAGATCATTCTCTCTTGGTCCATTCCCAGTTTTTTCCCAGTGTTTTCTCCTCGCCCCATGTAAGAAATCCAAGACAGTCTTGGATTCTGGACTCCTTGCCGTGGAGTCCGGATTCCAGGTACTGGATTCCAGTCTATGTCAGTGGACCTTAATTAGATTCCAGATTCCAATCGTTAATGGGATTCCGGATTCCTTGAGCTTTATTCGGGATTCCAAAGCCCTGGATCCCTGATTCCACGACTTAAATTTCCTGGATTCCGGATTGCACAAGAAAAAATTTCCCGAATTCCGGAATCTCTTTATGGGGCGATTTCACCATCTAGCCGGGAAGTCAGGAAGCGCATTCGATGCTAAACGAAAACAATTAAGGGGACGATGGCCTTAGCTCTAACAATGAAAACAAGCTTAATAGTATAAAAAACAAAAATAGAACATCTGGAGAATCTGTTTGGCTATTTGGGTGCCCCAAAGTAACATTTGTCTCCTCAACCGCACATTTCGTAGGTTGCAAGATGGACAAACATATCCGTCCACAGATGTGAAAGCCTGGGTGAAGATGCAAATGCAACATTTGTGAGTACTGTCGATGGAGATGATGGAGGATTTATCACATCAAACCTCACTTTAAAATTTAGGTATTAAATTGAGTTTAAATTCTGTGGTACTTTGTTTAAAAAATAGGTTGGTCTTTTTCCTATTACAGTCGACTCCCGATAATTCGAACCTTCAAGGGAAATAGAAAAAAGTTCGAGTTATCGAGGGTAAAATTATATAGAAAATGATCTGAAGGGAAATGAAAATTGCTTCGAGTTAGCGGGAGGTTCGAGTTACAGAGGGTTCGAGTTACCAAGAGTCGACTGTACTAGTCTCGACCACCATATCCAAAATATCGTAATGTTGGTGATGGTGGTGCTGTCCCACCCAAATCCTCGGGAGTACCAGCTAGTAACCGTTATTCCAATGTGGACCTTCTCCACTTGCTTATTCTCCTGCTAATATCATGTGGAGTTACCATTTCTTTCGTCTCACGTGAGGACATGGAGGGTAATGGAATAGAAATGACGAAATGTTCCAAGTTGTTTCATCCCTTTTGGGGGTGAAATAAGGAAATATCGAAAATTATTGAGAAATTCCCATTAAATAGATAACCGGAGCTGCAATAAGAGAGAAAAATTGCAACGAAATCGCACAAAAATCGCCCGTGTTAACGACGATTACAATTTAATCAATTTATTGACACACTTTATAATTTTTGATTTTCAGGAGTGGAGAAAAGGAACATCATTCAGCCATCATTTCATTAGTTTGCAACGACACTTTGCCTGAAAGCAAAAGCTACTTTCGATACATCAACACATCGAATATGCCAACTGACACCTATGTATGTATACAGATTTGAGTACTTACTTTACCGTGACAGTTCCCACCGTAGAATTTTTATGAATTTCGTGACACAGCTCCTTTAATGTGACTGATATGAACATACCCTGATGTGAGTGATGTGACGGCCGGAGTCACGCAAGCTCCCTGTCCGAGCTTGCACGACTTCGGCCCAAGCGGCTGTGTAGGAGACTAGTGACTGGGGAGGGGATTGTATCTAGAGTGGACTAGAGGGTGGACTTGGGGGCACGAAAAGTAGCCTCCCATACTGACGCTCTTAAGGGTTCGTCACGCGTTCCTGTCCCACGTTGGGCAGAATTGCGTGACGAGCCAAAAGAACGTCTGCGCGAGAGGCTACACCAAAAGAAGCCCCCTTTTCACCGCAAATACATAGAGTCAAACGTCCCTTGGTTGTCCCCAGACGTTTTTATTTTCTTGTCCACAGTATCTTGAATTAACAAGCAAATGTTGCTGTCCAGGAAAATGTGGGTCTCCTCCAGGTATGAATGTAGTTTATCAACAAATAAAGTTATTCACATTCAAGGGAGTGGGGGTCATTGCAGATGTCACTATGACAGCCTCCATGTAGAACAGCTGCCATGTTTTTCACGTTTTTCAGGCAAGCATGAAGAGGTTGTAGAGCGCGAGACACGCGCCTTCCCCGTCGCGCGTGACTCGCTCTCCACGTGTGCTTCGCGCTCGCCTGAAAACACGCAAAAATAGCCCCTATTCTGTAGGCTATTGCCATAAGGGCTTGCCAACTTTTAAGATAAAAATGAAACAAACCAAAGGTACAATGTCCCCTCTTTCCAGAAAGATAATAGACGTAGACTAAGGAGCCGCTACACTAACGCAAGCATACAAGGCCTGCTTCCTTTTTAAAACTTGGGGAGACTTCTTTAGTGTGACAAATCGAAGCCGTGTAGAAAACCACAATTAACTAGCCCTGGGTACTACAGTTCACCACAGCTGTTACAATTACAATTGGTACATTTACTGCAATTCACCATTTTCACACTGCCCATAATAAACCCCCCGTCTAAGCACCAATCTGGGTTCCGCGCGCTTCATTCAACAGTTGCAGCCTTATTGGAGGCAACTGATAGTTGGGACTATAATATTGATATAGGTAACGTTGTCGCTGTTGTTTTTCTTGACCTTAAGAAGGCGTTTGACACAGTCGACCACCAAATTCTATTGTGTAAGATTATGCACGTCAAATCTTGAAATTTCAAGATTTTGCATGTCAAAAATTTCAATATTTTGCATGCCAAAGATTGAAATTTCAAGATTGAGCATGTCAAATATTGAAATTTCAAGATTTTGCATATCAAATCTTGAAATTTCGACATTCTGTATGTCAAAAATGTCAATATTTTGCTCGCCAAATATTGGAATTTCAGGATTCTGCGTGCCTGATACTGAAATTTCAATATTCTGCATGCCAAAAATTTCAATATTTTGCTTGCTAATCTTGAAATTTCCATATTCTGCAGGCCAAATATTGAAATTTCAATGTTCTGCATGCCAAAAATTTCAATATTTTGCATGCCAAATCTTGAAATTTCAATATTTCTGCATGGCAAATATTGAAATTTCAATATTTCTGCATGTCATATCTTGAAAATTCAAGGACTTTTCAAGATTGTGCGAACCCTACTTGAGCTGTTTCCAGATTCTAAAGCCGAGGACTCCTGATTACACAAACAAAATTTACTCGATTCAAGAATCTCTTTACTGTAGCCAAGCTACCTTTTCAACTCAATTACTAAAACCAAATCTTTGTATCTTACACCCTTTATTCATCCGTAAGCTTACAGGATTCACCATTAAGACTCGGTCTTGACCAATCACATTTTGACTATTGCAGCGGGGTAACTGTGGTAAAACTTTGCGTGATAAATTGCAGCGACTCCAGAACCGTGCGGCACGCATTCTCACAAACTCCAATTATGATGCAGATGCGAGTATACTTCTAAATGACTTGGGCTGGCAAAACCTTCAAACTCAGCGGCAAATTCAGACGGCTGTCATGGTGTATAAATGTTTGAATTGACTTGCATCTCATAACATGTCTTCAAAATTCATACTACGCAGCGATTTGTTTAATCCTTATAACCTTAGAGATTGTAAAAATAAGTATGCTGTTCCCTTGCCACGACCAAAGTAATATAGAAATAGCTTCTGCTACGGCGGGGCTGTTCAGTGGAACAATTTGCCCACTGATGTTAGACAAGCGAGATCTTTGAGTTGCTTTCGTAATCTGTTAACTTCTAGCTCGAACACAGCATTCATGGAAAACAGGCTTTAATTTTATAATTAATTTTATTTATTTAAACACTCATCTTTTGTTAGTGCTATTACTGTTAATTCAATAGTTTGTAACTTTTTTTAGGATATTGTATATTTGCCTGATGTTTTTACCCTTTTATAAATAAAAGTGATGATGACGATGATGATGATGATGACGATGTCTTCAATTTCTTTTGGGACGACTTTCAATAGAAAAGAGAAATTGGAAAGAACGATCATGCATTTTATTTTTTTGGCGGGGGGAGGGGGGTAAACGGGGTGCATTATGGGAAATGCGAAATGGTGAATTACTACAGTTATGACAAGGAACAGTTACCAAAAGTTGTCAATATTATCCACAATTATACCTCATTAACTTCTTTGATATTATTTGTTTTTAGAGCCACCTCCATCACAGTCAACAGGACCTTCCTCAGCCCCGCCTACAGGTTTGCCTTTCTTGGAACTTGTTTCTCGGTTACCCGTCGCTCCAAAACAATTACGATATTCATATATATTTTTTAAATTTCTCTTTCAAGGACACTCGACTGTGGTTTCTTCAAGCGTCCTAAAAACCTTTGAAATGGGCCTGCTAACGCTTGTTGCTGGAAATGTGTATACGGCGAACACCTGAGATGTGGGAAATTTACACCACAAGCCCAAGATTATCTAAACCATAAATTTGACCTTTGAGAATGATCGGACGCAACGCTTTATCCATTGAGCTAATTAATCAGGCTCACTGGAGAGCAAGCCATTGTGAGTTCGCAATATTCCCCTCACCTCATCTCGGGCCTCGCACTCGTTTGCGCTTCGCGCAAAATACCGTGTTCACCTCGCTTGGCTCATAAAACGCCTGTTATGCAGGCTATATACCCGATAAAGGAAATGACGTGAATCGAAATATTTTGAACTGCAGAAAAAAATGTGAAAGTGAAGTCATGATCTTCGCAGTAGAATGAACAACCTAAACGGATGAAAAAGAACCTGAAAACTCACATTGGCTTGCTCTACGGTTTGCTAAATTAGCTCAATGGATAGAGCGTTGCGTTCGATCAATCGCAAAGGTCAAGGTTCGACTCCTGGCCAAGCCTGAATTTTTCAGGTTCTCTTCAGGTACATTAACGAGCTAATAACTGATTGGTGTCTTAGCCAGTATGAAAAATAGAAGTTGCAAATTGAGTAATTATGATTGAATTGGTTCCACAATTATAGTATTGACTAGAAATGAAGGGCTTAATGCCGATTTTTTTTGTTTTGGCTACCACTACAAATAAAAATCATTTTGAAAAGTAATTAAAGGAATAAAGGAATAAAAACTTAAATTCAAAAGTTAGTAAAAGCTTCCTTCATTCATAGAATAATTCCAATAGAACGTGCTGTCAGAAGTAAGTTCGAATTGTCGAGTATTCATCTAGGCTGCCATTGTCGTCAAGATTGCCTGTATCATTAATAAAAACATGTGCTTATTCTAAGCCAATGGTTTTCTATATTCTTTTGGGAAATAATGCACGCTTACAGTCAAGGCAGGTCAAGCGTACCCCCCAAGATTCTATTAATGAACTGATTATTTGAAAAATGAATCCGTTAGTCGTTCCCGTAACTGGTGTCAAATTCAACGCGGCATTCCCGCATGCGTAATGAGCCGTGAATATTTTACGAGAACTTCTCTGTATTTGACAATCTTTGAATGGATTAAGTTTCTTAGAGGACATTTACATCAAATTCAGGTGTGTGAATTCACAGGTCATTATGCACGCAAGAATGCGGAGATCAATCGGAAATCCACAACTAGCAACGGATTCAACTTTCGAGTAATAAATTCATTAATGGATTCTTGGGGGGTACGCTTCACCTGGCTTGACTGTAAGCATTTCTTTGTATACTGCACACCTCAAGCCACATAACTGGCTAAGCGGCAGGTATCAGTGCCAGATTGTTACAACATGCCTCGTTAGCAATATATTCTCTCCTTCTCTAACTTTGTCCACAACTTAGCTCTTGGTCATTACTGTCAGTAGTAGTAATGACGGACCTTGAAGAACTGCTTACAATGGACAGATATACCTCATCAGCTTTCCATTCTCGCCTGACTGTTTTTTCTCAGGGTTATAACTGTTAGTAGTAAATCTGTATGGAGGAGATAATGAATGGAAGTTGGAGCGAAGCCAAGCCAAGCAGTTTTCCTGGCTGAAAATCGCAGCCCACGAAGCTTGCAGTGGCTTGCTTCGCACCGAGGCGGCCGGTGAAGATAACGACGCTTCTGAAGCTAAATTGTCGTCCGTTCAGGCTACCTTTTTATCTTCGTCATTACAGTTGGCAGTAAATCTGGATTAAGTTGAGTCCAGCCATGAAGAACTAGCAGCAAAATACCAGTTGTTACAAATGGCACAATCAGCAGCCAGGCAAGATCGTCTTTGAAATCGAGGTTAAAACTAAAAATAGGATGAATAGCATTTTTTGCACTGAAAAATATCACTTTCAATGAAGCCCTGATAAATAGGTTTCGTTTCTATCTGCAGAAACGTAGGAGCAACCGTAGAATTTTTTACGTTTTTGTGGAAAGGATGTCGCACAAGCAAACAAAACATGCCAAGCCTTTGAGAACATGCATACAGAAACCATCATGCAATTAAAATAATCCCGAGACCGTCCGTTTGTTTACTCTCAAGACAAATTTAACAACGCGTTGCTTGTTTGAGAGAAAATCTTGCGTCACGTAGACGATTCGAAGGATACGAATCATTTACCAACGAATTAAAATCGAGAATGACTGTCCAGAAACCTTAATCTGAAATGTAATCAATACCACAAATTGCCCAGACGTTATCGTCTGTACTAGTAAACCTTTCTGTAACAGCTTCAGAATCGTCTATATGTGTGCGGGGGTTTGCGCAAATCGCTTGCTAAGCGAGTAGGTACCAAGAGCCTATTTTACATCTTTGCCTTTGCTTTCCTATTCTTCTTAACTTTTACAGTTCTTACTGACAAAACTAACTCCTAACTGACTAATAAACCAAGTAGTAGCGGTTTTTATAGCCAAAGCTTGACATGTTTGGCTTAGCTGACCAAGGTAAAAGCAGCATGGGTAATGTTTTGGTATCGCTGAATCTACACGGCTGCGATCGGTAAGAAGCTACAAACCAATGAAAAACTAAAAACGCGTATTAACAAATCCAAACAGGAACTTCAACGAGACAAATGGACCAAGATCAGCTCTAACCACCACCTGTGTAAAACTCACATCTGACGACCACAAGCCATGAATATTCTTCTGCACTGTTCACACACGAAAATGCCGGTCTATTTTGTCGGTTACAGAATTTGATTGCCTGACAACCTGCAACATAAACGTTTCTAACCTGGCATGCAGCAAGCTGTGAAAACACTGTCCATGTTGCGTGGTAAGTTGTATCGTGATTACAGCTCTACAGGGCTGCGATGGGGCGTTCATTTCTTCAGTGAATACACCTGGAGAGTTGTAGCCTTTCTTGAAGACAGCAAGTTGCTTTCCAATGATGATCTATAACATTAAGTGAAAGATAGGATTTAATCGACCGCATGTAAGGGTCAACGGCATAGAGGGACGATTGACTACATGTATCTGATTCAATACTGAAAAAATACTGCCTCTTGTAGCGATAATTAAAATAAATAAATAAACACTATTAATAAATAGATTTAGAGCCAGCACATCCACAGGTCGGTCCTTCATGTACCATTTCTGGTAGAACTGGAATTTGAAAACGGTGGTTTTTGTGGAGAGGGGAAAACCGAAGTACCCAGTAAAAAGACCTCCCGGAGCAAAGGAGAAAACAACAACAAACTGAACCCACATATGGCATCGACGTCAAGATTTGAACCGGGTCCATATTGGTGGGAGAAGAGTGTTCTCACCACTGCAACACCATTGCTCCCCTTTAAGAACAGCATAAACACAGATTGGTCAACAGCTCCATTAAGACTAGCGTCATACCTGTTTTGGTCTAACATAATGTAGTCACGAAGTTCATATGACATAAAAACTCTTTAGGTCAGGGAGGGGGTTTTCTATAGTTTCCTGGGTTTAAGCGTTTTCTTTCGTTGCGCTGGTTAACTCAGTTTTAAGGGGTTTAGTGGTTTACGGGTTTCACTGGTATAATGGGTTCCCAGGTTTTAAGGCTTTTCTGCAAAACTTTTTCCTGAAATTAAAAGGGAAAACGCTTCCTCTGGGTAATGAAGAATCACCGTTTGCGCAGTCACAACTCTGCAGGTTTTAGAGGTCACGAATTCGGAATATTCTCACTGTGCGGGTAAAAGTCGTCAACTGATATAGATGAATGGACAAGAGGAATATTGAAAGTATCTAGCAGGCAGTGAAATTAAAACAATTGTCTCAACACAAGGTGCATCATTACCAACAAAAAGAACACACTATTTCCCAATTTTCTCGGCGTTGTTCTCAGGAAAGAGGCTGCCACATAGCCTGGGTAACTTAGGTGACTTGCATTTCCCTCACTAGGGTAACTAAGGTGACTTCCGTGACTACGGTGAATTGGGTGCCCAAGGTGACAAGAGTGACATGGGTGGCTGGGGTGAGTTCAGTGACTTGGGTAACTAGGGTGACTTGGGTGACTTAAGTGACTAGGATGAATAGGATGACTTGGGTGACTAGCATGACTAGGGTGACTGAGATGACTTGGGTGACTACGATGACTACGATGACTTGGGTGACTAGAATGACTTGGGTGACTAGAGTGACCAGGATGACTTAGTTGACTAGGGTGACTTGGGGCACTAGGGTGACTAAGATGACTAGGGTGACTAGGGTGACTAGGATGACTTGGGAGCATAGGTTGACAAGGGTGACTAGGATCACTTGGGTGCCTAGGATGATGACTTAGGTGACTAGGATGACTTGGGTAACTAGGGTGACTAGGATGACTTGAGTGACTAGGATGACTTGGGTGACTAGAATGAATGGTGTGACTAGGATGACTTGGGTGACTAGGGTAACTCGGCTCACTAGGATAACTAGTGTGTCTAGGATGACTAGGGTGACTAGGGTGACTTACGTGACTAGGATGACTTCGGTGACTAGGGTGACTAGGGCGCCTTGGGCGACTAGGGCGCCTTGGGTGACTAGCAGGAATAGGATAACCAAGGTGCCTAAGATGACTACGGTGACTTGGGTGACTAGGATGACTAGTGTGATTAGGATGACTTGGGTGACAAGGGTAACTGGAATGACTAGGGTGACTAAGTTGATTTAGGTGACTAGGGTAACTAGGATGACTAGGGATGACTGGGATGACTAGGGTTGACTGGATATGGCTAAGGATGACAAAGGATGACTAGAAATGAATGGTATGCCTAGGGATGACTCGGATGACTAGGGATGACTAGGGATGACTGGGTTGACTAGGGATGAGTAGAACGGCTAGGGATCATTAGGGATTACAAGGGATGACTAGGCATGACTGAGGATGACTGAGATGACTAAGGGTGACTAGGGATGACTTGAATGACAAGAGATGACAAGAATGACTAGGGATGACTAGCGATGACTAGGGATGACTTGGATGAATAGGGATCACTAGGGATGATCAGGGATGGCTAGGGATGACTAGGGATGACTGGTATGCCTATGGATGACTAAAGATAACTGGGATGACTAGAATAACAAGGGATGATTAGGAATGAAAAGGGATGACTGGAATGACTAGGCATGACTGGGATGACTGGGATGACTGGGATGACTAGGGATTACTAAGATGACTAGGGATGACTAAGGATGACTGGGATGACTAGGGATGACTAAAGATGACTGGGGATGACTAGGGATGACTACGGATCACTGGGATGACTGGGGATCACTAAGAATGACTGGGATGACTAGGGATGACTGGGATGACTAGGGATGACTACGGATGGCTAGGATGTCTAGGGATGACTAGGTATGACTGGGATGACTAGGGATGACTAGGATGACAACGGATGACTATGGATGAGCGGGATGACTAGCGATGACTGGGATGAATCGGGATGACTAGGGATGAAGAAGGGATGACAAGGGATGACTAGGGATGACAGATATGACTAGGGATGAGGAGGGATGACTTGGAATTACTAGGGATGACTAGGATGACTAGGGATGACTTGGGATGACTAGGGATGACTGGGATGACTAGGGATGACGAGGGATGACGAGGGATTACTAGGGATGACTAGGATGACTAGGGATGACTAGGGATGACTAGGGATGACGTGGCATGACTAGGGATGACTGGGATGACTAGAGATGACCGGGGGTGATTAGGGATGACTACGGATGACTGGCATGACTAGGGATGACTAGAGATGACTAAGGATGACTAGGGATGACTGGGATGACTAGGGACGACTAAGATGACTAGGGATGACTGGGGATAACTAGGGATGACTAGGGATGACAGGGATGACTAGGGATGACTAAGGATGACTGGGAAAAGTAGGGCTGACTGGGGATGACTAGGGATGACTGGGATGACTACGGATGCCTGCGATGACTAGGGACGACTCGGGATGGCTAGGGATCACTAAGGATGACTAGGGATGACTAGGAATGACTAAGGATGACTAGGGATGACTGGGATGACTCGGAAAAAGTAGGATGGCTAGGGATGACTACGGATGACTGGAATGACTAGGGATGACTGGCGATGCCTAGGGATGACTGGGATGACTAGAGATGACGAAAGATGACGAGGGTGACTGGGATGACAAGGGATGACTAGGGATGACTGGGGATGACTAGGAATGACGAAGGATGACTAGGGGTAACTGGGATGACTGGGATGACTAGGGATGACTAGGATGACTAGGGATAACTAGGGATGACTGGGATGACTAGGGATGACTGGATATGACTAGGGATGACTAGGGATGACTGGGATGACTAAGGATGACTAGGGATGACTGGGATGACGAAGGATGACAAGGGAAGACTGGGATGACTAGGCATGACTAAGGATGACTAGGAAGACTAGGGATGACTAGGGATGACTAGGGATAACTAGGGATGACTGGGGATGACTAGGGATGACTACGGATTACTGGGATGACTAGGGATCACTAGAGATGACTGGGATGACTAGTGATGGCTACGGATGACTGGGATGACTAGAGATGACTACGGATGGCTAGGATGACTAGGGATGACTGGCGATGACTAGGGATGACTGGGATAACAAGGGATAACTAAGGATGGCTGGGATGATTAGGGATGACTAGGGACGACTAGGAATGACGAAGGATTACTAGGGATGACTGCAATGACTAGTGATTACTAGGAAGACTAGGGATGACTACGGATGACTGGGATGACTAGGGATGACTTGGATGACTAGGGATGACTGGGGATGACCAGGGATGACTTAGAAGACTAGGGATGACCACAGATGACTAAGGATGACTAAGCATGACTAAGGATGACTGGGATGACTAGGGATGACTAGGGATGACTGGGATGACTAGGGATGACGAAGGATGACTAGGGATGACTCGGATGACTCGGAATAAGTAGGATGGCTAGGGATGACTACGGATGACTGGAATGACTAGGGATGACCAGGGATGACTGGGATGACTAGGGATGACTGTGGATGCCTATGGATGACTGGGATGACTAGAGATGACGAAAGATGACGAGGGGGACTGGGATGACTAGGGATGACTAGGGATGACTGAGGATGACTAGGAATGACGAAGGATGACTAGGGATATCTGGAATGACTGGGATGACTAGGGATGACTAGGATGACTAGGGATAACTAGGGATGACTGGGATGACTAGGGATGACTGGAGATGACTAGGGATGACTACGGATGACTGGGATGACTAGGGATGACTAGGGATGACTGGGATGACAAAGGATGACTAGGGATGACTGGGATGACTAGGGATGACTACGGATGACTAGGATCACTAGGGATGACTAGGGATGACTGGGATGACTAGGGATAACTAGGGATGACTGGGGATGACTAGGGATGACTACGGATTACTGGGATGACTAGGGATCACTAGGGATGACTGAGATGACAAGTGATTGCTACGGATGACTGGGATGACTAGAGATGACTACGGATGGCTAGGATGACTAGGGATGACTGGCGATGACTAGGGATGACTGAGATAACTAGGGATGACTAACGATGACTAAGGATGACTGGGATGATAAGGGATGACTAGGGACGACTAGGAATGACGAAGGATTACTAGGGATGACTGGGATGACTAGTGATTACTAGGATGACTAGGGATGACTAGGGATGACTGGGATGACTAGGGATGACTTGGATGACTAGGGATGACTGGGGATGACTAGGGATGACTGGGAAGACTAGGGATGACCACAGATGACTAAGGATGACTAAGGATGACTAAGGATGACTAAGGATGACTGGGATGACTAGGGATGAATAGGGATGACTGGGATGACTAGGGATGACTGGGTATGACTAGGGATGACTGGGATGAATACCGATGACTGGGATGACTAGGGATGACTACGGATGAGTAGGGATGACTAGGGATGACTACGGATGACTAGGAATGACTACGGATGACTAAGGATGTCTGCGATGACTAAGTATGACTAGGAAGACTAGGGATGACTGTGGATGACTGGGATGAGTAGGGATGACTAGGGATGACCAGGGATGACTGGGATGACTACGGATGACTGGGATGACTAGGAATCACTAGGGATGACTGAGATCACTAGAGATGACTACGTATGACTGGCATACCTACGGATCACTAGGGATGACTAGGGATGACTGGGGATGACTGGGATGACTAGGGATCACTAGGGATGACTGGGATGACTAGGGATGACAACGGATGATTGGGATGACTAGGGATGACTGGGGATGACTAGGGATGACTGGGAAGACTGGGGATGACCAGATATGACTAAGGATGACTAAGGATGACTGGGATGACTAGGGATGAATAGGGATGACTGGGATGACTAGGGATGACTGGGTATGACTAGGGATGACTGGGATGAATACCGATGACTGGGATGACTAGGGATGACTAGGGATGAGTAGGGATGACTAGGGATGACTACGGATAACTAGGAATGACTACGGATGACTAAGGATGTCTGCGATGACTAAGTATGACTAGGAAGACTAGGGATGACTGTGCATGACTGGGATGAGTAGGGATGACTAGCGATGACTAGGGATGACTGGGATGACTACGGATGACTGGGATGACTAGCAATCACTAGGGATGACTGGGATCACTAGAGATGACTAGGTATGACTGGCATACCTACGGATCACTAGGGATGACTAGGGATGACTGGGGATGACTGGGATGACTAGGGATAACTAGGGATGACTGGGATGACTAGGGATGACAACGGATGATTGGGATGACTAGGGATGACTGGGGATGACTAGGGATGACTGGGAAGACTGGGGATGACCAGAGATGACTAAGGATGACTAAGGATGACTAAGGATGACTGGGATGACTAAGGATGACTAGGGATGACTGAGTATGAATAGGGATCACTGGGTATCACTAGGGATGACTGGGATGACTACCGATGACTGGGATGACTAGGGATGACTAGTGATAAGTAAGGATGACTACGGATGACTAGGAATGACGAAGGATGACTAAGGATGTCAGCGATGACTAAGTATGACTAGGATGACTAGGGATGACTGTGGATGACTGGGATGACTAGGGATGACTGGGATGACTAGGAATCACTAGGGATGACTGGGATGAGTAGGGATGACTAGGTATGCCTGGCATGCCTACGGATCACTAGGGATGACTAGCGATGACTGGGATGACTACGGATCACTAGGGATGACTGGGATGACTAGGGATGACTCCGGATGACTGGGATGACTAGGGATGACTGGGGATGAGTAGGGATGACTGGGATGACTAGGGATGACTAAGGATGACTAAGGATGACTGGGATGACTAGGGATGACTAGGGACGACTAAGAAGGACGAAAAATTACTAGGGATGACTGGGATGACTAGGGATTACTAGGATGACTAGGGATGACTAGGGATGACGGAGGATGGCTAGGGATGACTGGGATGACTAGGGATGACTGGGATGACTACGGGTGACTAGGGATGACTTAGGATGACTAGGAAAGACGAAGGATGACAAAGGATGTCTGCGATGACTAAGAATGACTAGGATGACTAGGGATGACTGTGGATGACTGGGATAACTAGGGATGACTAAGGATGACTGGGGAAGACTAGGGATGACTGGGATGACTAGGAATGACTAGGGATGACTGGGATGACTAGGGATGACTAGGTATGAGTGGCATGCCTACGGATCAGTAGGGATGACTAGGGATGACGGGAATGACTAGAGATGACTACGGATGACTGGGATGTCTAGGGATGACTAGGTATGACTAGGATGACTAGGGATGACTAGGGATGACTAGGATGGCTAGGGATGACTAGGGATGAGCGGGATGCCTAGGGATGACTGGGATGACTAGGGATGACTGCGATGAATCGGGATGACTAGGGATGAAGAAGGATCACTAGGGATGACTGGGATGACTAGGAATGACGAGGGATGACTTCGGATTACTAGGGATGACTAGGATGACTAGGGTTGACTAGGGATGACTTGGGATGACTAGGGATGACTTAGATGACTAGGGATAACCAGGAATGACTTGGGATTACTAGGGATGACTAGGATGACTAGGGATGACTAGGGATGACTTGGGATGACTAGGGATGACTGGGATGACTAGGGATGACTGGGGATGACTAAGGATGACAAGGGATGACGGGAATGACTAGGGATGACTAGAGATGACAAGGGATGAATAAGGATGACTAAGGACGACTGGGATGACTAGGGATGACTTAGATGACTAGGGATGACTGGGTATAACTAAGGATGACTGGGATGACTAGGGATGACTAGGGATCACTAGGGATGACTAGGAATGACGAAGGATCACTAGGGATGTCTGGGATGACTAGGATGACTAGGGATGACTGTGGATGACTAGAAATGACTAGGGATGACTAGGGATGACTAAGGATGACTAAGAATGACTAGGGATGACTGGGACGACTAGGGATGACGGAGGATGGCTAGGGATGACTGCGATGACTAGGGATGACTGGAATGACTACGGATGACTAGGGATGACTTAGGATGACTAGGGATGACTGGGATGACTAGGGATAACTGGGATGACTACATATGACGAAAGATGACAAGGCTGACTGGGATGACTAGGGATGACTAGGGATGACTAGGAATGACAAAGGATGACTAGGGGTGACTGGGATGACTGGGATGACGAGGGATGACTGGGATGACGAGGGATGACTAGAATGACTAGGGATGACTAGGGATGCGTAGGGATGACAAGGGATGACCAGGGATGACTAGGAATTACTAATGATGACTAAGGATCTCTAGGATCACTAAGTAAGACTAGGATGACTAGGCATGACTGTGGATGACTGGGATGACTAAGGATGACTAGGGTTGACTGGGGATAACTAGGGATGACTGGGATGACTAGGGATGACTGGGATGACTAGGAATGACTAGGGATGACTGGGATGTCTAGGGATGACTAGGTATGACTGGCATGACTACGGATCACTAGGGATGACTAGGGATGACGGGAATGACTAGGGATGACTACGGATGACTGGGATTGCTAGGGATGACTAGGTATGACTGGGATGACTAGGGATGACTAGGATGACTAGGGATGACTAGGGATGAGCGGGATGACTAGGGATGACTGGGATGACTAGGGATGACTGGGATGAATCGGGATGACTAGGGATGAAGAAGGATGACAAGGGATGACTGGGATGACTAGGGATGACCGGGATGACTAGGGATGACGAGGGATGACTTGGGATTACTAGGGATGACTAGGATGACTAGGGATGACTAGGGATGACTTGGGATGACTGGGATGACTAGGGATGACGAGGGATGACTTGGGATTACTAGGGATGCCTAGGATGGCTAGGGATGACTAGGGATGACTTGGGATGACTACGGATGACTGGGATGACTAGGGGTGACTAGAGATGACAAGGGATGACTAGGAATGAGTGGGATGACTAGGGATGACTACGACGACTAGGGATGACTGGGTATAACTAGGGATGACTAGGGATCACTAGGGATGACTAGGAATGACGAAGGATGACAAGGGATGTCTGGGATGACTAGGGATGACTAGGATGACTATGGATGACTGTGGATCACTAGGGATGACTAGGGATGACTAAGGATGACTAGGGATGACTAGGGATGACTAAGGCTGACTGGGATGACTAGGGATGCCGGAAGATGGCTAGGGATGACTGGGATGACTAGGGATGACTGGGATGACTACGGGTGACTAAGGATGACTTAGGATGACTAGGGATCACTGGGATGACTAGGGATGACTAGGGATGACTGGGATGACTAGGGATGACTGGGGATGTCTAGGGATGACTACGGATGACTGGGATGACTAGGGATCGCTATGGATGACTGCGATGACTAGGGATGACTACGGATGACTGGGATGACTAGGGATGACTGGGGATGACTAGGGATGACTGGGATGACTAGGGATAACTAAGGATGACTAAGGATGACTGGGACGACTAGGGATGACTAGGGACGACTACGAATGACGAAGGATTACTAGGGATTACTGGGTTAACTAGGGATTACTAGGATGACTAAGGATGACTAGGGATAACGGAGGATGGCTAGGGATGACTGGGATGACTAAGGATGACTGGGATGACTACGGGTGACTAGGGATGACTTAGGATGACTAGGAAAGACGAAGGATTACTAAGGATGTCTGCGATGACTAAGTATGACTAGGATGACTAGGGATGACTGTGGATGACTGGGATGACTAGGGATGACTAAGGATGACTGGGGATGACTAGGGATGACTGGGATGACTAGGGATGACTAGGGATGACTGGGATGACTAGGGATGACTAGGGATGACTGGCATGCCTACGGATCAGTAGGGATGACTAGGGATGACGGGAATGACTAGGGATGACTACGGATGACTGGGATGTCTAGGGATGACTAGGTATGACTGGGATGACTAGGGATGACTAGGATGACTAGGGATGACTAGGGATGAGCGGGATGACTAGGGATGACTGGGATGACTAGGGATGACTGGGATGAATCGGGATGACTTGGGATGAAGAAGGATGACAAGGGATGACTGGGATGACTAGGGATGACTGGGATGACTAGGGATGACGAGGGATGACTTGGGATTACTAGGGATGACTAGGATGACTAGGGATGACTAGGGATGACTTGGGATGACTAGGGATGACTGGAATGACTAGGGATGAGGAGGGATGACTTGGGATTACTAGGGATGACTAGGATGACTAGGGATGACTAGGGATGACTTGGGATGACTAGGGATGACTTCGATGACTAGGGATGACTGGGGATGACTAGGGATGACTAGGGATGACAGGGATGACTAGGGATGACTAGAGATGACTAGGGATGACTAAGGATGACTAGGGATGACTGGGATGACTAGGGATGACTAAGATGACTAGGGATGACTGGGTATAACTAGGGATGACTGGGATGACTAGGGATGACTAGGGATGACTGGGGATGACTAGGAATGACGAAGGATGACTAGGGATGTCTGGGATGACTAGGGATGACAAGGATTAGTAGGGATGACTAGGGATGACTAGGGATGACTAAGGATGGCTAAGAATGACTAGGGATGACTGGGATGACTAGGGATGACGGAGGATGGCTAGGGATGACTGGGATGACTAGGGATGACTCGGATGACTACAGGTGACTAGGGATGACTTAGGATGACTAGGGATGACTGGGATGACTAGGGATAACTGGGATGACTACATATGACGAAAGATGACAAGGCTGACTGGGATGACTAGGGATGACTAGGGATGACTAGGAATGACAAAGGATGACTAGGGGTGAATGGGATGACTGGGATGACGAGGGATGACTAGAATGACTAGGGATGACTAGGGATGAGTAGGGATGACAAGGGATGACCAGGGTTGACTAGGAATTACTAATGATGACTAAGGATGTCTGGGATCACTAAGTATGACTAAGTTAACTAGGCTAGACTGTGGATAACTGGGATGACTAGCGATGACTAGGGTTGACTGGGGATGACTACGGATGACTGGGATGACTCCGGATGACTGGGATGACTAGGAATGACTAGGGATGACTGGGATGACTAGGGGTGACTAGGTATGACTGGCATGAGTACGGATCACTAGGGATGACTAGGGATGAAAAAGGATGACTAGGGATGACTGGGATTACTAGGGATGACTGGGATCACTAGGGATGACGAGGGATGACTTGGGATTACTAGGGATGACTAGGATGACTAGGGATGACTAGGGATGACTTGGGATGACTGCGATGACTAGGGATGACGAGGGATGACTTGGGATTACTAGGGATGACTAGGGATGACTTGGGATGAGTAGGGATGACTAGGGATGACTTGGGATGACTAGGGATGACTGGGATGAGTAGGGATGACTGGGGATGCCAAGGGATGGCTAGGGATGAGTAGGATGACTAGGGATGACTAAGACGACTAGGGATGACTGGGTATAGCAAGGGATGACTGGGATGACTAGGGATCACTAGGGATCACTAGGGATGACTAGGAATGACGAAGGATTACTAGGGATGTCTGGGATGACTAGGGATGACTAGGATGACTATGGATGACTGTTGATGACTAGGGATGACTAAGGATTACTAGGGATGACTAGGGATGAGTAAGGTTGACTGGGATGACTAGGGATGACGGAGGATGGCTAGGGATGACTGGGATGACTAGGGATGACTGGGATGACTACGGGTGACTAGGGATGACTTAGGATGACTAGGGATGACTGGGATGACTAGGGATGACTAGGGATGACTGGGATGACTAGGGATGACTGGGGATGACTAGGGATGACTACGGATGACTGGGATGACTAGGGATCACTATGGATGACTGGGATGACTAGGGATGACTACGGATGACTGGGAGGACTAGGGATGACTGGGGATGACTAGAGATGACTGGGATGACTAGGGATGACTAAGGATGACTAAAAATTACTGGGACGACTAGGGATGACTAGGGACGACTAGGAATGACGAAGGATTACTAGGGATTAGTGGGTTAACTAGAGATTACTAGGATGACTAGGGATGACTAGGGATGACGGAGGATGGGTAGGGATGACTGCGACGACTAGGAATGACTGGGATGACTACGGGTGACTAGGGATGACTTAGGATGACTAGGGATGACTGGGATGACTAGAGATGACGAAAGATGACGAGGGGTGACTGGGATGACTAGGGATGATTAGGGATGACTGGGATGACTAGGGATGACTGGGATGACTACCGATGACTTGGGATGACAAGGGATGACTGGGATGACTAGGGATGAGGAGGGATTACTTGGGATTACTAGGGATGACTAGGATGACTAGGGATGACTAGGGATGACTTGGGATGACTAGGGATGACTGGGATGACTAGGGATGACTGGGGATGACTAGGGATGACTACGGATGACTGGGATGACTAGGGATGACTTGGATGACTAGGGATGACTGGAGTGGGTATGACTAAGGATGACTGGGATGACTACCGATGACTGGGATGACTACGGATGACTAGGGATGACTAGGGATGACAAGGGATGACCAGGGATGACTAGGAATGACAAAGGATGACTAAGATGTCTGGGATCACTAAGTATGACTAGGATGACTAGGGATGACTGTGGATGAATGGGATGACTAGGGATGACTGGGGATGACTAGGGATGACTGGGATGACTACTGATGATTGGGATGACTAGGAATGACTAGGGATGATTAGGTATGACTGGCATGAGTACGGATCACTAGGGATGACTAGGGATGAAGAAGGATGACTACGGATGACTGGAATGACTAGGGATGACTGGGATGACTAGGGATGACGAGGGATGACTTGGGATTACTAGGGATGACTAGGATGACTAGGGATAACTAGGGATGACTTGGGATGACTGGGATGACAAGGGATGACGAGGGATGACAAGGGATGACCAGGGATGACTAGGAATGACGAAGGATGACTAAGATGTCTGGGATCACTAAGTATGACTAGGATGACTAGGGATGACTGTGGATGACTGGGATGACTAGGGATGACTGGGGATGACTAGGGATGACTGGGATGACTAGGGATGAGGAGGGATTACTTGGGTTACTAGGGATGACTAGGATGACTAGGGATGACTAGGGATGACTTGGGATGACTAGGGATGACTGGGATGACTAGGGATGACTGGGGATGACTGGGATGACTAGGGATGACGAGGGATGAGTTGGGATTACTAGGGATGACTAGGATGACTGGGGATGACTAGGGATGACTTGGGATGACTAGGGATGACTGGGATGACTAGGGATGAGGAGGGATTACTTGGGTTACTAGGGATGAATAGGATGACTAGGGATGACTAGGGATGACTTGGGATGACTAGGGATGACTGGGATGACTAGGGATGACTGGGGTGACTGGGATGACTAGGGATGACGAAGGATGAGTTGGGATTACTAGAGATGACTAAGATGACTAGGGATGACTAGGGATGACTTGGGATGACTAGGGATGACTACGGATGACTGCGATGACTAGGGATGACTAGGGATGACTAGAGATGAGAAGGGATGACTAGGGATGACTAGGGATGACTAGAGATGAGAAGGGATGACTAGGGATGACTCGGATTACTAGGGATAACTAAGATGACTAGGGATGACTGGGTATAACTAGGGATGACTGGGATGACTAGGAATGACTAGGGATCACTAGGGATGACTAGGAATGACGAAGGATGACTAGGGATGTCTGGGATGACTAGGGATGACTAGGATGACTATGGCTGAATAGAGATCACTAAGGATGACTAGGGATGACTAGGGATGACGGAGGATGGCTAGGGATGAATGGGATGGCTAGGGATGACTGGGATGACTACGGGTGACTAGGGATGACTTAGGATGACTAGGGATCACTGGGATGACTAGGGATGGCTACGGAGGACTGGGATGACTAGGGATCACTAGGGATGACTGGGATGACTAACGATGACTACGGATGACTGGAATGACTGGGGATGACTGGGGATGACTAGGGATGACTGGGATGACTAGGGATGACTAAGGATGACTAAGGATGACTGGGATGACTAGGGATTACTAGGATGACTAGGGATGACTAGGGATGACAGAGGATGGCTAGGGATGACTGGGATGACTAAGGGTGACTAGGGATGACTTAGGATGACTAGGGATAACTGGGATGACTAGAGATGACGAAAGATGACGAGGGCTGACTTGGATGCCTAGGGATGACTAGGGATGCCTAGGAATGACGAAGGATGACTAGGGATGACTAGGATGACTAGGGATGACTGGGGATGACTGGGATGACTAGGGATGACTGGGGATGACTAGGGATGACTACGGATGACTGGAATGACTAGGGATCATTAGGTATGACTGGGATGACTAAAGATGACTGGGATGATTAGGGATGACTACGGATGGCTAGGATGACTAGGGATGACTGGGATGACTAGGGATGACTAAGGATGACTAAGGATGACTGGGATGACTAGGGATGACTAGGGACGACTAGGAATGACGAAGGATGACTGGGATGACTAGGCATGACTTGGATGACTAGGGATGACTGGGGATGTCTACGGATGACTGCGATGACTAGGGATGACTGGGTATGACTAGGGATGACTGGGAGGACTGCCGATGACTGGGATGACTAGGGATGACTAGGGATGAGTAGGGATGACTAGGGATGACTAAGGATGACTAGGAATGACGAAGGATGACTAAGGATGTCTGGGATGACTAAGTATGACTAGGATGACTTGGGATGACTGTGGATGACTGGGATGACTAGGGATGACTGGGATGACTAGGAATGACTAGGGATGACTGGGATGACTAGGGATGACTTGGTATGACTGGCATGACTACGGATCACTAGGGATGACTAGGGATGACGGGAATGACTAGGGATGACTACGGATGACTGGAATGACTAGGTATGACTAGGATGACTAGGGATGACTAGGGATGAGCGGGATGACTAGGGATGACTGGGATGACTAGGGATGACTGGGATGAATCGGGATGACTTGGGATGAAGAAGGATGACAAGGGATGACTGGGATGACTAGGGATGACTGGGATGACTAGGGATGACGAGGGATTACTTGGGATTACTAGGGATGACTAGGATGACTAGGGATGACTAGGGATGACTTGGGATGACTAGGGATGACTGGGATGACTAGGGATGACTAGGGATGACTGGGATGACTAGGGATGACTTGGATGACTAGGGATGACTAGGGATGACTGGGATGACTGGGATGACTAGGGATGACTGGGTATGACTAGGGATGACTGGGATGACTACCGATGACTGGGATGACTAGGGATGACTAGGGATGACTAGGGATGACTAGGGATGACTAGGAATGACGAAGGATGACAAAGGATGTCTGGGATGACTAAGTATGACTAGGATGACTAGGGATGACTGTGGATGACTGGGATGACTAGGGATGACTAGGGATGACTGGGGATGACTGGGATGACTAGGGATGACTGGGATGACTAGGGATGACTGGGATGACTAGGGATGACGAGGGATGACTTGGGATTACTAGGGATGACTAGGATGACTAGGGATGACTAGGGATGACTTGGGATGACTAGGGATGACTAGGGATGACTTGGGATGACTAGGGATGACTGGGATGACTAGGGATGAGGAGGGATTACTTGGGATTACTAGGGATGACTAGGATGACTAGGGATGACTTGGGAAGACTAGGGATGACTGGGATGACTAGGGATGACTGGGGATGACTAGGGATGACTATGGATGACTGGGATGACTAGGGATGACTTGGATTACTAGGGATGCCTGGGTATGACTAAGGATGACTGGGATGACTACCGATGACTGGGATGACTACGGATGACTAGGGATGACTAGGGATGACAAGGGATGACCTGGGATGACTAGGAATGACGAAGGATGACTAAGATGTCTGGGATCACTAAGTATGACTAGGATGACTAGGGATGACTGTGGATGACTGGGATGACTAGGGATGACTGGGGATGACTAGGGATGACTGGGATGACTACTGATGATTGGGATGACTAGGAATGACTAGGGATGACTAGGTATGACTGGCATGAGTACGGATCACTAGTAATGACTAGGGATGAAGAAGGATGACTAGGGATGAATGGAATGACTAGGGATGACTGGGATGACTAGGGATGACGAGGGATGACTTGGGATTACTAGGGATAACTAGGATGACTAGGGATGACTAGGGATGACTTGAGATGACTGGGATGACTAGGGATGACGAGGGATGACTTGGGATTACTAGGGATGACTAGGATGACTAGGGATGACTAGGGATGACTTGGGATGACTAGGGATGACTGGGATGACTGGGGAAGACTGGGGATGACTAGGATGACTGCGATGACTAGGGATGACTAGGGATGACTAGAGATGAAAAGGATGACTAGGGATGACTGGGATGACTAGGGATGACTAAGATGACTAGGGATGACTGGGTATAACTAGGGATGACTGGGATGACTAGGGATGACTAGGGATCACTAGGGATGACTAGGAATGACGAAGGATGACTAGGGATGTCTGGGATGACTAGGGATGACTAGGATGACTAAGGATGACTGTGGATGACTAGGGATGACTAGGGATCACTAAGGATGACTAATGATGACTAGGGATGACTAGGGATGACGGAGGATGGCTAGGGATGACTGGGATGCATAGGGATGACTGGGATGACTACGGGTGACTAGGGATGACTTAGGATGACTAGGGATGACTGGGATGACTAGGGATGACTACGGAGGACTGGGATGACTAGGGATCACTAGGGATGACTGGGATGACTAAGGATGACTACGGATGACTGGGGATGACTGGGGATGACTAGGGATGACTGGGATGACTAGGGATGACTAAGGATGACTAAGGATGACTGGGATGACTAGGGATGACAAGGGACGACTACGAATGACGAAGGATGACTGGGATGACTAGGCATGACTTGGATGACTAGAGAAGACTGCGGATGTCTACGGATGACTGGGATGACTGGGATGACTAGGGATGACTGGGTATGACTAGGGATGACTGGGATGACTGCCGATGACTGGGATGACTAGGGATAACTAGGGATGAGTAGGGATGCCTGGGATGACTAGGGATGACTATGGAAGACTGCGATGACTAGGGATGACTAGGGATGACTAGAGATGAGAAGGGATGACTAGGGATGACTGCGATTACTTGGGATGACTAAGATGACTAGGGATGACTGGGTATAACTAGGGATGACTGGGATGACTAGGGATGACTAGGGATCACTATGAATGATTAGGAATGACGAAGGATGACTAGGGATGTCTGGGATGACTAGGGATGACTAGGATGACTATGGATGACTGTGGATGACTAGGGATGACTAGGGATCACTAAGGATGACTAGGGATGACTAGGGATGACTAGGGATGACTAGGGATGACGGAGGATGGCTAGGGATGACTGGGATGCATAGGGATGACTGGGATGCCTACGGGTGACTAGGGATGACTTAGGATGACTAGGGATGACTGGGATGACTAGGGATAACTACGGAGGACTGGGATGACTAAAGATCAGTAGGGATGACTGGGATGACTAAGGATGACTACGGATGACTGGGGATGACTGGGGATGACTAGGGATGACTGGGATGACTAGGGATGACTAAGGATGACTAAGGATGACTGGGATGACTAGGGATGACTAGGGACGACTAGGAATGACGAAGGATTACTAGGGATGACTGGGATAACTAGGGATTACTAGGATGACTAGGGATGACTAGGGATGACAGAGGATGGCTAGGGATGACTGGGATGACTACGGGTGACTAGGAATGACTAAGGATGACTAGGGATGACTGGGATGACTAGAGATGACGAAAGATGACGAGGGGTGACTTGGAAGCCTAGGGATGACTAGGGATGCCTAGGAATGACGAAGGATGACTAGGGATGACTAGGATGACTAGGGATGACTGGGGATGACTAGGATGACTAGGGATGACTAGGGATGACTAGGGATGACTGCGATGACTAGGGATGACTAGGGATGACTGGGGATGACTAGGGATGACTACGGATGACTGGAATGACTAGGGATCACTAGGTATGACTGGGATGACTAAAGATGACTGGGATGATTAGGGATGACTACGGATGGCTAGGATGACTAGGGATGACTGGGATGACTAGGGATGACTAAGGATGACTAAGGATGACTGGGATGACTAGGGATGACTAGGGACGACTAGGAATGACGAAGGATGACTGGGATGACTAGGCATGACTTGGATGACTAGGGATGACTGCGGATGTCTACGGATGACTGGGATGACTAGGGATGACTGGGTATGACTAGGGATGACTGGGATGACTGCCGATGACTGGGATGACTAGGGATGACTAGGGATGAGTAGGGATGACTAGGGATGACTAAGGATGACTAGGGATGAGTAGGGATGACTAGGGATGACTAAGGATGACTAGGAATGACGAAGGATGACTAAGCATATCTGGGATGACTAAGTATCACTAGGATGACTTGGGATGACTGTGGATGTCTGGGATGACTAGGGATGACTAGGATGACTATGGATGACAGTGGATCACTAGGGATGACTAGGGATCACTAAGGATGACTAGGGATGACTAGGGATGACTAGGATGACTAGGAATGACTAGGGATGACTAAGGATGACTAGGGATGACTACGGATGACTGGGATGTGTAGGGATGACTAGGTATGACTGGGATGACTAGGGATGACTAGGATGACTCGGGATGACTAGGGATGACCGGGATGACTAGGGATGACTGCGATGACTAGGGATGACTGGGATGACTAGGGATGACTAGGGATGACGAAGGATGACTAGGGATTACTGCGATGACTAGGGATGACTGGGATGACTAGGGATGACGAAAGATGACTAGGGATGGCTGGGATGACTAGGGATGCCCGGGATGACTAGGCATGAGTAGGGAGGGCTAGGGATGACTAGGATGACTAAGGATAAGTAGGGATGACTTAGGATGACTAGGGATGACTAGGAATGAGTAGGGATGACTAAGATGACTGGGATGACTAGGGTCACTTGGCTGACTAGGGTTACTTGGGTGGTTTAGGGGACAAGGGTGACTAGGATTACTAGTGCGCTTACGAAGAATTACTAGTGCAGTTACGATACGTTAACTCATTGATTGTCCTCCATATTTCCTTCGGGTGACCCATATTTTGTTCCACTTCTGATTTATAATAATTTGCTTTTGCCATTTTAATCTCATAAGGTAATTTTAATCTCATCCTAGGTGACTAGGATGACGAGGATGATTTGGTTGACTTGGGTGACTAGAGTGACTTGGGTGATTAGGATGACTTGGGTTACTGGGGTGACTAGGATGACTTGGGTGAGTAGGGTGACTTGGGTGACTCGGATGACTTGGGGTATTAGGGTGACAGTCAATGCGTGGGAAAACTATCGGTCGCATCGCGAAATGTCAGCTTTTTTCATGCAGGCCATCAGAGCCTTACTTTCATTTAGAACAACAAACCTTGATGTTGTACTTTTTTCCTTTAACCTCCTTTGGTTGGCCATCAATGATTTCAAACTCCAAAGGAAATGATCTGCCGCTAATTTTGGTGTTGAGTCGAGATTTCGTGGTGAATCGTACTCCAACCTAAAAAAGAAATAAACCACCTTAACATGTTATGTAGTACGGGCCTTAAGGACCCTCATAGAGCAGCCAAAAAATAATATTTTCTGATTAGGTGATAGCATTATAGATAGTATCATGCCTGGTTTGTGTTTATGAATTTTGACGTTATACAAACTAGGTGACGATGAAGTAGTCAAAAATTCGTTAAAACTTTAAACAGCCCAACTGACACTCGTCAGGTGCTACACCCAAGTTAATATTATGCTATTCTGATAATCCGAAATCTCTTTAAGTGAACGCGAGTTGGTTTGCGTTGTGCAAGTTGATGATCATTCACTAACACAATTTTCAGATTGCGAAGTATTCTTCTTAAGTATAAATTTATAAAGGGCTATACTCTGTTGAGTTAAGTTTCAATCCACGTCTTTGAATTACTATTCAAAATACAAAAACAAGAACAATAAAAAGTTATTGGGAAAGTACTTTCATAAAACATTATTGCCGCGATCAAGCCTAAAGTAAACTCCTTTCTGTTTAGCTACATGGAGTACTGCATGACTTTTAAAGTACATAGTGAGCAACTTAAAGGTGCTTGATCGCTCAACAGCAGCAAATCTCAATCGATTAATAACAATAACAGAATGAAGAGAATAACGTGTACCTTCCCCGAATAAAATGTTGTTCCAGTACAAGGCAAACTTTCTCCTGGCCAGGCGAATAACTCATTCCTATCTGGAGGGAGACTGTTGCAAACGTAGATCTTAATTAATATATAAGTACCGTATTTCCTCGAATAACAGCCGTCCCTCGATTAATCACCGCCCTCGAATAATCGCCCCCCTCGAATAATCGCCCCCCTCGAATAATCGCCCCCCTCCCACCACTAAAGGCAACCCGCTATCGACACCCATAGCGGTAAATCTGGAGGATGAGGCTGAAGAAGAGTCAAGTCCAGCAAACTGATCAGTGATGATGCCGAGAATATTGACATTAAAATTAATCAAGGAACCTGTTACGAAAAATTGTATTGCGTGACTTTTAAACGTGACATTCCAGAAGCTTCGCGAGAGTTCAGATTTTGTTTATTTTTAGTACCTTGTGTAAACGTTCCCAAGGTATATTTCGTCGTCTTTCTATATTTAGACTTTTTGGAAGTTCTAGAATATTATTGTACATGTATACACGTAAGCGAGTCGAGTGCGAGCGAAGTTTTAACCCTTCTTGACTAGCGAAGAGAGCTTGACGTTAATCGTGTTTAGTCCAGTGTGATGGAAGCAGTGTTTATTGAAGTTGGCGGAGGCCGTGTAAGTTTACCGAGTTAAGTGCAGTTGGCGGAGGCCGTGTAAGTTTATCGAATTACGTGCTGTTGTAGAGTTTTACCTCGTGGAAACTACGTTCATTTCGGGAATAAATCTTCTCGTTGCTGTTCCGACAACCCTGCGTTTAGTTTAGTTTACAAGCTACCCGTCCTCCAAAAGATTACCCGCGTAACAGAACCAAATTTGCTACACTTAAAAAGCCCATGTCCAGTTTCTTTGATGTGATTATTTTTTTGAATTAATGGGAAAATAGAACAAAATATTTAGGGCACGACTTCCAGTGAACAATATATGAAATAATCGCCTCCCTCGAATAATTGCCCCCTTTTGGTGCGAAAAAAGAAATAATCACCCCCAGCTATTATTCGAGGAAATAGGGTATTTCATTTGTCCTTTAGTTTTACGAAAAGAGAGTTGGATGTCGCCTGGACATAAACGAAGTCTTTGCTTTTATTATGGAACCAGCTTTAGAAGATGCCACTGCCCTGGGTCCTTCTAGCAGAGGCAAGATAAGGAACTGAGATGATGGTGGGGTTTAAAGTCGTTTTGCCAACGAACCGTTTTGCTAACGTCTTAGGTTGTTTGTCAGTGTGTTAGATCAGTTTGCGAAAGTTTTATAAGTAACCACAGAAGGTCATAGTTTCGACTGCTGTTAGAAAGTCAGGGACCAATTTGTTTGACCTGACACGTTTGCAAACGTTAGAGAAACGACCTGTGGGCGAAAGGAGCCGTCATCAATGATGGTGATAAGACTAAAACTAAATTCTTTACCTGCTTGTAACTGTTGCTGGTGTGTTTGCCAAACAAATTACAGTTCCGTCGTCAGTTCCTAACACTAGTTCCAGTCCTGGTCTTCCTATTAACAGGTCAGCACTAACTGCAGAAGCTAACACAGGCTTAACAACGCTGATCAACTCTGTGCAGCGATCACTGCCTCTGATGATTGCAATTTGGCCGTCAACAAGGGGAACTACCTGAAACAAATTCATGATCAAAACCACAGGTCAAAAAAAACATAGGCTCTAATAACACACTGATCTTAAGGCGCTCTTTCCAGCAGTGCAAAAGGATTTTGGCTGACTGGTCTTTATCAAAACTTGCAAAACAAACCAACAAACAAACAAACGCGGAAGGGTCTATTTAGGTCATCACAGGGTATTCTCTAAATGAGAATCAATATAAACACATCAAGAAATACAGGAAAAGATCTCAAATACTTACGATGTCTGAGGCAGTGTTTTCTCCAGGAATTAGTTTAGTGACAAGCACAGATGCTCGCACCTCACTAGGTAACTTGACAGGCCACCCATGTAACACTTTCCCCGTATCTCCTTCCAGAACCCACACAAAACTGTTGATTGGTAAAGGAACAAGATGCTCAAGTAATGCTAACAATGAAGATTACCCCCAATGTCTGATGCATTACAATCAATTCTGTCGCAGGTCCGCTCCATACAGGCCAAAAAAGAGGACACCAACTTAAAAATCATGAGCAATCAACAGACACAGTAAAAACATGAAAACTATAATAATAAATGGTCACTGCCAAGCACTTCATGTTAATTTTGAAAAGCAGCTCACCAATTTACACGAAGGTTAAGACTAGGCTACATAATGGAGGTCTTTTAATATGTGCAGTAGCATGTTTTGGCTGACAAATCGTAGGCCAATCAATGAAGAGACTGGGAACCACACGCAGTGGTCTCCCTAAATTTTAGCTTAGCAACAAAGGGGCCATACATGGCCAGTAAGGCAAAAAATATGCACCAGAAAGTGCACTTTCCTTGGGTGGGGGGTGGGGGGGGGAAAGGGGGGCGAGAACGGGGGGAGGGGAAGGAAGGGAGGTAGTGGAGTGAGGGACATTACCCCACTATCGCTGGGAAACTTAACAGCTAAGTTCTCTGAAACTTCATTCCCTTATCTTAAGACCTATTTTACGCAAATCGGCCGTTGTTATCTTTAGACTCTTTCCAATAATTTTAGTTGGTCTTCACTGTTCCCTTTCCAAAAAGCAAGGCCCATAAAAAAAGCTTTGTATACTTTAGTATTTTTCAATGTATATTTATTCATTTTCCTCGCGAGACTCTGATCGGATCACAACTTCCTTTAAAACCTACTCTGCTGTTACGAACTATATCTAACATACATCACCCACCCATCAAACGTAGCAACAACAACTTCCATGAAGCCATCTCCATCTACATCAGCAACTCGCATCCCACCAGCACTTGAACTGGACACTTGAGCCTCCCAAACCTAAAATATGTTAAGTGGATGATCTGAAATGGTTGCCATCTTTTTTTATGACATCCTGTGAAGTACATTCTTGTAAATTGACGGGAATTTACAAAAAAAATTCGCGTTAATTTCTTTGGATACACATCTGCCATTCATGTCACATAAGACACGAGTAGAAAGAAGAGTTTTGTTATTACGGTGGGGATCCATCAGGAACAGTGCAACTGTATAAAACCCTCAAAGGGGCCATATTTCTTCGCTTCATTCAATTTGTACGTCTCGGGAAACAATAACCAGGACAAAAGGAACCAAATAGACAACAATAGCAAGAGTAACAACCGCAACAAAAGTGACAACAGCGACAACAGCGAAAACAGTGACAACAGCAACAATAGTGACAACAGCGACAAAAGTGACACAAGTGACAACAGTGAAAACAATGACAAAAGCGACAACAGCGACAACGGCGACAACAGCAACAAGGACGACAACAGTAACAACGGTGACAAAAGAGACAACAACGACAATGGCGACAACAGCGACAACAGGAACGACAGTGACAACAGCGACAAAAGGGACCACGGCGACAACCGGGACAAAAGTAACAACTGTGACAACAGCAACAATGACAGCAGTCACGACAGCGACAGAAATGACAACAGTGACAAGAGCGACAACGGTGACAACAGCGAAAACAGCAACAACAGTGGCAACAGCGACAACAGTGACAACAGCGACAACAACAACAGTGACAACAGAGACGACCGTAACAAGAGTGACAACGACAACAGTGACAACAGCGATAACAATAACAGCGCCAACCGCGACAACAGTGACAACAGCGACAAGACAACGACAACAGCAACAACAGTAACAACAACAGCGACAACGACAACAGTGACAACAACGACAACATCAGTGACAACAGCGACAACCGTGACAACAGCGATAACAGCAACAACAGCGACAAGACAACGACAACAGTGACAACAGAACAACAGCAACAACAGTGACAACAGCGACTACGACAACAGTGACAACAGTGACAACAGCGACAACATCAGTGACGACAGCGACAACCGTGACAACAGCCGACAACAGCGACAACAGCAACAACAGTGACAACACCTACAACAGCGACAACACTGACAACAACGATAACAGTGACAACAGTGACAACAGCGACAACATCAGTGACAACAGCGACAACCGTGACAACAGCGACAACAGCGACAACAGCGACAACAGTGACAACACCTACAACAGCGACAACACTGACAACAACGACAACAGTGACAACAGCGACAACAGGTACAACAACCACAAAAGGGACATTGGGAATTACAAGGACAACAGTGACAACAAGCAGAACATGGACAACAGGGAGAACAGTGACAGTGGTGACAACAGGGACAAAAGGAACAACAAAGATGACACGGACATCAGGAACAATAGGGACAACAATGACAGCAGCGACAAGAAGGAGAACAGGGACAACATCAGAGACAACAGGGAGAACAAGAATGACCAAGATGATGGGGACAACTGGGGTACAAGTTTCCACTTGAAATTAAACTTTGTTCTTTTCATCTCAACCGGTCTGATCTTTGTGTGCAAAGCATGAATTTCTTTCCTTTTAAAAATGAAACCCTCTCTTTCATCTTAATCTCCGTTATTTGAAAGACATTTTCCACTAAATTCGTTTTAATTTTTAACTCAACGCAAATTTCGAAATTAATTTGGAATTAACGTGGCTTAAAAGTTACATGAATTTCCAATACCTTAATTTCAAGGAGAGTTTATTTCCTGTAATAAAGTATATAGGACATCATTTTTTATCCTTACCATTTTTCCACTAAGGTCCTTACAAACAATGTTACCACTGTTGTCTATTGCAAGAATTTCAAATGATCCATCCTGATTAACATCAGAGGCAATGACCTAAGACAGAGAACCATGGCTAATTCAGTCCATCCAATACTACTCATTATTGTATTCTCTCTATAATATATATATTGACGTAGCTCACTACCTCCGATCCTAGTAACATCGATCACTGCCTAAAGTATGCTATTTATGTCCTTCGGTTGCTTCTTTACAATTAATTTAGTTAAGCCTCAAATTAAAGGGCTCAAAATAATTTTTATACAGCCGCTTGTCATGTGGACCAGTCAAACAAGTTTTTGCTTGGTCATCTGGCTCACGTCTGACTGGTCAAAATGTTGAAAACTTGCATATCACTGATTGGCATTCACAAAGCCATAGAACAAGACCACCTCATCTGCATTCTCCAAATTTTATAACTGCAAGCAGCTAAGATGTTTTATGATTTCAATTGTTTTTGTAATTTACAGATTCAAATCAATGCGATTATATTTTCCAGTAACATATTTGAAAGACATGCACGTGAAGTTTGTCCGGACAAATGGTGGTCTTAGCATGACTTTGTTTATTGACTGGCTGTTATTTTGAGCCCTGTATTATTGTTGTTCAGTTGTTAAATATTATTAAAGTCTAAACATAATATATGTTGTTCCTTAATTACTAAATGTAGTTTAGGTTCACCTTTATTAATGTTGTTTAATCTTCGGATATCATTCAGGAAATTCACTCTCATATTATGTCTGAGTTTTTTATTACTATTAGTGAGCTTACGCAACAGGATGGGAGAGGAAAGAAGACGGCAAACCTTGCGTGACAAGGGTGACAATAATTTTGTTTGGAAAAACTTTTTGCCAAATGTCACCCTCCTTTAAACAGATCTTTGTGTACAAGACCAGAAAACATCAATATTAAGTGAAGATCGCAACAAAACACACAAGTTATAGCCCTGTCACATTTGTCACACACAAGCATTTTGAAGTCATCTTATTTGTGCCATCCTGTTGCATAAACTCACTATTATTCATAATGGTCTCTTTAAGCGCATTAATACATGTTAATTCCAGTTAAATCCTTTCATCTAATATGCATCCAATGGAATCAAATGTCTAGAACACACTTAAATTGGTTCCTTCCGTTGGTACAGAGGCGCAAACTACGTACAACAAAAGAAACAAATGATTTCACCAAACATTTAAGACCCCAGGAGAACTCTATTGTTTGGTTCTTTTGTTTCTTTTGTGATGACGATACCTGCAGAAAGACCCCTAATTATAACATACTTACTTGTCCAGGAATGCTGTCCATGGTACTAATTGACTGAGGTTCTGTTAACAGTGTCGTTACCAAATGGATATTTCCTGCTGAACTTCCTAACACTACACCAGCACCTGGTACAAGGGATGCAGCAGACAGCACATATCCTGGATACTGACTGGATTGCTGGAGAACAAAACCCAAGATCACCTAACATGTCTTGTAAAGGAGATATGGCTACCAATTTCTACGTGGTCATCTGAGTCATGCAAAAGGTCTAGCTGTTGGCAGGGTAAAATTGAAACTGAATACAACAAGATGGTTGTTTTTCATGATATTTCATATATTGCAAATACACAATGAAAGAGTGTCTTAAAATCCAATAAATTATGGCTTTAATATTCTTTGGCTCACTCTCTTGGCCAAATAAAAAACATCAGAATTCTCAAACGAACAGCAATGCATGAGCCTCCTAATTAAGTGGTAGTCTTTGTTTTACACCTGACCATGAAAACTAACTGAAACATTTATCACTTACTCACTTCCTGCTTATTTATCTAATTACTACAATAAATAGCTAATGAGGATAAAGGGATACTGACCCTTGTGACCTCCAAAATAGAAGAAAATACCAGCTGCTTTGTTTGAAGATTGAAGACTATCAGAGCACTGCCAAGATAATTCTCCAGCTGTTCTGAAGGCAAACCTTGTCCAGATGGAAAAGATTGGCTGTTAATGGACAAAAAAACTTATTAAAGCTTATTAAAGTTTTCTTAAAATAACCCAAAATCTTTCTATAAATTATAAGCACTAGCTAGGTACCAGTAATTTTGTCTTGACAAATTCTTGATGTCCTATGTATTCACATAAAAGTATTAATCTTCACTGACAACCCAAAAGCTGCCTTGATGGGGTCAGCACCTTAGCCCTTTAAACCCGAAGAGTGATCAGTAACAAATTTCTCCTTGTAATGGCAATGCTTTGTAAAACAGAGTGGTTATGAGAATTACAGACATGATCACACAAAATGAATTTGCTTGATATTTTATTAACTTATTCTCACTACTTATGTAGTAAATGAATAGGGGTGACAAATGAGAAGTTTAATTTTGATCTCAGGGTTTAAAGGGTTAATGTGGTGAGGAGGTTTGCACGCACATTGTATCCATGACCCATTCACCTTTGTCAGTTGAGGTCTAGCACTCCTGGTAGGGCTACCCATGCTGAACAGGTTAATAAGGGTAGAAATCAGATCCAACCTGTGATCCCTTAATCCTCTCGATTGGGGGATTAAGCATAATGTCCCTGTCCAGTAAAAAGCTGATGTCACAGAAACTGATGGCCTTTTGCGCCTTAAGGTGCGACAATGACAATGACAGTGGAGGCAAAATGCACTTTATTTGAGTGTCAAAGTATTTAGCATGAAAGTACTAATTGGGGGGACACATACCCGAAGGTCTACCCATTTGCAGGGCAGAGGAAGTACCCTAATTTCTCAGTTATTTTAAGAATGATGGCAACCTTACAATGGCGATTAGATTCCAGACGTTCATAGACACCTACCTTTTGTCTTCAAAATAGAAATTGGTAGCAATAACGAGTTCTTCATCTGATCCATCACCATTGAAGTCTGTAATGAATGGGGTGGACAAGATGTGTGGGTCAACAAAGATTGTAAACCCATCAGTGGACAAACCGGATGGGCGCAAACCAGGCTGGTATCTGGACCAAATAGTGTAGTCACCATTGCCACTGCTTTTGTTTGACACTTCTTTCTTGTCCTATGGGGAAAAATGATACAGCTGAGTTATGCATTGATAGAAGGGTTTATTCTAAAGTGCTTTCTATGATTTCCCGAAATCAGCTCATACCAAAGTGAAATGCTACAAATAAGAAATAGCCTTTCCAAACACTTAAACTGCTAGACTTGCACTCTGGATATGTGTTTCCTGGGTAGGGGATCACATCTCACAAGGGGTATGTATTTCCCAGGTTCCCAGGATGGCGCACACATATCAGTAGGGATATGTGTTTCCAAGGTAGGGGAACACATATCAGGAAGGATATGTGTTTCCCAGGTGGGGGAACACATATCACGAGGGATATGTGTTTCCCAGGTGGGGGAACACATATAATTACGGATAATTATGTGTTTCCCAGGTAGGGAAACACATATCAGGAAGGATATGTGTTTCCCAGGTGGGGGAACACATATCACTAGGGATATGTGTTTCCCAGGTAGGGGAACACATATAACTAAGGATAATTATGTGTTTCCCAGGTAGGGGAACACATATCAGGAAGGATATGTGTTTCCCAGGTGGGGGAACACATATCATTAAGGATAATTATGTGTTTCCCAGGAAGGGGAACACATATCACTAGGGATATCTGTTTCTCAGGTAGAGAAAAACATACCACTAGGCATACGTGTTTCCCAGGTGGGGGAGTACATATCACTAGCGAGAGGTGTTTCCCAGGTGGGGGAACAGGTATCACTAGTGATATGGATTTCCTAGGTGGGGGAATATGTATCACTAGGGATATGTGTTTCCCTTGTAGGGGAACACATATCACTACGGATACGTGTTTCCCAGGTGGGGGAACACATATCACTAGGCATATGTGTTTCCCAGGAGGGGGAAAATGAGGGATATGTCTTTACTAGGTGGAGAGGAGCACACATCACTAGGGATATGTGTTTCCCAGGTAGGGGAACACATATCATTAGGAATAAGTGTTTAGGAATAAGTGTTTTCCAGGTGTTTCACTAGGGATATGTGTTTCGCAGGTGAGGGAACACATATCTCTAGGGATATATGTTTCGCAGGTATGGGAACACATATCAATAGGGATATGTGTTTCCCAGGTGGGGGAACACATATCACCAGGCATATGTGTTTCCCAGGTGGGGGAACACATATCACTAGGGATATATGTTTCCCAGGTAGGGGAACACATATTACAAGGGACATGTGTTTCCCAGGTAGGGGAATGCATATAATTAGGGATAGGTGTTTCCCAGGTGGGGGAAGACAAATCAATAGGAATATGTGTTTCTCAGGTGAGGGAACACATATCACTAGGGATAGGTGTTTCCCAGGTGGGGGAAGACAAATCACCAGGGATATGTGTTTCTCAGGTGAGGGAACACATATCACTAGGGATATGTGTTTCTCAGGTGAGGAAACACGTATCACCAGGGATATGTGTTTCCCAGGAAGGGGAACACATATCACTAGGGATATGTGTTTCCCAGGAGGGGGAACATGAGGGATATGTCTTTACTAGGTGGAGAGGAGCACATATCACTAGGGATATGTGTTTCCGAGGTAGGGGAACACATATCATTAGGAATAAGTGTTTAGGAATAAGTGTTTCCCAGGTGTTTCACTAGGGATATGTGTTTCGTAGGTGGGGGAACACATATCACTAGGGATATGTGTTTCCTAGGTCGGGAAACACATATCACTAGGGATATGTGTTTCCCAGGTGGGGGAACACATATAACCAGGGATATGTGTTTCCCAGATAGGGGAACACATATCAGTAGGGATATGTGTTTCTCAGGTAAGGGAACACATATCACTATGGATACGTGTTTCCCAGGTGGGGCAACACATATCACTAGGGATAGGTTTTTCCCAGGTGGGGGAACACATATCACAAGGGATATGTGCTTCTCAAGTAGGGGTACACATATCACTAGGGATAGGTGTTTCCCAGGTGGGGAAACACATATCACTAGGGATATGTGTTTCCCAGGTGGGGGAACACATATCCGTGGGGATATGTGTTTCCTAGGTGGGGGAACACATATTACTAGGGATATGTGTTTTTTCAGGTGGGGGAACACATATCACTAGGGATATGTGTTTTCCTGGGTGGGGAACACATATCACTAGGGATATGTGTTTTCCAGGTAAGGGGAACACATAATTATCACTAGGGATATGTGTTTCCCAGGTGGGGAACACATATCACTAGGGATAGGTGTTTCCCAGTTGAGGGACCACATATCACTAGGGATATGTGTTTCCTAGGTGGGGGGAAGACATATCACTAGTGATATGTGTTTCCCAGGTAGGGGAACACATATCACTTGCTATATGTGTTTCCCAGGTGGGGAACACATATCACTAGGGATATGTGTTTCCCAGGTGGGGGGAACACATATCACTGGGGATATGTGTTTCCCAGGAGGGGAATATGAGGGATATGTCTTTACTAGGTGGAGAGGAGCACATATCACTAGGGATATGTGTTTCCCAGGTAGGGGAACACATATCATTAGGAATAACTGTTTAGGAATAAGTGTTTCCCAGGTGTTTCACTTGGGATATGTGTTTCCCAGGTGGGGGAAGACATATAACCAGGGATATGTGTTTCCCAGGTAGGGGAACACATATCAGTAGGGATGTGTGTTTCTCAGGTAAGGGAACACATATTACTATGGATACGTGTTTCCCAGGTGGGGCAACACATATCACTAGGGATAGGTTTTTCCCAGGTGGGATGTATATGTTTCCCAGGTAGGGGAACACATATTACAAGGGACATGTGTTTCCCAGGTAGGGGAATGCATATAATTAGGGATAGGTGTTTCCCAGGTGGGGGAAGACAAATCAATAGGAATATGTGTTTCTCAGGTGAGGGAACACATATCACTAGGGATAGGTGTTTCCCAGGTGGGGGAAGACAAATCACCAGGGATATGTGTTTCTCAGGTGAGGGAACACATATCACTAGGGATATGTGTTTCTCAGGTGAGGAAACACGTATCACCAGGGATATGTGTTTCCCAGGAAGGGGAACACATATCACTAGGGATATGTGTTTCCCAGGAGGGGGAACATGAGGGATATGTCTTTACTAGGTGGAGAGGAGCACATATCACTAGGGATATGTGTTTCCGAGGTAGGGGAACACATATCATTAGGAATAAGTGTTTAGGAATAAGTGTTTCCCAGGTGTTTCACTAGGGATATGTGTTTCGTAGGTGGGGGAACACATATCACTAGGGATATGTGTTTCCTAGGTCGGGAAACACATATCACTAGGGATATGTGTTTCCCAGGTGGGGGAACACATATAACCAGGGATATGTGTTTCCCAGATAGGGGAACACATATCAGTAGGGATATGTGTTTCTCAGGTAAGGGAACACATATCACTATGGATACGTGTTTCCCAGGTGGGGCAACACATATCACTAGGGATAGGTTTTTCCCAGGTGGGGGAACACATATCACTAGGGATATGTGTTTCCCAGGTAGGGGAACACATATCACTAGGGATATGTGTTTCCCAGGTGGGGGAACACATATCACTAGGGATATGTGTTTCCCAGGTGGGGGAACACATATCCGTAGGGATATGTGTTTCCTAGGTGGGGGAACACATATTACTAGGGATATGTGTTTTCCAGGTGGGGGAACACATATCACTAGGGATATGCGTTTCCTGGGTGGGGGAACACATATCACTAGGGATATGTGTTTTCCAGGTAGGGGAACACATAATTATCACTAGGGATATGTGTTTCCCAGGTGGGGGAACACATATCACTAGGGATAGGTGTTTCCCAGTTGGGGGACCACATATCACTAGGGATATGTGTTTCCTAGGTGGGGGAAGACATATCACTAGTGATATGTGTTTCCCAGGTAGGGGAGCACATATCACTTGCTATATGTGTTTCCCAGGTGGGGGAACACATATCACTAGGGATATGTGTTTCCCAGGTGGGGGAACACATATCACTGGGGATATGTGTTTCCCAGGAGGGGGAATATGAGGGATATGTCTTTACTAGGTGGAGAGGAGCACATATCACTAGGGATATGTGTTTCCCAGGTAGGGGAACACATATCATTAGGAATAACTGTTTAGGAATAAGTGTTTCCCAGGTGTTTCACTTGGGATATGTGTTTCCCAGGTGGGGGAAGACATATAACCAGGGATATGTGTTTCCCAGGTAGGGGAACACATATCAGTAGGGATGTGTGTTTCTCAGGTAAGGGAACACATATTACTATGGATACGTGTTTCCCAGGTGGGGCAACACATATCACTAGGGATAGGTTTTTCCCAGGTGGGGGAACACATATCCCTAGGGATATGTGTTTCTCAGGTGAGGGAGGACATATCACTAGGGAAGACAGGTGGGGGAACACATATCACTAGGGATATGTGTTTCCCAGGTAGGGGAACACATATCACTAGGGATATGTGTTTCCCAGGTGGGGGAACACATATCACTAGGGATATGTGTTTCCCAGGTAGGGGAACACATATCACTAAGGATATGTGTTTCCCAGGTGGGGGAACACATATCACTAGGGATATGTGTTTCCCAGGTGGGGGAACACATATCAGTAGGGATATGTGTTTCCTAGGTGGGGGAACACATATTACTAGGGATATGTGTTTTCCAGGTGGGGGAACACATATCACTAGGGATATGCATTTCTTGGGTGGGGGAACACATATCACTAGGGATATGTGTTTCTCAGGTAGGGGAACACATATCACTAGGGATATGTGTTTTCCAGGTGGGGGAACACATATCACTAGGGATATGTGTTTTCCAGGTAGAGGAACACATAATTATCACTAGGGATACGTGTTTCCCAGGTAGGGGAACACATATCACTAGGGATAGGTGTTTCCCAGGTGGGAACACCCAGGTGGGGGAACACATATCACTAGGAATATGTGTTTCCTAGGTGGGGGAAGACATATCACTAGCGATATGTGTTTCCCAGGTAGGGGAGCACATATCACTTACTATCTGTGTTTCCCAGGTGGGGGAACACATATCACTAGGGATATGTGTTTCCCAGGTGGGGGAACACATATCACTAGGGATATGTGTTTCCCAGGTGGGGGAACACATATCAGTAGGGATATGTGTTTCCCAGGTGGGGGAACACATATTACTAGGGATATGTGTTTCCCAGGTGGGGGAACACATATCACTAGGGATATGCATTTCCTAGGTGGGGGAACACATATCACTAGGGATATGTGTTTCCCAGGTGGGGGAACACATATCACTAGGGATATGTGTTTCCCAGGTGGGGGAACACATATCACTAGGGATATGTGTTTCCCAGGTAGGGGAACACATATCACTAAGGATATGTGTTTCCCAGGTGGGGGAACACATATCACTAGGGATATGTGTTTCCCAGGTGGGGGAACACATATCAGTAGGGATATGTGTTTCCTAGGTGGGGGAACACATATTACTAGGGAGATGTGTTTTCCAGGTGGGGGAACACATATCACTAGGGATATGCATTTCTTGGGTGGGGGAACACATATCACTAGGGATATGTGTTTCTCAGGTAGGGGAACACATATCACTAGGGATATGTGTTTTCCAGGTGGGGGAACACATATCACTAGGGATATGTGTTTTCCAGGTAGAGGAACACATAATTATCACTAGGGATACGTGTTTCCCAGGTAGGGGAACACATATCACTAGGGATAGGTGTTTCCCCAGGTGGGAACACCCAGGTGGGGAACACATATCACTAGGAATATGTGTTTCCTAGGTGGGGAAGACATATCACTAGCGATATGTGTTTCCCAGGTAGGGAACATATCACTTACTATCTGTGTTTCCCAGGTGGGGGAACACATATCACTAGGGATATGTGTTTCCCAGGTGGGGGAACACATATTACTAGGGATATGTGTTTCCCAGGTGGGGGAACACATATCAGTAGGGATATGTGTTTCCCAGGTGGGGGAACACATATTACCAGGGATATGTGTTTCCCAGGTGGGGGAACACATATCACTAGGGATATGCATTTCCTAGGTGGGGGAACACATATCACTAAGGATATGTGTTTCTCAGGTAGGGGAACACATATCACTAGGGATATGTGTTTTCCAGGTGGGGGAACACATATCACTAGGGATATGTGTTTTCCAGGTAGGGGAACACATAATTATCACTAGGGATATGTGTTTCCCAGGTAGGGGAACACATATCACTAGAGATATGTGTTTCCCAGGTGGGGGAACACATATTACTAGGGATAGGTGTTTCCCAGGTGGGGGAACACATATCACTAGGAATATGTGTTTCCTAGGTGGGGGAAGACATATCACTAGCGATATGTGTTTCCCAGGTAGGGAAGCACATATCACTTGTTATATGTGTTTCCCAGGTGGGGGAACACATATCACTTGCTATATGTGTTTCCCGGGTAGGGTAACACAGATCACCAGGGATATGTGTTTTCTAGGTGGGGCAACACATATCAATAGGGATATGTGTTTTGTTGGTGGGGGAACACATATCACTAGTGATCTGAGTTTCCCAGGTAAGGGATAGGACATAGTGATATGTGTACCCTGGGTAGAACAACACATATCAGTAGGAATTGTTCCCGGTTAGGGAATACACATTTCACTAGGGCTATGTGTCAGGGGAAATTCATATATTACCGGAGGAACACATGTTACTGTGACATGACAGTGATATGTGACATGTGACATGTCCGGTGTGAAATGTGTTTCCCCTACATGGAATCACATATCCCTAGTGATATTTTTACATAGCCCTAGTGATATCTCTACACCTTTACACCTACTCCAGGAACACATATCACTAGTAATATGTGTTTTACTTGTGATACATGTTTCACAAAAAAGAACAATGCAGGGCATGATTAAAACAATTTCCTTTTTTTTTCTATCTTACATCTTTTTTAATGGTCCATTTTTTCGCTTTTCTCCAACAATTTACAGGTGGCAAAAACCTCAAAGTAGCCGGCAATAGTGCCGGTTGCTGCAGCATTTTGACAATCGAGAATGTGTCAATTATTACTTTTGTCCCTGATTGTAGGTGTAATCAATGTTATAGAAGACCACTAAAAATAACACTGACTTAAGATAAGTGTGTACTGAATGAAAATTAGTACAAGGTTACATGTACCATAAGAGGGTCTTGCTTGACAATAAACTCTTCATACAACAAAAGTCTGGCTGATTTGGTTGGTTGAGATACAGATCTGAGGTAGTCATTGTCTTGAATACGTTGAGGATCTATGACAAACCAGTCCTTTTTCATTACCAAAGGTGGAACCTAGGAGTGTTAGATGATAACTTGTTGTTAATCAAAGGTTCCCACAAGCTGCTTATGACTGCAAGATTTATGTGTATTAACAACAACAAAAACCATGTACCATAACATATTTCAAAATGATATTATCTATAATTTATGGCTAGCTCCAAAAGGGAACAAGATATTAATCACATCTTGTGTACTGATTAGCTATGCCTAGAAAGCAAGATGGACCAATCTTAGCCTGCTAGCAGGCTCTTCGGGGCACTCTAGCATTCATTATCCATCCAGCTATCAGAGCACCTTGAAGAGCTGGCTAGTGGGCTAGATCAATCTTGTCTGCTTAAAATTTGCTGCTTTTTTCCCACAATTAAAAACTGTCTTTTGACAATTAACATTGTTTAATAAGGCCTAATGAGTTCATAACAAGCTGTTTTTTGGGACAGGATTTCTCATATACTGGCCTTGTTTGTTTTAGTGAACTTGTAGAATGTCCACACCTAAGAAAATTTGGAAAATGGGGTAGATTTTTTGGAGGTCAGTGTATAAATATTGAATGCAAAGTTTGACTTCTGGATTCACTACTCAGAAAGTGGTTAGTGTGTGCTACTGATTTTAAATTATAAAACTGCTATGGAAATCTTCTTAATTACTTTTTATGTTAAAATACTTCATTGTATACCATCAAATCTACATGCTTTGACAGGACAAATAGCACTACATAGACTGCAACTTACTAGAAATGTTTCTCCATCTAAAAAGGTACCATCACTCTTTAGAAATATTATCATGCCATCAGCAGTAGCTAGCAACACCTCATGCATGCCATCATTGTCATAATCATACTACAATTTGGACAACATGTAAAAATATGGTAAAAATACGTAACGGAACTGCATACCTACACTACCAAACTTTGATTTAATGACAGAGGTGTACAGCTTTTAAACTAGGAGAGAGATAGCTAGCTTGTGAGCAGGGTCACTTGTGCAAGTTGTGGGAAAATTTTGGGAGGAAAGCCACTAGAGTGTGAGGAAAAATGCTCACTTTTCCTCATGTACCGGCTTATCTAGGCTCGATTTCCGCCGTCCCTCAGGTCCGGTCTTTGATCCTCCCCCAAGAGCTCTTTTGGGGGGATGAGTGCGGGCTCATTTTTCCGAACAGCCGCTGGTAATCGAGCCTACGGCTGATCAAGATTTCCCCTAAACTCACACAAGTGAACCTGATTGCAGACAGGCTAGGAGACAGAAGTCTAGGACCATTGTAAATTGATTATTTTATGGTGAGGTAGGGTTTGAAGGGAAAAGGGTACTAGTTTGAAGGGAAAGGGTACTAGACGGTCACAAAACCTGGATCAGACCAGATCAGGTAACCTTTTGCAACTGACTAAATCTCAAAAGGTTGCAGGTAATGGTTAGCAGGCTTCTATCCACCTTTACGCATGGAAGCATAAGTAGCAGATGGTAGTCATCACTTAATGATCAAGATCACAGTGACCTACATGTGCCTGAGACAAACAATGACAAACAAAGAACTTAACAAAGTGTCAATAGTACATAATTCCTTATTGTTTAAGTACCAGTAATGGTGCTGCAAATAACAATTTTCCTGGAAGATTCACAGGCCACCCAGGAAGTTCCTGCCCTGACCGACCATCAACCACTGAGACTTGGCCATTGAAGGATGTAACTAACACATCATTCACATTATCACCATTCAAGTCTGCCACCAAAGGACTTGACACAACCGGAGAGGATCCTACATCTGCCTGCCATATTGGCTCCAAATTACGGTGACAGTCATGTGCCATTAAAGATGACAAGGCATCCAAAAATAGGGTAAGGATTAAGACTTTGATACAGTAGGCTCTTGTTGTTGCCTTTGTTGCACACATCTCATCTGGCTTGCTTCTTGATGAGTTTGTGGGTATAAAAGTGAAAATAATCAGATTATAAGTAATACAAATTATCGTCAATCTTGATCCCAATAATACTGAAGGGTGTTCATTTCCTCAGGATTCTCAATAGAAGGCAGCACCCGGCGATTGATCGCCGCTTACTTCGGGATTTTTAGCTGCTTACTTTGTGTTTAAGTCGCTTTTCTTTGCTTTGTTTTGACACCTCTGGCTTTGCTGAAGAGCCTCCTACTTTATCAGTGATCACCTCCTACTTAAAAATCTGTTGAGAACCCTGTTCCTTCGTTTCCCAGGTTGTTCTAAAAGTTTTCTTATACTGTCAAGAGGGGCACAGGACACTTTTATACCTGCCAACTTTTTCTGAGTGAAATACGTGAAATTTTTGTCTTGTCTATAAAAGCTACTAAAAAGCAGTATATAAATGAAACAAAATCAAAATGCAGTTGCCGTGACTTTAATCATCAAAGCGCCATACGGAGCAAATTTCATGACCATTCTTGACTTTTCCATCAGCCGCTGAAAAAACTGGCCGTTGTCAAGAAGTTATTTTTGCAGTTGGGAACACGCTTTAGTGGCCCTTGCCGTTGTGGAGAGGTGGCCGTTGTGTAGAGGTTTAAATAAAGAGTCAATGTATGGACTGTCCGTAAGGTTTGACTGTACACAAACTGCTGTAGTGTTAGAGTACCAGTAAACTGCATGCATAAGTAACGTATCCAGCTGAGTGAAAAGCTTACCTGACCAGTCAACTGTTTACAGAACAAAAACAAACGACCAAGAAAAAATCACAATCATGAAAACATCGAGAAACCGTACTTGTTATTGAATCTTGCCGCCATTTTGTTTGGGCCTGCGGTTTTAGTATCAGTGGACCTTCAAAAAAAGTATGCGCCGAATTCCATGGTACCCAAGCCTCCCTCGGTAGAATTTTTTCTGTTTATTAGTGAGAAGACACAATACTATTTCTTACACAAAGTCTATATCACCGGTTCACTTGTGGCTTTTCACCATGAAGTAAAAGCCTGCAAAATAACAAAATGGCGGCTGAACCGTCTGAAAGCCAGTTGGGAGTTTCGTGGCATGACAGTGCCTGGATTCCGGCTCTTAATCCCGGAAATGTTCTCGAATACTTTTCACAGAGAACTAACCCGTTCTATGATCGCACTTGTAACAATGAAGTAGTGAAAATGCAAAGGCTAGATCCGTCTACGTTACAGTAAGCTTAAGTCTATATAAAACTGTCAACTATAAGATTTAAGACTTATTTAAATTAGTTTTCTACTAGATTTGACGATAAAACTGTTTTTTCTGAAGGACCATGACAGGTATTGAGTATGAAGTCCTTCATGTACAGGATCCAATTCTCTATGTCATTCGAAAGCAGCACAGAATCTCTCCAACGCAAGGTCAGATAAATGCAATTATGAAAGCTTACATTGGGCATTGTACAGTTTAGTTTGGGGTGCTTCAAAACAGTGGGCTATTCCTCACCTACGATCTAGCTTAATCTGCCAGAATAAGGAGGATAATGTCCAATTATTCTCTCCATGTGTCACACTAGCTCCACGTCAGAAGAATTTAAGAATACCCAGCTACTTAATATGGATGGCAACATCGAATAGAGTATATAGGAACCTTCCATTATTTATCCGCAACTCCCCAAAGGATGGCAGGTTTTTGAATAGACCTTTTAACGGTTTTTTCAACTTCTGACATGTACAAGTCATCGAAAATCCGTCAACACCACTGGTAAGAGCGCCTTAATAATAATGTGAAAGTGGTATGACATTTGTATGGTGGGGGGCAAGTTTATGCCCCCCACTATACAAACATCTGTAAAATGTTGCGACTTTGAGGATCTATATCTTTGTTAGTTTTCAACAAATCACTTTCAAACTAGGCAGTATTATTAATCTTAAGGCGCTCTTTTCAGTGGTGTCGACGAATTCTCCCGAACTTTTCCATGTCAAAAAGTTAAAAAAAAAAGCGTGAAAAGGTCTATAGGTGTGTTCGGATTATTTCTTCAAAGAAGCCAACAAATTTGGACCCTTTGAACAAAGGTTTTAAAGATGCTGACAGAAATTTGATGGTGCGGATTCCAGCCATCTTTATGGATGGTGTGGATACAAAATGGAACATCCCAAAGCATGCGATAACAAAAGGATCCATTCTGATTTAATAAAGGTGGAAATAAAGTGCCAGTTATGTTATATAATCCACAGTAGTGTCTATTGCAATAGGCCACTTCCAAGTTCCAAAAACCCTCACTTTTAAACTGAGGCCAAGTGCACAACCGTTCTTGTGAAAATGAGTTTTATTTGCATGAGAATGAAAAATCATTTCCACTTCAAAGGCCAAGCACTTAACATTGTTTTGATACAGAGGCCAGGGGAACTCGCAAATGGCCTATTTCATGTACATTTTATGTACACTTACTAACCACCTACCAGGAGAACTCTGCTACTGATCAGTTTCTCCACTCATTTCTTTGGCATTTAGTCACACCTATTGCAGATTATTACGTGTTAGCAGGAGTGGTGTATCAGGCCCCTGATCTGTGCTCTGTCATCAACTCAAGATTGGTAAATAACATCAAGCGTAGTTAATAGAGTGGAATGGTTGTGAAACCCATCAGACTTTACCCTGCCCAAAAACCATCTGTAACCAGTCTCCTCTACTAATTATGCCTCAAGTATAATGTTGTTAGTCAAATTTAGTTTATTATTGTTTGCACTGCAATACTATGTGGTCTTTTGTGGTCAAACCAGGGCTGTCAATAAGGGCCGATAGCCGGCCAAAACCATCGGCTAGATAGCCATCCTTAGCCGGCTACTTTCATCTCCTTCTAGCATAACTGCCAACAAAAAATAAGCACCCTCGAATAAAATAGTAAAGCATCCGTTTCCCAGTTTTAAATGACATTGAATGCATATTTAAACAGGTTTAGATCTGAGAAACGTTCAAGCCGTATGATGTCGTGGAATGCCATTGATATTTTGGGGGCATTGTTCCCAGTCTTGCGTGTATTCTGCCGAAACAACATGGTGTCCGCAGTGGAAAATACAGATTGAAAACCCCTGGAAACTCCATTTCTGAGACTCTAAATTTCAAAATGTCCCTAGATGCCTCGGCCCTCAAGAACTTGTGCCTTTGGTGCGAGTTCCAAAGCAACCTACTATTCATTATCAGCCTGCTAATTAAAAACTTTTTGACAGCCCTAGGTCAAACCCTGTTTTAGTGTAGATTTTTGTTGGATCGTAAAGTCTTAATGTTTTTGCTTTGTTAAATTTTGGTGCTGGGGATTTTTTCAGAGACATTTTACTTCTTCTGTGTCCACAGCATTCTGCCCTGCATCACATACAAGCAGCTTTTGATGAAGGTGTGTTGAAATTAATCTGTCTCATATTCTACAAAATTCTTGAAGCTTCTGGAATACATTTTTTTAAGAGTATGCTCATTGCAGACTTTCATTTATTGATTCGTTCTGAGCCTTTTTTTTGTTATCTATACAGCATCATCCTACTCTAGATATCATCCATCCAAGGGATATTGGTGGCAGTTTAAAGACAAACAACAGAAGCAATCTAATGGTTAGTTAATGAAAAGAAATTCTCTACTTACTGCTGAGTGCTGAGATGGATGTTTATTTTGGTAATGCTCTGATCAGCTCCTCTTTCTAACTCATAGAGTGATTTTACTTGACCCATGAAACAGATACTAACATCTACTGCAAAATCGCTGATTGTAAACAAAAGAAGACAGTGGAAATAGTGCATAATAGTGCATAGCAATCTACTACCTATTTTATGGGTTAACTAAAATCATTCTATCAAAGTTTTATTAATATACAACATTAATGCATCTTTCCATTGTTTAGAGCAAGTTATTATTTTCAATAGATAGATGGGCAGGTCACTGACATTGTACAGAAAATAATGACCTCCTGTGCTGCTTTATGAACATAATTATGACCCGCTGGGTTTCAATCAGTGGAAAGGAGCATTGAATCACTGAGATAACCCCTTGTCTCCTCATCAACCATTTTTAAAGTTATGTACCTTAATACCCAGGATTAATACCAGAACAGCCAGGGTGACAGAGGCGAAATAAAAAGAAAATGGAGCATTAATAATATTTCATGCAAGTGACTCACATGTGGTCTCACTCAAACAAAAAGAAAGATGGTAAAGAGGAACTTATTACAAATTTAAAACACCATGGCTTAGCACATAACTACCATGTACTGAACACAGATTGCCGAAGTGGCAACTTCCGCAGCAATTTTAGACACCATTTTTTTATTTTTTCTTGCCTTGGTGAGCAAAATGGTCAAAGCTTGGAGTACTGTATGAAGTTAGTGATTATAATGAGAAAGATGTGTAATAAATGTATTTCTCCTTTCCCCACTCTGCCACCTTAAACCAGTGTTTGTGGTTATTTTCCTATAATGAAGGTGCTAAAAACAACAAGAGTGAAAAAACAAAATCAGTGAAGGATCCTAACTCAGAACCCAGCTCACTGTTTCAGAGAGAGGGTGTTCATATCCTCCTTGGTGAACTATCAAAAAAATTTCCACCACAGTTTCTTCAACAGGGCCAGGCATTACCTGGTAAGTATTTGATCAGTATTTTGCTCAAATTTAACATAAGCAATCATACGATTTTGATGTCAGTTTGCAGTAAATAAGCAACAGCAACTTTTTTGAAAGAATAAAAAAGAATTGGTGAGATCTGTGGCATTTGAGAAAGTTGGTGGGTCTGAAAAAATAATATTTTCAGAAACAAAATAAAAAATATGATAATTGAGGAGAAAAAAGAAATAATTTGCATCATAAAGTCATGGAAAAATTGATGATACAAATCACTTTGAATGCCCTGCTACACTACTATCTTTTGGCTCCATTTTAAAAAAAGTTGATTTTACGCAGTTGAAAGAGAGTATCAAACACTATTATGATGGTTGTCTCTTAAACTCTCTCTTAGATATTCCCAAATGGACTGCCTGCAAAATATGGTACTTGAGTTGACAATACAGTGTAGGTAGTGCAGAGAAATGCACGTTGATAATCGCAATCATTACTTTTTTGACAATTTGTTAGGTCAGTCCAAGAAAAGTGATGAAAAGAATGAGACTGAAGAAGCTGATTCTAAAGATGGAATAATTTCTGAAGTGGGATCAGCTGTTGAACCAGTCCCCAATGGTACAACGTTGGGTACTAGTACATCACGTGGTCCATTTAACTCGAACCAGTCAATGAAAAGATCGGCAAGTGGGGATCCTGTCACGAAACAACCTCCAGGGAAAAAGAAGAAAATTTAACCAAGGATTGTTTGCTACTGAAATGGTAGTAATGGCACTGTAGACATCGGTTGGTTAATGTACCGTGTCCTTGAAGAGGTTACTGCATCAAAAAATGAGTTTGTAAATTTTGTCTATAGATCAGCGGGACTGTTATCTCAGCTAAGCCGTAGCTGACTGAATTGCATTGTGGGATGTCTATGGAATAACCAACTAACTCACGGCGTTGATTGCGGCACCTCTAACCATGGTGTCCTTCCAAGTCACTCTCAATACATCGTGGCCTAACGAAACGAAAGTAATAGTAGGAGTATACAGTAGTTATCTTTCTACAGCTTAATGAGCTCTCAACTCCCAAGAAAAGGTTACCATTTGGACTTTCTTCGTCTAGAAGAATAGAGACAATTTATCTTACAATTTAGGAGACAATTTATTTAAGTTCTTAACGAAGTTTGAATTTACTATTCACATTAAAAGACCGTCACTTTAGCATTCTTATACCAAAAATAGACATTTGACTACCTAAGGAATAAGTTTGGTAATGAAGAATTAAAGTCCCTAACTGGGCCCATTAACATTGACTGAGTCTGCGTGCAAACTCTGTTCAAGTGCGAGATGTTAAACGTGCGAGTGTTTAGCGAAGCATAAGCCATGCAAGAATTTTCGCCAGCCCCAAATCACTCCTGGTTTTCTTTCCTTTCACCCTGTTGACCGTCTTCTTAAATTCGTTCACTTTTGGTTGAACTGATTCTTTTTTCTTTAAAAGCCTTAAAATGCAGGCTTGCAGGGGGAGTTTCAAATCACAATACATCAACCAATAAGAGCAAATGAGAAACACCATGGTGGGCGTTTTGATAAAGCTGTTAAAAACACTTAAAGCACGTGTTTTATCAATCGCCCTTGAAAATTTTCGATGAAACACGGCTGTCTCTGTTATCAGTAAACTTTAAGGCTGTCTTATTTGAGGCATTGCACTAAAACGATAACAGCATCCACCGAGTTACGAACTAAAATGCAATGCGGGCGACACATAATAATTTACCAGGGGAAAACTTATTTCATATTTCACAAACAACAGAACAACATTTCCCAGAAATCCTTGCTCTGGCCACCCCGCCTGTGTATCAGGATTTGAGTACGCGCCATGATTGGCCCGTAAGAAAGCCATTGTCGATTGGTCAATCAAGATGAAAGGAAATTAGCCTGTGTAGCGTGGCGGTTTTGGTTGGGCGCGCTAAGTAATAAAGGGGGGCGAGGGCAGAGAAACCGCGAGGAGATTGGGGCGCGCGAATTTTGCTGCCCGCGGCTTCGCCGCTCGTGCGCCCAGCTCGACAAAACTGCAATGCTATTCAGGCTAAAAGGAAATTCGAAACGCACTTCCGGTAATTCATTGAGTTCGTTGGTGGTCCAAAACAAGGATCTTGACGCTGCTTCGCAAACGTTATTATATAACCGAGGTAAAATTACCTCTGCGACGCAGGCTAAGCTGAAGAAAATGGCAGAAATTGTCACAAATTTTGCCTCGGTCGATAACATCATCCTCGATCTGCATTATTCTCCAGATAATACTTCGCCTTACCCGATAATGCTAATGACGAAATTTATGTTCGTGCACCACGCAGGCACAGGTGTAAACTAAGGTATTGACTTTAGAATGCATATGTCTATAATTTGAAACTTGCCCTCTAAGACAGTTACGATGGTTGAAGTCATTACCATGTCATTACCAATCAAAGTCCATGTGCTTGTTTCGAGGCGTGAATATTTTTTGGTGGCAAAATATGCTAGGGTAGTAAGTTTAACTACTGGGTCTGTCGATTTAACTGAAATTTAGACTACTCACAACGACGCACGCAATTATGGAAAGGAACACTAAAATTAAGATAAAAGCAAATATAATTCTGCTTGTTAACAACTACTGCCTATTTAACATGTAAAATTAAAATTAAAATAAAAAGAAGATCGCGCGGTACACGAATAGCTTTTAGTGAGTTTTACTGCATGAACATTTTTATACGTAAGGCTGAAACTGGTTAATTGCCTGACCCATTATAAGACCTATGCGTTTTAAAATAAATAATCATTCGCAAACTAAAAAGGCAGTATATAGTTAAACAGGTGGTCATTTGTCCGGTTCTCACTACTAGTCGGGGAGGACAGGAGGACGGAAGCCCGCGGGAAATAGGGGAGAGGGGATACGGGCGGGAGGCATGAGTGGAAAGGGAGGGAGGTGGGAATTCTAAAAGAGCAGGAAGCGGAAGAAATAGGGGAACTAGTTGCGCAAAAAGCTTTTTTCTTCCGGATAAGGAACAGGCCGGACACGAGATGATTAACACGGCATTGTAGTCTTGTTAAACCAGCTGCTGAAAATTGACAACAGACTCGAACAACGGTTGATTACACATTCTAAATGTAAAGAGGTCGCTGGGCCCGCTTTAGTGGTGGCGAGGTAGAGAAGATTTTTTTGAAAATACTTATATTACTCCGTTTCGCAAAATGTTATAACATTTAGGACTTTATTCTTTATTCGATCTTGACAGTTATGCAAACCTGAGAGCGGAGCTTGATACCATATTCCATAGCAATACCGCTTAGTAACGTATTTACTCGAATAAGCGCTGCGACGCTAATTAACTCCCCCACCCATCCCTCCAAATGCGGCGCTTATTTGAGAGCGGGGCTTATTCGAGTAATTACTGTAATTGGCAGCTTAAGAGTTTATTACATTTAGGGCAAATTGTTATTACATTTAGGACAAAATGTTATTACATTTAGGACTTTGATACATTTAGGACCGTTTATTACATTTAGGCCTTCTACACCTGTCACTTAAGTGTTAATGCAAAAAGATGACGGCGAGCCATCTCACCGCCGATGGAGAACAAGAAAAATACGAGGAAATATTTTGCCCGTTAGAATTAACCAGAGGAATACAAAGCCAGTTGATTTTTCTATTAGTGTTGAACACAATTCTGTCTATCACCGCGTTTCTCGGCAATACTCTGATCCTACTAGCCCTCAAGAAAGTGACATCTCTTCATCGACCCTCTAAACTCTTGTATCGTAACCTAGCCGCAACTGATCTCTGTGTTGGTGTCATTGTGGCACCAGTGGGCGTCATTTACTTGATCGCAGTTGTAACCGGACGATGGAACATTTGTCGCCATGCGTTCTTTGCAAGTTATATCTCAGGACATATTTTGTGTGGGGTGACTTTGTCGACAGTGACGGCCATCAGCTTGGACAGGCTTCTAGCGCTGTTGTTGAGGCTCAGATACAGACAACTGGTAACTTTGAAGAAGACCTATCTAATTGTAACTGCGTTATGGATTGTGCCCGTTGTCTGCACTACAATGCACTTCTGGAATTCCCAAGTAACCACATGGTACGGCTCTATACTGACATCACTGTGCCTAGTCTTATCGACTGCTTCTTTTGGGAAAATTTTCCATGCTCTCCGTCATCAACAAATTCACGTGCAGAATCAATTCCACCAAGGACAGTCACACGAAGCAAATCTATTCAACATGGCGCGCTACAGAAAGGCAGTATCTAGTGCACTATGGGTGCAGTTGGCATTAGTTATTTGTTATCTGCCGATAGTCATAGTGGAGGCTTTGACAATTCAAGGATTGCCTTCATCTGTTGTCATTGCTAAAGAGTTTGCAGGGACTTTAGTCTTTCTAAACTCAACATTAAACCCGATATTATACTGCTGGAAGATGAATGAAGTTAGACAAGCGGTGAAAGAAATAATTGGAGAACTTGGATGTTTATTCTGTCTGCGTTGTTTAGCTTGGTAGTTGCTATCAGCACGTACAGAAGTTAAACAGATAATGACGTTAGTATGTTGCTACAACCTTAGCGGCCTAGAAAATAAAGCAGTAGTTGCGCGGTAATTCTCAGTAACAACACAACTGAGTTCTTAGTATTTTGAGACTGAGTTTTCTCTTAAAGCCATCTCCAGGATAAGGAGAACATTGGCGTTAACGTTATTAGACAACTAATTCCTTTTCTTGGACAGGTGTTTGCCACCGCGATTTTCGAAATAATAAGTAATTTTGATAACGAGCTTCGTTTGTTCAAAGTGGCTCGTTCGTTCACCTTTCTAGACCAGCTTGGGTTGAATCACACGCCCTGACGCCCGTCTTTGTTCTCAGGTGTAACATTTTCAGCCGAATTTTGTTCACTTTTCTAACTTTAAAATTTTATCTGTTTCGGCAGAATCTTTGGAAAATGTAGGTCCCCGGCCATTCTTACTAGCGATTTGTATTCTTAGCGGATAGGACTCAAGTCATGCCATTTTGGCAAAATACTCGAATTCTGGCTATCTCACCTAACTTCTGCATATGAATACTATCTTCCTCTCCCAAAAATCAATTAATTAATTGTTTAGACCGGACCGAAAAAATTTACTACAAATGCAGATGCTAGAAGAAGGCCGATCTGTTGTAAGCTACCAGGGGTTTCATAAGGCAGCGGAGATCGGAGAATTCTCCGTCTACTACGCATAATTCTCCGGTTAAATCTCAATGTAGTGTGGATACGTTATGTTACTGTAAAAAGAATATTCCCAGGAATGCGTAATTTTAGCGCTTAGCCACTTGCTTTACATTCCCAAATAAATAACAATAATACGTAAAAGATCTTATTTAAATACTAGTAGTTTTAAGCCCAACAAAACTAACAGATTTTTACGGACTTTTACCTTTTTCGCAAAGTGGTAATTTCAATACAATTACTATTTTGCGAAATGGCGGTTTTTCAGCTTTATTTAGGAAATATGTCCTTTTCGTCTGAAACAAATTATGTCGGGCACCAATAAAATGATTAAAATTTTGAAGAGTCTGGGGACTTCTCATTTTATTGACCGTACTAGAACTAATTTCGCAAAGTAGTAATTTTGCCAGAATTACTGTTTTGTGAAGTGAGCTGTTTGTCGTCCTTTAAATTTGCTTTCTTGCCATAGAAATAAGTGTAAACATAAAACTACTGATCAATTCCCGAAGACTCTGGAGACTTGTCATTTTATTTTTAGAACTCATTATCAAGTGCACTCAGCAAAATCCACCAATTACAGAAGTTATCCCAATAACCATAGCAACAAGCACTTACCCTAGCAAACTGGGGATTTTCCAAAATGGACCAATTTGCATAGGTAATGGCATGATTTGCAGTGATATTTGGCATAAATACCACGAGTGATATTTCAAAATTGTTATACGTAATTTCACTCGCCTAACGGCTCGTGAAATTTGAGACAATTTTGAAGTATCACTTGTGGTATTTGTTACGCCGCAAAATGTAACAATTGACGCAAAATGTAACATTAACGCGAAATGTAACAACTTTTGACGCAAAATGTAACAACTTTTTAACGCGAAATGTAGCGACGTTTTGAAGCAAAATGAAACAATATTTTTAACGCGAAATGTAACAAGCAAAATGTTACAGCCTTGAAATAACTGAGAGACTTAGACATGGGCCTTTGTAGATAAAGTGTAAATTGTCTGGTGGTTACAAAAACAGTTTATTTATAAAGTTTTCTTATAATGTCGAATATACTTACAAAACGTTTTTCGATAATAGAACTAAATCCTGAAACAGTCGAACGAACTGTTGTTTAGTATATCTTTCTGTAAATATGTGTGACGCTGAAAAGTTGGCGTTACAACATCCGGGACGTGTTAGATGGGTTAGGGTGGTACATTTTTAGCAAACTCCCTCAGTTGAGCCCGTATGAAATCGAGGCGAGTATCGATTACTGATCATTCTTTTCACACTTTCGTCCAGTGAAGACGCTTTCTTTTTTTATCCGACGCTGTCTGTTTTTACCCACCTCCTCCCTTTTTCCCTAAAAGGAAAGTGTAGCGGAGCAGTCATCCGACTGCGTGAGATAATCAACAGTGTTAAATGGGCGTTGGCATGGTTAAGTTTTAAGGCAGCAGGACTGGGTTGGTATAAAATTTCTCACATTTACTGGAAGTCCGGTAAAAAATGAGAAATTTCATATCTATCTTATTGACTACGTTCAAAATTTTCTTTTGAAAGATTACCTTTCTTAACTTTTACTTTTAACTTACATTTCAATTGCTGATTGGTGCATGTTTCCTACGGTGTTATTGTTCACATTTCTAGTCATATTCTTTTCGAATAGCTTGGGATATTTTCCATACGCTATGTTTAATAAGTTAGCGTTGTTGTTATTGTCCATACTGCTATTCCAAGGTTATACATGACTTGTAACTTTATCACCTGTTTTACGACCTTTTGTAACTTTATTTGACGTTACAAAAAACAGTTTATTTATAAAGTGTTCCGTTTCAGGATTTAGTTACTATTATCCAAAAACGTTTTGTACGTTTAATTGACATTACAAGAAAACTTTATAAATAAACTGTTTTTTGTACAAGACAATTTACACTTTATCTACAAGGCCCATGTCCCAGTCTCTCAGTTATTTCAAGGCTGTAACATTTTGCTTGTTACATTTCGCGTTAAAAATATTGCTTCATTTTGCGTCAAAACGTTGTCACATTTCGGGTTAATGTTACATTTCGCGTCAAAAGTTGTTACATTTCGTGTTAATGTTACATTTTGCGTCAATTGTTACATTTTGCGGGGTAACAGTCGTCTATTTCGGTAATCACTCGTATGATTACAGACCGAGTTGGACTCTACTCAGTCCTATTACCGTGATTAGTAAATCATATTTAAAAGTCATTTCAAAATGCAGTAATTTTGCAAGAAACTATTACTATTTTGCGAAGCTAGCAATTTTCACCTTTTCCGAAACAGGGAATTCGTTTTCGTATACCGTATTTATTCGAATAAGTGCCCAACCTCGAATTGGCGCCCACCTCGAATAAGCGCCCATCCTAAAGGCAGAAAAAGTTAATAAGCGCCCAGCCTCGAATAAGCGCCCACTCTCAAGGTCCAAAAATTTAAAAAGCGCCCAGGGCGGTTAATCTAATAAATACGGTAATCCTAAATTGATAAAAAATAAAACAATGTAAATTTGTACATCTATGCTATAACCCCAAACCAAATTAATGTTAACGACTTATTAAAATTTACCAATTTAATATCATTTAAGTCGTTCCGTTAAAAACATCAAGAAGTATCAAAAGAAATTTCTGATTTGTTAAGGATTAAAATAATGGTTCTCACCCGGGTGGATACTCCCATACATTACCTATACGGGTATGTGCCGCCCAACGGGATCGTGATTTTGAAGCTCCTGATTTAGTTTTCTAGAACGGGGTATAAAAAATTGTGGATCACGGCTTTATCTTCCGCTTAAAATTGTTGCTGATTATGAAGAAGCATTTATTTGAAGTCAAGAGAGGATAAAGGGGACAGAGAAGGCATCCCCCATATACACCCTATTCCATAGGTAATTCGTCTTGAGTTATTTTTAGAAGCGGGATAAAGTTACCTCGCGCGCTGCGTGGATGTTTCGTGGAGGTTTTGCATGACTAAACGCCATGCAAAACATGTCGGGCGAAAGGCGATGAAAGCGTAAAGAGATCGAGAGCATTTCTGAATATTGAAGCAAAATGAGTCGGCGCTCACCCGGGAAAAGGGAGTCGCTCGACTCTTTGACAACCCGTGAAATCAGTTTAACTCGAAGTTATCGTAACCTCAGTGCTTTAATAAAATGAGAAATTTCGCCAGTCTATTGAAACCGGTCGTTTGTACAATAAAGCAAGTAGCAAGTAATATTCATGTACATGTAATTAGTTTTACAAATTTGAATTTTATTGTAATTTTTTGTAAGTTGTTAAGCGCTCTAGAAGTTATTAAATTATTATTATTATTATTATTATTATTATTATTATTACAGGACGCCATGTGTTATTTTTGTTGAATAATAAAAGACTAATAAAAGAATAAATATCAAACCAGAAATTGCTCTCTTCAAACTGTAAATTATAAATGATCCTGAGAGAATTTTCACTGTGTTAAGGATTTCCCTGCTGTACTGTTAGCTCTATAGAAGAGAGGAGGGGCGATTCTTTTTTAATTTCCGTTTCGCTGACACAGCTTTAGCAGAAATCTCTCTTTAGTCGTTTTCGTCGACAAAACGAATAGCAATATTGCTCTCCGCGTCTTCCGCCTTTTTTTTCTGCCTCAATTCGTGAAGGACGCGTGGCTCTGAGCGTGGGTCATACACGCAGAACACATTCGCGCTATGTGATTGGCTGTTGTCTAATCCCCCTTGGGATCTGTGGTGTTAAAAATAACTCGAGACGAATTACCTATGGAATAGGGTGTGTATGGAGGATGCCTTCTCTGTCTCCTTTATCCTCTCTTGTTGAAGTATAAGTCGAACAAATAAAGAAATGTCTTTTTGAAAAAAACAGGGCTATTTCAATGTACAAACTTTCTAGAACGGAATATAAAAAATTGGCCCATTTCTAGAACGGGGTTTCAGTTTTAGGGCGAATTCTAGAACGGGGTATAAAAAATTGGCCCATTTCTTGAACGGGGTATCAGTTTTATGGGAATTTTTTTTTAGAACGGGGTGCCAATTTGGAGTCCCGGGCGGCACATACCCACCCAAAAATACCCAAGTGCCCCCCCGGGGGTTCCCAAGTCCCCGTTCTCAGTAATTCGAAAACGTTTTCCAAAAAGTTAACCAAACTCAACTAACTAATTTTAGATGTACTATGTGGTACGTATAGTAGGATGTTATTTTTATCAAACCAGTGACTTTTTTTGGATAGATTATTCCCTTGGTTTATCAGCAGCATTCACTATTTCGATAATCATCTTATTATGTGCGCCATTTTTCGTTTACTGCACGGAATTATTGTACTGAAATAAATCATGAAAAGAAAATAAATACCCTAGAAAGTACAAATATTACGTGTCAGCAGGAGTGGTGTACCAGGCACCTGATCTGTGCTCTGTCATCAACTCAAGATTGGTAAATAACATCAAGCGTAGTTAATAGAGTTGAATGGTTGTGAAACCTATCAGACTTATCTCTACCCTGCCCAATAACCAGTCGTAACCAGTCTCCTCTTCTTTAACTACGCCTCAAGTCAAATGTTGTTAGTAGAACTTTAATTTATTATTGTTTGCACTGTTTTGTTGTCAAACCCTGTTTTAGTTTAGATTTTTTTGTCGGATGGTAAAGTCTTAATGTTTTTGTTTTGTTAAATTTTGGTGCTGGGGATTTTTTCAGAGACATTTGGCTTCTTCTGTGTCCACAGCATTCTGCCCTGCATCACATACAAGCAGCTTTTGATGGGGTGTTACTAAACAGAGTAACGCAGTAACGAGTAACGGAGTAACGAGAAAACGAGTAACGGGATAAAAATTCATTCAACCCGCTTTTCTTTACTTTCACCCTGTTTACCGTCTTACTTAAATGTGCTCACTTTTGTTAGAACTGTACGGTGACCCAAAAGTGTCACGGCAATTTCAATTTTACTCACGGCAATTTAAATAAATAACTAAATAAATAGATAACGATTTGCAGGTAGCACATCCACATAGTGGTTCTTCGTCTACCTGATTCCTGGTCGAATTGGAATTTGGAAATGTTGGTTTTTGAGGAGAGGGGAAAACCGGAGTACCCGGAGAAAAACCTCTTGGAGCAAGGGAGAGAACCAACAACAAACTCAACCCACATATGGCGTCGACGCCGGGATTTGAACCCGGGCCACATTGATGGGAGGCGAGTGCTCTCACCACTGCGCCACCCTTGCTCCCCAAGGGAGCTCAAATCGTTCACGGCAATTTCAATTTACTCACGGCAATTTCAAATTGCTCACGGCAATTTCAATTTTTTCACGGCAACACTCACGGCATTGTTCGCTTTGCTCACCACCTGTCAACTTCGGCGGCCGACAGTGGCCACCAAAAGTCAACACGCAAAATCAAAAGTCGATATTTAATGTCGATCTTCAAAATGAAAAGTGGAAATCAAAAAGCAAAAGTCGATTCACGAACATTTATGCCAGTAGACAGTGAGTAGACAACCGAACAGTTTACTGGTCCCGGAAAATTGTAAGCTTTTTCCCCGGGGGGGAGGGACTCCGCATATGAAAGGGGTGGGGATGCTCGTCGGAAATTTTGAATTAAACCCCCAAAAGGAGACCGATCTGGGCGTGGCCCAAGCGTTTTTTGACCCCTAAAAGAGACGGAAAAAATATACATATGAAATATATATATTTATATTTTTTCGCGTGCAACCCTAAACGAGACCTTCACGGCTAAATATGATGGCTTTTTGCCCAGAACACCCTAAGTGAGACCAAAATCCGAATTTTACACCCTTAAGCGAGACGACGAGCACCCCACCCCATTTCATATGCGGAGTCCCACCCACGGGGGCTTTATCTGACCCTCATCTGGTGGCCAGTTAATAGTTACTTCACAGCATCTCAAAATGGTCCAATCCCTCACATTAATCCAAGCATTAAAGCTACTTCTAGGTCTTGTTTACAGATGTTATTGGTAGCAGTGTTCCTATTTTTGCTAAGAAAAAGCAAAAATGGTGGAGCCATGCGAAGGAACAGGCTATTTAGGGACCCGGTCTGAGATTCGTTTTTCGTTTTACATGAGAACCGTACGGTCTCAGACCGGTACGAAAGTAACTTGTGTCGGGTCAGCGACTGAGATGAAGTCAGACCGGTCTGAGTTCATTTTTACGGCGGTCCCATGTAAACGCATCAAAAGAAATGTATGGAAGACTGATACGAACTCCTACCGGTCTGAGTTCGTCCCGTCCCGGTCTCATGTAAATCAGTACCCCCTATAGTTCTACTAGTTCGTAAATCGACTTTTGATTTGTGATTTTCATTTTTCTCTTTGAAGATCGACTTTAAACATTGAATTTCTATTTTGCGTTTTGACTTTTGGTGCATGGCCACTGTCGGCCGCCGTAGCTGACAGGTGGTGAGCGAAGCGAAAACGCCGTGAGCGTTGCCGTGAAAAAATTGAAATTGTCGTGAGTAAAATTGGAATTGCTTGCTATGAGTAAATTGAAATTACCGTGAGCAAATTGAAATTGCCGTGAGCAAATTGAAATTGCCGTGAGTAAATTGAAATTGCCATGAGCAAATTAAAATTGCCGTGAGTAAAATTGAAATTGCCGTGACACTTTTGGGTCACCGTACAACTGACTCTTTTTTTTTTCTTTCGCCTTAAGATGCATGCATGCAGGCTTTCAGATCACAATACATCGACCAATAAGAGCAAATGAGAAATAAAGCTGTTAAAAACGCTCGAAGCACGTGTTTTGTCAATCCCCCTTGAAACTTTTCGTTGAAACGCGGCTGTCTCTGTTGTTAACTTTAAGGCTGGGTTATTTGCGACACGACACTAAAACGATAACAGCGTCTAGGGAGTTACCAACTAAAATCCAAATGTGTATGACAAATAATAACTTACCAGGGGAAAACTAATTTAATATTTCACGAACAGCAGAGCAACATGTCGGACATTATCATTCATTCAAAACATTTCTTCGTTTCTGATTAGGCCAAAATGCACCGGCTAATTGCGGTATACGGTAAAGTGCCGTCAATAGTACAGGCTATCACCAGAAATAGGGACAGCAGCCGAGAAGCCTTGGGGAGGAGATTGGGTTAGATTAGTTGTTTTGGCAGAGCTGAAGAAGCCTGCGCCACAGACGAAACTAAACTCTGGTTAACCCCGTCTGCCAAACGGCGCCGAAAGCATGGTTCTGTCTCCCCCCCCCCCTGTGTACCAGGATTTGGGTACGCGCCATGATTGGCTCGTAGTAAAGCCATTATCGATTGGTCAATAGAGATGAAAGGAAATTCGAAATGTACTTCCGGTATTTCATTGAGTCCGTTGTGCCTCGTACCCAGACGTCTCTCTCTCGATGAAAATGTGCGCGCAAAGGAAGGCGGGAAGGAGATATATAACCGAGGTAAGATTACCTCTTCGACGCAGGTTAAGCTGAAGAAAATGGCAGAAATTTTTACAAATTTTACCTCGGCCGATAACATCCTCCTTGATCTGCATAATTCTCCAGATCATACTCCGCCTTACCTAATAATGCTAATTACGAAATTTATATTCGTGGACCAGGCAGGCACAGGTGCAAGCTAAAAAATTTAGAATCAAATGTTTATAATTTGAAACTTCCCCTCGTAAGACAATTACGATAGCTGAAGTCATTACCACCTTAGTTTAAATTTAAAACCTTCTGTATTGTGGTGTCATGTTGATCCTTTTGTGGCTTTTACAGTTAATTTAAAAATTGTTTGGGGTAACATTAACAGCCGTTTGAATATTGAAAGTCCATGTGTACGTTTCGAGGCGTGAATATTTTTTGGTGACAAAATATGATAGGGTAGTAAGTTAAACTTTTGGGTCTGTCCATTTAATACTCCCAACGACGCACGCAGTTATAGAAAGGAACACTAATATCAAGATAAAAGCAAATATAGTTTTGTTTGTTGACAGCTACCGGCTATTTGCATATTAAATTAACGTGAAAAAAGTAAAGACGCCACCGAACTCATTTCTTGAGAAAATCTACTTTAAGTTTATAAACTGATCGCGCGGTGCACGAATAATTTTTAGTGTTGTTTACGGTGGGTCTTTTGCATGAACATTTTTATACGTCGACTGAAACTGACTACAAAAGTAGTATACAGTTAGACAGGTGGTCATTTATCCGGTTATCATTATTAGTCGGGGGAGGGGGAAAAGGGGGGCAGAAGCCCGGGACAATAGGAGGAGGGGGATACGGGAGGCATGGGAGGAAAGGGAGGGAGGTGGGAATTCTAAAAATGCAGGAAACGAAAGAAACAGGGGGAATTACGCAACAATGCTTAACATTTCGCAATCTAAAAGAGCTAACGGGAGGTAGCCAAGAGAAAGAGGCGGGAGTCGGGGATGCAAGATATGGGAGGCGGGAAGTTTGCCCCCTGTCCTTTTCACATAACATACAATCAATTGAATTCTACGCACGTTTTAATTAGTCCACATTGTCTGTCAAAGATCTGTTAGAAGCAGGTGCTGACATCAAGTCAAACCTTTTTCTTCTTTCGTGGAGCAAAGCGGAAAGTTTTGAAAAGGGTTTTAAAAATGTGGAGGATATTATTCCCGATTGGGCAAGTAAAGGCTCGGTAAAGGAGTCGAAATATGAAAAGAGGAAACCGTGAAATTGTCAAGTCTTATCTTGTGAGGTTTGTTTAACCACCAACTGAGAAGTAGTTAGCAAAGCAGCAACGAAAACTAGCTAAGTGGAATTATTGGTAATAATTACCTCGAATTAAAAGCCGACGTTTTTAAGGCAATTTAGACGCACTGGCGCCTTTTAGCTAAATGATACCCAAACTTTACCTTCCATTTTTTGAAAACTCACGCAGATACTGAACCGGAGACGAATTTGCAAAAAACTGATGGCGATAATCAATATTACAACAAGTAAAGAACAGAATCAATGGGACAACATTTTGTGCTCGGTGAATTTAACCAAAGGGATACGAAGCCAGCTAGTATCTCTTTCCGCGGCAAACATTTTTCTGTCCACCACTGCATTTCTGGAGAATATTCTGATTCTAGTTGCTCTTCACAAGACGAGATCACTTCATCCGCCGTCAAAACTCCTCTACCGTAACCTGGCGATAACTGATCTCTGTGTTGGTATTATTGCACAACCTCTCATGGCAGGATATATGATAGCTGCCGTGAATGAACAATGGGCTATTTGCCGTAACGTGCTGGTCGCAGGTTTTACCGCTAGTTGCATTGTAGGTTCTGCATCTTTGTTAACCATAACTTCAATAAGCTTGGACAGACTTCTCGCTCTTTTGCTAAGGCAAAAATACAGACAAGTTGTAACTTTAAGGCGGATTTATGCACTTGTCGCTGGTTTGTGGGTCGTGTCCATTGTGGCTACAGCACTACAATTTTGGAAACATCATTTAACTTTATGGTATGGCTGCATAGTCATTCAATTGTGTCTGGTCTTATCAACGGTCTCTTACGCAAAGATTTTCATCACTCTCCGTAGCAAAACAATTCACAACGACATGCAATACAGAAAGGCGGTCTCCAGTGCTTTGTGTGTGTATCTTGCAATAGTCATCTGTTTTGTGCCGAGTGCTGTTGTATGGGCCTTGGCGACTAAAAGAGAGCGGTCTTCTTCCCTTGCTGTTGCCAAGTTAACGACAACTACTTTCGTGTTCTTCAACTCTTCACTGAACCCAGTACTTTATTGCTGGAAGATTGCAGAACTAAGAAAAGCAGTCAAGGACACAATGGGACAACTTTGCTCTCGTATTATTGGTTGTTTTGTGTAAATAGGGTACTACTATCGAACAACTGAAAACTTTTATATAGCCAAACTTTTCGAAAACAAAAGTCCTTTGGAAAGTTGGCTGTTTCGAAACCCCATGGGCTAGACATGCGAAAGATACTGTAATTTTGGTTTTGATCTTCAATTTGTTGAATTTGCTCTCGGACTGTCGACGGATACTGCAATAAAATCCGATGATGACCAATTTTACTGGAGATGAGAACCACCAAACATTCGAGGAGCTGCACTGCTCTGGAGAACTGACCGCTGGAATAGAACACCAGCTGATCTTTCTGTCGGCGTTAAATATTGTCCTGTCCTTTACTGCATTTTTTGGGAATGTTCTGATCCTAGTCGCTCTTCACAAGGAGTCGTCGCTTCATTCTTCGTCCAAAGTCTTGTATCGCAACTTGGCGATAACTGATCTCTGTGTAGGTCTCATTGTAGAGCCGCTTCATGTCGTTTGGAGCTTATCTGTGGTAACCGAACGATGGGACAAATGCCGCCATGCATTTCAAGGAGCTTTCACCATGGCCTATATCTTGTGCGCAGTGTCTTTGTTTACACTGACTGCGATAAGCGTAGACAGACTTCTCGCCCTGTTGTTGGGGCTGAGATACAAACACTTTGTTACCTTGCAGCGTACATATCTAACTGTACTGGCGTGCTGGGTTATATCAATTGCCTGCGCATTGATGCAGTTTTGGAATTACCTTATAACCTTATGGGGTGGCTACATAGGAATATCAGTGTGTCTCGTAACATCGACAGTTTCTTACGCCAAGATTTTCTTTACTTTGCGTTATCATTTCAATAATCAAGATCAACCGAGCGGAACAATTTCGTTGAACATAGCACGCTACAAAAAAGCAGTGTCTGGCGCATTGTGGGTACAACTAATGCTTGTTCTCTGCTACCTTCCACAAGGTGTAGTGGACGCTTTGGTGACTCAAAGAGGGCTTTCTTCTTCAGTTTACATTGCAAGATCTCTGACAGTGACTTTGCTCTACTTAAACTCGTCTCTAAACCCGATTCTTTACTGCTGGAAGATCAGAGGAGTGAGACACGCAGTGAAGGACACGCTAAAACAACTTTTCTGTTTATCGTAAGCTCGTTATATCTTTATAGAGGTACACTTTCGGTTTCCGGTATCGCCTAAGTAAATAGACACTTTGCAAAATGTAAACACTGGGCCCGGTTCCTCGAAAGATGATAAAGTTTAACACAAGATTAAGCCAAATTTTAAGCACGGTTTTCTTGTCTGAAAACACTAATGTAAATCAAGCTCACAAAATACTGTTGAGCCTTTACATTGAGTTAAACGTTTCACTAAGCAATGCATAGGAAGGTAAATAAGAAATGTGGAACAAAATTTTAATCCTGGGTTAGCTCTAATCGGCCTTCGAGGAACCGGGCCCAGGGCCTAGTTGTTCGAAGGCCGATTAGCGCTAAGCCGGGGTTAAATTTTAACCCGGATTCTTTTTGTTTAGTTCAAAAGAGTTTTCGCGAATAATTTTCTGTATTCGTTTGGAGCGTCCAATCATCAAATTGTAGACAAAATGAATTAAACTTAATTAGCCTTTCAAACCTTCATCTTTGAATTCAAATTTTCCACTAACCCTGGGTTATCTTGAACAATCCGACCCGGGTCTTTCCCTTTAATGGCTGACATGGAACCGCGGCTTGATGTCCGACGCCATCCACTTTTGACTTTAGCATAGCGTCTGCCTTCTCAAGGAATTTTAAAGCGGGGTGCTGGAGACGAGAATTCACCACCACCCGAGCGAATAGAGCGTTTTCACATGACGTCACGGGGACCATATTGGTGTTCCAACACAAAGACACGGCGGCCATGTTGGTGCCCCAAACCAGTCCTGTGGGAGTTGAACTCTTTTCATATGTAAACGCTTTCTTTTGTTCCAATCAATCTGCCTAGATGCTGGCTGCGCGCTCCAAAGGTCAGTTTTGCATTATTAAAATTTATACTTGGGTCCGAGGCTGAGAGGCATGAAACAAAAGAAATCGCGCTGAAATTCAGGGATGAATAATTCATTTCTTTTGATTTTTTCCTTTCAGTCTCTAAGCCAAGTATTACTTTTGATAATTCGAAACTGGTCAATCATAGTCCTGCACGCAGCAAAAAAACGCCTTGAACACCGGGTATCATAGGTTAGTTTTTTCACTCAACTTTGTACCATTGATTACTGCTTCTATTTTCTACATATTAACAAATTATTAGTAACAATATTTACAGTCTACAATTAATAATTCCATTTAAGTACATAGTGAACTCTATTCTAAGACGGACGCCCTTGGGGCCGGCACTAAGTGAGTTTCGTCTTTGAGAGATTCTGCCTGACTGTACACGTTTCACTAACCTTTTTACAATTTTATCGACAAATCTGCAAATTGTCTCAAGGTTTCGAATTTACTGTAGATGATCTACAGCGTCTTCAACGGCAGAACGACAAACGAAAAAAAAAAAACGAGGAAAGGAGGGGAATTAACAGTCTTGAGGAATAGCAATGTTCAGTGTAAATCAGTCGTTACTATACGGTTAGAGCACCACAGTTTGACACCATTTCCAAAAATTGCTTGTTTGCGCATGAGTCGCGGCGGCTATGTTGGTGATCCAAAAACAAAAGCATTTCTCTCCTCTGGGTGCTAAACTCCATTTTCATGTCAATTCTTTAAAATAATTTTTATTGTACTGACCACCAACACGGCCGTCATGTCAGGTGGTTGAAAACTAAGAATAGCCTGCCAGCAAGCTATCCGTTTCGAGTGACGAGCGAAGCGAGCCGCGAGAAGACGCACAAGACTGCGGCAGAGCCCCGCCCCACGCTCTCGTGTCTTCATTCTTGTGCCACTTGCGCGTGACTTTTCTCCCATCGCAGGCTTATCCAATAATGAGGGTTGTACTTGAAAGGATATCTCTCCGTAATTACATTATAGATACCTAAAGTACATCTACAGCAAGCGTTCTGTTTTCCTTCTTAAAATAGACCTATCTATCACCGCACGTCAATTCGAGACGCACTAATTAGCGAATGGGGAAGGGAGCTTGAGCCGACAGACTCCTTTTCTTTAACAGTTCAATAGCTAACTCTTTTGGTCCAACCGGTAACTGGCCACCATTTGGTTACGTACCAGTTGCACACAATTCAAACGTCTACTCCTGCATCCATTACTCCCACCTCAGCGATAGGGACGAACTTGTCATCAATCTTAATCAACACAATTGGCCGATCAACATGGCTTCTCCGCGCGGGGTCCCTGTGGCACGGCGTCCACCGGTGTACCACTATTCCCTCCATGCCCTCAATAGGGTTCCAGTCCTTCCAATAGGATCTACCACCGTGCTCCCTCATCAGCTCCGAGGGCCACTGCACATCAATCCTACGTCCCAAGTTAATGTTATCATAAACGTGCACGCGGTCTATAATGCGCACGCGCTGAGTAAATTCCTCGGCAGCTGCCGCGGCGCCGGGGCTCGAGGGATGACCTATGCTCACTGATAATGTACTTGGCCTTTTTGATCCTGAACTGGCAGTTGATCTTTGACTAGTTCGCAGGCCAGGCTGGTCCCGGTTGAACGAGGATGTCGGAGTGGTCCTACGGGCGCTTATGTACATGGCGCCTTCGCGGAAACTTGTGCAGCGCTCTGCAAAACTTGAGCCCAGAACGGCATCTGGAACCGCTCCATCCGGGAGATCCCCGCCACTTTGACACGTAGCGCTACAACGCATGCGTATTCGGTTCCACAAGCGACGAAGGCATCCAGCAATGCCGTTAAAACTAAGAGGTCCACCTATAACTCGAGAAAGCTGCGAGTTGGAGTCGGCATATGACGTCATCAACGGGGATACGTATATGGGATAACCTATAGGCTGGTCACATGACGAGTTAATGATGTTACGTAACGCTTGCTTGGCATTTTGAATGGAGCCTCGCTCGGGGTTCCTATTCCTGAGAAAGATCAACTCCTGAAGTTGCCCCGCCCATAGGCCACGCACGCACTCGCGATTTACCTAATGACCAAGGAACAAATAAGAAATTAACATTTTTGCTATTCAAAAATACCTACGATTTTCTGGATTGCGAAAGGAAAAAATTACCATGGTTAATCTTTAAAAAGATGGCGTGATGAAACTCCTTCGAACAGCGCTTATTATAGTGGACAAATTTTGGCAGATTTTAAAAGTATTGCACAATGAGATGCACGCTTGGCATACAAGAGCATATAGCGCGAATACAAGAGTCAGTTTCTTAAAAAACAAGGGAGTGGAAAGCGGATGGCTGAGTGTCGAGTTACGAGAGAAACGACGAACAAAGTCCGACTTAACTTAGATAAAACTCAGTTTCTGTTGGAGCTTGCTACTAACGGATGAAATCGATAGTCTACGAGATAAACGTCCCATAAAGTTCGCGAAGCGCCAATATCGTGTTACAACGCTAAACCACGAAAGAGCGTTTCCATTCTCCACAGCCCTCGCGTGTTCGAGCCGATGAAATTAAGTGCAACTAAAATGACCCTAACAAACGTAATTCTGGAAATTGTAATACGAGCACACAATGTACTAACTTTGATGACTCTAAAACTCAGGTATCTTTTGTTCAGCATGATAATCTTATACTCGTCTGTGCCGTCATCGAAAACATGCCTGCAAGAAAAACATTCAGTGAAGTGTCTTCAAGGGCTAAGAACTGGGCAGTCTGATCATTACTATTTTCGATATCCCTAAGGTCAAGCAACATGAAGACTTGGCCCGTAATATCTGCATTGTTTACCTTTTTCTTTGTGTTAGGTTAAAACCCTTGGAGTAGCTGCCGTGTCCTATATTTCTGCTTCCAGCTTAATCATGATCGAGTTATATTGAATGCAAACAGAGTAGCAACTGCAGCAAGCGTTCCCGCCTAAAACGTTTGACCACGCGGCTACGCTTGATATGAAACGTACCAACCAGAAGTTTCTAGCCAGTCAGAAGCAAGGGTTTCAAATGCCCGTGGAACTGGCTTTAGTTAGTACCCAAGACCTCTCCAATTGTTCTTGTAAACGTTTCTGTCATGATTTTTGTCCCTGTATATTCCGTCTTGATTAGCTGTCCTAGGGTCTCCGAGGTGTCCAATTGAAAGCTTCCAAAGAGAACCTGTTTCGTATAGTTCCATTTGCTATATTTTGATCAAAGGTTTATAAAAACCACGAGGCTAAATCACTTAAATTCAAAAGAACGCCGTCATACAGAACTACCTGATTGTGATTTTATTTATCTGCTGATTTACTCATTTTATTTTACTGAACAAAGTTGTCACACTTTTTCAATGAATACCGCACATGTAGAAATACTTTGCGAGCAGAGGTTTCTTTGTGACATGCCTTTTAGCTTTTGTAAAGTCGTTTGCGTGGCTTGTCAGACCAACTACGCGACTGATAAGCGAAGCGGAAGACTTTGTAAATACCAAAAGCCATGCCAGAAAGAAACCTCTGCTCGCAGGGTAACGAATAAAGCGCCTATTCCCCACAATAAACTATCTAGCACTGACCTTAGCGCCAGTAAGGAAGGTGTGTTAGCCAAAACAGCCTGCCGCCATTTTGGATCTCCTTCATGGGAGATCACAAGATTTTCCTCGTGAGACGTGATAGCATCATACAGCACCGGCAGGTCGTCATATTCATCGGGGGCAGTGAAGTGATCCTAAGAAACAAATGAGCAAATATTAAACCGAGTAAGGTTTATAGGTACGGTTTAACGAACGACCAGAAGTGGTTTGTCGCGTTTAATACACGAAGGACAAGCGAGTGCTTTTAGCTTTGATAAAGCCAAGGTAAACGAAATAGCACAGACGAGCCATAAAACCTCCAGGGATGGAGCCAGGAGTTGAAGCCCATTACTCACTGTCTGTAGTATAAAGCACCAATGAGTATTGTTACCCCCCCCTCCCCCCCCCCCCAACCCCCTATCTCCCTTGGATGGGATGCTAGTCCATCGCATGGTCACCTCCCTCCCTCTCCAGCGGTGTGTCGCCAGTACCCTTTTATACATGGACTATGAGTAGTCTCTTTTGCTCAAAAATGATAACGCGCATTATCGCACGCACTCTCACAGATTTTCGAGCAAAATAGATAGCAATACAAGCAGTCCATCTTTTACACCACAGGGCGAAGACAGAGTCAGACTTCGAGGAGCAAACTTTCTTGTCAAAGAAACAACGCGACAACAAGGCTTGAAACCGGACTCACAGGTCTGAAGATCGACGTGTTAACCACTCGGCCGGGCACCACGCCTTCGCGTCCTTACCGGGCCCCGGTTGTTAAAACGTTAGACAGCGCTATCCACTACATAAATCACTATCCAGCGGAAAAGTATGAGGGAGACCATTTGCGTTATCCACTGATAGATGTATCCCGTGGATAGCGTCATCGACCTTCTGAACAAGGGGGCAAGAGCATTTTTCCGCGGGTCTTGTCTTTGGCGATTTTTTAAAATCTTGAAAATTAGGTCCCGTAAAAATGGTATGGTTTATTTAGCAGATTCTCACGAATAACCGAATTACAATATGCTTTACAAAAGTAAATAAAACTTAAAATTACAAGCAAGAGCTGGGCCAGAGCTTAGCCCAAAGATAGGTAGAAAGTAGATATGCTTTACCTGATGTAATTTTAGTGACATGCGCACGCCAGGCGCGACTACTTTGCGCAAGAGATCCATGTCTGCAAACACCCATTCGTCCTTAGATCCCGTGATCCGGAAATCACCCTTAAACAAGGCGTGTAGACCGTAGAGAAATGGTTCCAAGCTGTTAAGAACGAAATGGTCAAACATTACAGCACGATAATCAGTACTTTGTGCAAGCAATTCTAATGAAACTTTAAACTAATGGTTCCCAAAGATCAGTGTTATCAAAGGCAGATTTCTCTATGCGTTCTGTAAATGGTGTAACCAAGCAAAGGAGAAGTTGGACTTTGGTTTCACTCATTATCAAAGGCTAACTTCGCGATGCATTTTGTAGATAAATGGCATTAACAGGTAGGAAGAAGCTGGACTTTGGTCACACTCATTATCAAAGGCAGACTTCTCCATGCGTTTTGTAAGTAAATTGCATTAACACGCGAGTAGAAGCTAGACTTTGGTCTCACTCGTTATCAAAGATAGATTTCTCCATGCGGTTTGTAAGTAAATGGCATTAACAGGCGAGGAGGAGCTAGACTTAGGTCACATTCATCATCAAAGGCAAATTTCTCCAAGCGTTTTCTAGTTAAATGGTATAAGCAGGCGAGGAGAAGCTACAATTTGATCACAATCATTATCAAAGGCTAATTTCGACAATCATTTTGTAGGTAAATAGCATTAATAGGCGAGGAGAAGCTAGACATTGGACACACTCACCTTGCAGACTGATGATGTGAAGCTGTTCCTAACGCCCGTCTTGCCAGCAGACACAGCGCAAAGCACAGAGTTGTAAGAAAGGAGTCCTTTTCACACTCCAGAGGCTGAAACAACAAACATTACGATTTTTTAACCGCGCAGGACACTCTCAGTCGGTAGAACGCTTGACCGCAGAGCGGAAGGTCGTGGGTTCCACCCCCCAGGACCGGACCAATACTCAGGGTCTGAAAATAACTGAGAAATGAAGGAACAAAAATACTCTCAAGTGGGTGAGGAGCAAGAGTGGCGCAGTGGTGAGAACACTCGCCTCCCACCGACGTCAGGGCCCAGGTTCAAATCCCGGCGTCGACACCATCAGGGGCGTGGCCAAATTTTCGACTAGTTGTAGGGAAATGGAAGGAGAGCTTGCAACTACGTCTCCGGAATTTAAATTCCACTTCCAATTCCCCTGTGGCTCCCCGTCGACTGAGCTGTCAGATTTCCACCAATCAGCGCGAAGCGGAAACGAGCGCAAATGTAAACAAAAATTGAAAAATACATGCCAAGGGTAATGACGTCATTATTAATGTCATCTCCACCAATCAGCCTTTTGCATCGGCCTTTTCGATGCACATATTCAAATTCCAGAGACGTAGTTGCAAGCTCTCCTTCCTTTTTCCCGCCCCGCCTCTAGAGCGCCCCGGAGAGCTTGCTCGCAGGCTAATAGTCATACAAAAGATAAACTGACCGGATCCTTGCGTGAAGCGCAATACTGTATCCAAGTGAAATAACAGTTTAGGAAGCTGGTCTTGGAGATTCCGCCATGACGCAGATCGTAATCTTCATCAATATTGTGGTAGAAGGAGTTTGAATCTACTTCGACGTAGTGAGGATCTTGATGGACTTTTTGAAGCTGTTCTTGAATTATATCACTGTTTAACCACTGATTTAGTTTGGGAGACCGCACTGCGTAGAAGATTACAGACTGCGAAAAGAAAAATAAATTTTCTTCACTGTAATTTGCAAAAACAGATAGATGCATGATGTACAACAAACAATTATTGGACGAGGATTTTGTGATACACCATCGCGCACGGAACACAGTTTGAGACTGCTCTTGGAAATTATGCATTGCGCGCGCAACCTACAGATTAGTAACTTGTGCAAGCATTTAACTAACTACTCTATACGTTGCGCTGATTTCCAAAATCAACTGTAAGCTTTTAGCCAACGAGGAGACAGACAGTGAGTACAATGTATAATAACGTAAGTAACATATGTTTTTATCTGCAATGTGAACATGTCTGCGTATACAAATCTACAACCCTGGTCAAAACGTCTCGGAAAACTTGAAAAATTAGGCACAAAGACGCACTTTGCCAAATTAACTCATATTTTACTTCTTGAAGACGCTTGAAGATGTTGTTATCATGTAAGGGGTTATTTCGGCTGCCCCCCTCTCCCCTAAGCAGTGTTGATTGTGTTAAATTAAAGCTTGAATGCATAACGTCAACACTGCACCTGGGGGGGGGGGGGGGGGGGAAGATGCCCGAATTTGACGAGCTATTGCGTTAGTGTCCCAAGAGTTTTGACCAGGGTTGTATGTAAGCAATTTATACATTTTGATAACTAAGTAATTTTCTTGTTTGTAGTCGTATTTATTTAGCGTTGTTTCACTCGTTACAAATTTGAATAACAAAAACAATGTCTGTAAACAGTGACGTCTCCTATACTCACGCACATGGCGACTAAACTTAAGAGGGTTCAAGTATTTGGACGGGATTTGAAACTGCGATCTCTTGCTGAACAACAGATACTGCTGAGGCACCAAGCCTTTTTAACTGCGCCATAAAATGACTTTATCCCTTGAGGTGTGACCATTCAAATAAAACTATTAATTACCGTTATTGCAAAGGAAACAGTACACTGACCACCTTACCTTTACATAGTAAGAAACAAGGATCTTGCGAAGATCAAACACTTGTAGCATGGATGCCGCAGAATTATCGCTGATACTGTAGCCTTCAATAATGTATTTAGTGGCGCTTACTTCCCATGCTAACCACCGCTGACCAAACGCGGCGTTTAAAGAAAGCATGTTGGGAAGATGACCCGGCTCACAACAGCAACAACCTGATGAAGATATAAATACCATAAAATAATTGCTTTCGGAATAAACCATTATACTCTCTATGCCATACCACAAGCGTATAACTAGTCCAGGTTCCTGTTTTAGAAGGCAAATGGAATTTAAAGTACTTGTAGGCATCCAATAAAAGTATACGTTCAATTAAAAACGTATATTTTGAAACATGCATACAAACTTTAGTTTTCGTCCTGTTTTTTTTTTTTTTTAACTTTTGGAAGCTAAAACATAATTTTTTCTCTGATTAAGGAGTTCTTCAGGGCTGGTGCAATGGTAGAACGTCTTGTTTTTAATTGATTTGAAAAGATTTTAAAACTCTAAGATATTTTAATCCAAAAGCTAAATCTGGTGGAGTTTTGTCTCGATTTTTTTTTACTTTTTGACAGATCTAGTTGGATTTTAAAATTAAGAAAATGGGGCGACTTAAGAATTGATTTGAATAAATCAATGGACAAAGACCAGTTACAACAAAGTACCTTTCAGCCTGTTTGCGAACTTACTGGTTTATGTTTCCCCCTGTTTTCGCAAATCTCAATTCACTTTCAACCAAAAGGAACCCTTAAAACTTAATTCTCAAGCAAACAAGAAGAAGGCTACTGAACTCAACTAAGGTCGTTAGGTTCAGATGGAAAAAAAGGAAAAGGTGAATTGCAGTTACAGAAGTATATGCAAGGAAGCAATGTCATAAACCATTAAGTAGGAAAGAAAAAAACAAACCGTCGTCATCCTCTACTCCTTCAGTAATGGCTTCGACTTCTCGCTGCTGACAGTAAGTACCTAGTGCAAGAACACATAATACGGTAGTGAGTTTACGCAACAGGACGGGAAAAAGAAGAAGACACACTGGCAAAACCCTCGTGTGTGACAAACGTGACAGGGCTATTACTTACGTGTTTTGTCGTGATCTTAACTTTATGTTTTCTGGTCTTTTACGAAAAGATCTGTTTAAAGGAAAGTGAATTTTTGCGAAAAGTTATTTCAAACAAAATTATTGTCACGCTGGTCACACAAGGTTTGCCGTCTTCTTCCCTATCCCGTCCTGTTGCGTAAGTTCACAAAAAAAAAAGGACTAGCACGCTAGCTCGGGTCACTTCGTAACTGTAAAATAGATGATTTTCCCTACCCCTCTCTGGACCATAAATACGTAACTCCAGAGAATGGTCCCAAATCAAAAGGGGTAAAAAACTATGCACTTTGGCGCCACACAGGCTAGCTTTTATAAGGAAGTACCTCCCACCCTCCAGCCCCTAGATTGCATGCCTGACTCACCTCTAAACTCCAGACCACGGACTTGAAAAGTAACGAGACCATTGCCGACCTCAATGATGTGAACCAAGGCGTTTAGGTAATCCGAAGCCAACACGAAACAGTCGCCGGTGCCGAAGGGCCCCCAGCGGCCCATCATTAAGTCTCCGCACAAACTATGCTGCAGCGAGCGAGTTAGGTGCTCGTAGAATATTGAGTTAAGATTATTGTCATCAGAACCTGAAAACAAGGGTTCAAAAATGTTCAAAAGAAATAACCCTTCAAACTCTAATGTCAAATTTCAGATTCTCTTTTGCTTTCCCTATACGCTTCCGATAGAACTAGAGGTAATCAGTGATTACGGATCCGCGTTCGTCACTTACGGAAACGAAATCGAGTCGAAAGGAGTCCAGTTTCCCGGCCGAGATGCCCCTGATAAAATTAATAGGGGTGGCTAATCGGCAGTCGCCCGTGATAGCTCCAAAATTTCTGCCTTTGTGCCACAGGAACACCAGATTAGGATGCGTTCTGACGAACGCGATTAGTAAGGAGAATTTGTTGAAGTGTCAGTTAGATTCATTCATCGTGTGTAATCACGTCCCTGCTCCTCCTTATTTACCTCCGTGACGGTCCGAATATGTGTTCACACTGCACCAAACTATGGCACAAAACCAGTTATCCGATAATTCGAGTTCAGCGAGGCGCAGTTTCGTTCCGTCACAGAAATCGCGCTGAAATCACGGTTCGTATGTGTGAAGAGAAGCCCTATCCGTTAGGAGTTTCATGGCGGCGCAAAAGTATCCCCCCGTACGGTGTGAACATGGCCTTAGAATAAACCCTGAAAAGTGCCTAAGGGTGTACTCAGTCCCCGGGGGAGCATTTTCGGAATTTTGGGGTGGGGATGTACCGCTGAGACCCTGGAACCCTTAGCCTATACCAGAGCTAGTTCAGCTGACTTTTTAACCCTACCCTTAGTCTGCGTGGCAGGCGTTTGAAAGGGAAGGGAAAGGGAGCTTTGGGAAAGGGAGTTTTAGGCGCGAGAGAAACGCGAGGGGCGCGCGAGGAAGGAGGGAGGGAAACGCCTGCCAGGAAACCATTGTTTTTCTCGTTTTTAACATCTACCAGGCGAATGTTAAAATCCTGATTGGTCAAAATTTGATAAGATCTAAATAGCTTGTTCTAATTGGTCACATACATGTCATTCAGTAACTTGAGTGTTAGCATTCACAACTAAACATATGTCGTTTAATAGTGAAGCATGTTGAGATTTCTCTACGGGAATTCATCGTTAGAAGGCATCAAGTTCAGATTCAAAGGAGAATACAAAAAAGCGGTTAAAGAACCGTATGAAGGAAAAGGCCTGTCAGCAGATGAGTTTTACTGACCGGTTCTGAAAAGTATTATCTCCAAACGGCTTGTCGGTTTTACTCTCCAAAGGAAAGAAACGAAAAATCGTGCTGCCTGTGTGCTTGTTATCTGCTGTTTCACCCGCGTTATCAACGGCAAGATAATTGAAGACGAAGCGATCTATAACTTTTTAGCTGACTTTTATTCTCGGTTTCCCTAGTCTACCCCAAAAGCTTCAAAAAATTGATCAGTTTTCTGGAAATGATACCCTATTGTAGACCCAAACTCTCTGATTTACATGACCTATATGAGAGTAAACTGTTTGAAAACCATACCCCTTAGGGCAGCGCATACCTACATAGCCCACATATGCCAGTACCTCCCCCCCCCGGAAATCAGTCCACGTGTAAATAAGAACAGAATAAAAATATATGTGTTAAAAGAGAGAGCTGTTAAGGTAGAGAACAGTAGCATCCAATTACCTGGGCTTCTATCAAGCTGTGAAGAAAGACGAGTGTTGGAGTGATCCACGCGACTGGTGCTAAAGAAACAACAGAAACAAATAATACTGTCACAAAGCATAGGAAAAGAGATCAACTCCCACAGTACTGGTTTGGGACACCAACATGGTTGCTGTTTTATAAGGGAGCTTCAGCAACAACGACGGCAACAGCAACGAAAACGTCACTTAAAATGTGAAGTTGCGCTGTTTCAAAGTTTATTGTGCTTATGCGATGTCGTTCAATTCGTCAAATGTTGGCAGATTTTTCTCGCCCCGGTTGTTCAACCGTTGGATAGCGCTATCCACCGGATTAAAATCTATTCTGCGGATAACGCAATTGGTTTCCCTAGTACTTATCCGCTTGATAGTGATTTATCCGGTGGATAACGCTATCCAGATTTTTAACAACCAGGGCCTGGAGTTGAATTCAAAGAGACTGTATCAAAGGAAAAAGACAGTCGTTGCCCATTGTTCACGTCCTCCACAAAACCTGAAATTAGACATTTTCAAGTTGTAGTCGTGCAGTGACAGCAAAAAAATGTACAAAAAAGCGTGCTGCACGTGCAGAGTTGTTGTTTTGCCAATCTAAACCTATTGCTTTTTTTGCTGTTCTCGTTGACGTTGAAAACGTCGTCCCAAATTTTGGAACACCAACATGGCCGCCGTAACGTGAAGTCAGTGCAAACCCACTCCATATTTACAAAAACAATATGAACACAAACGAGGCACTGTGAAGATCACCTTTAATGTAAAAACACCATTAACACAACTAACAATAATTAAGCCACCAAACGGTATTTTGAGCGGCAGCTGCGCCAAGGTAAGAGATAAGAACTAATTTAATATTGGACGTCAAACCCTATTTGCCGTCGATGAAATAAAACTTTTTTTCAGGCCTCCAAGGCGAAAGGAAATTGGTTTAAATTATCAAGAGGCTTACATATTAGAACAAAATTACAGTGATTAACTGGGAAAGGAAGGTCAGGCTTGGTTTGAATTTTTGCGGGTGGGTGGGTTAAAAAACCCGAGAGTTCGAGAAATCGGAGTTCCGCTGTATTATCAATTAACATTCAAACTATTTATTATTTTTTCTTTCCTTTTTTGTATTAGACGCTAATGGTGAGACCAAAAAAATAAAACCGCAATTTGCTTCACCATTTAGAAATATTGCACTGTTAGTTTAGTTAAAAGCCTTCGCCGGACATATAACAACATATTTCCCAGGTGTTAACCTCCAAGAGGGAATAGTTGGCAGGTATAAACGATATCAGCTGCATGTAAGTTTGACATGTTTATTTCAATTACCTGTAATTTTATTAAATTAAAAGAGATTCATGAAGAGTAAAGCGCGAGGACACAAAGACTGCAGCAAAATGTCGACAATCAACTTCGAAGAACTGTTTTGTGCGGCAAACTTCACCGAAGGCATACAAAGTCAATTGATTGTTTTTTCAGCAGTAAACACGTTTTTGTCCATAACTGCTTTTCTGGGAAATTCACTGATCTTAGTTGCACTGCACAAGGAGAACTCACTTCACCCGCCGTCAAAACTTCTGTATCGTAACCTGGCGATTACCGATGTCTGTGTTGGCATCATTGCGCAGCCTCTGCTCGTCATCTGGTGCATGTTCGTGGTAAACGAACGGTGGAATAGTTGTGTATACGCACTCTATGGAGCTTTAACCACGGGTTTTACTTTGTGTGCGGTATCCTTGCTTACAATGACCGCAGTAAGCGTGGACAGACTTCTTGCCTTGCTTTTGAGGCTCAGATACAGGAACGTGGTAACTTCACGGCGAACTTGTGTGACCATAGTAGTTTTTTGGGTTCTGTCTTTGTTCGGCGCTTTGTTGATGCATTTTCAGAATTACGTCATCACCTATTGGTACAGCTATATAATCATAGCCCTTTGTTTAACAGTATCAAGTGCCTCTCACGTAAAGATTTTCTTAACGTTGCGTCAACACCAGATTCAAGTACAAGAACGGGTTCACCTTGAGCGAGCCAGCCAAGCGATTCCACTCAACATAGCGCGATACAAGAAAGCGGTATCGAGTGCACTGTGGGTACAGACAGCCTTGGTTATCTGTTACCTGCCACTTGGTGTAGTAGACGTTTTGAGAACTCAATCAGCACAGTCTGCGTCAGATTTTTTAGTTGCTAGAAGGTATACACTTACCTTACTTTACTTCAATTCAACGTTAAACCCGATACTATATTGCTGGAAGATAAACGAAGTGAGACAAGCGGTGAAGGAAACTATCCGAAACTGTTGGCGCTCGTCTACTTCTTAACCTTTTAAGCCCTAAGAGTGATCAGCATCAAATTTGTCCTTGTAATATCAGTGCAACAACAACAACATCTTTATTTCTTACATTAAATATACAAATATCACACCACCTGCAAATAGCAAGGCTAATCGAGGCAGGTGGTGTGTAGACGGCTTAAGATTTCTTACGAAAACTTGAAGTGAAAAAGAACCATATTTATAATAAAAAAGGTCAGTCACGAGAGAAATTGAGATAAGAAAATCGAGGCAGCTATTTAGATAAGCGGGGGCTAATATTTTTTAAAATCGGAGATTATCGTGTTTAGGTCAGCATATCTATCCTGAACTTCAAATATTTTCAACAGAATTGTATGAACTTTTTCCTTAAAGAGAGATTTTGAAGAATTTCGTAAATTTTCAGGTATACTATTCCAAATTTTGGCTCCCATAATAGAAAACGAATCATTTTTCTGATTTAGTCTAGAGTGGCTAATGTAATAATTTCCAGAAGAGGAGGAGCGAGTGCTGTAAGAGTGGATTTGTTGAGTAGGAATAAAGAGATGTGAAATATTATGAGGGGCAGTGTTATTGTAAACATCAAACATTAACATCGAAGAAAGCTTAAAATAGAGCATTGTAATAGGCATAATATTAGAGTGAAGAAAGTAAGGGACGGCATGAGAGCGGAAAGGTGCGAAGTTAATAAGGCGCACAGCTCTCTTTGAAAGTGCTTTATGAAACAGAGTGGTCATGAGAATTACGGACATGATCACACAAGATGAATGTGCTTGATATTTTATCAACTTCTCCCCACTACTTCTGTAGGAAATGAATATGGGCAACAAAGGAGAATTCAAATGTTGATCTTAGGGTTTAAAGGGTTAAGCCCCACCCTACGAGCAGAGCTCCCTTTTGTCATCTTTTGTCAAACTGGTTTTATGAGTGCGAGCATCCGTTTATTGATAAACCGCTGATCATAACTGAGCCTGCTTAACCAAGAGCAAGGTTATAAGGCCTGGCTTGGAGGCTGTATCCCACTGTAGCAACAGCGCATGCTCAACAAAGAACTTACTTGATTCTCTCGATACCCTACTTAGCTGGCAGGATTGGTTTTGCGCGTGTGACAGTTTTGGCGGCGAAGCCTCGTCTCCTCCCCATTCTCCGCACGGCTCCGCAGTTCCTCTGCCAAAACTTTGCTCGCGCTAAATAACAATCCCGCTGGCTACGCAAGCCACTTTCTCGAATATGCCAAAATTGAACAAGCGAAAGGAAAACTCTGCGGGCAGGGTGCTTAAGCCGCGCGTCATCGCTTATTCGAAAATTATAATTTCGCCTACATATTTCACCAGAAACTTCTGCCTTATTCAGTGTTGTTACAATTTGTTAAATGAGACGAGTTACGTAATATACTAAGAGAATAATTATAATGGTGAACATAAAAAATTTCGTCCGTTTACAGTGCTCCATTTTTAGGCCCGTTATAGCTTCCTATAACGGGCAGCCCGTACTGTCACAATTTGTAATAATCGTCCCACTTTATAATATCGTCGCAATTAACAATAAACCGTGTCGAACTTGTAATAAAAACGCTGTCGGAATTTGTTATGTAACAACTGTCCATCGCAGTTATTAATAAACTAAGCTGTTGCATCTTGCCAATATCAATATCAATATCTTGCCAAAAACATAAATGGAATCCCATAATCCCATAAGTAACCCCATAATCCCCATTAGCGCGATGTGTTTGCATGCTGACGACATCCAGTAAAATCCCGTGACTATATAGAATCTGGATTTTTCCAAGTTAGCCTAAATAGGTTCTTATATAAAGGGTAGTTAGCACTAGTTTAGACTATTTAGGTTCTTAAATAAGTTCTTATCTTTTTGAAGAATAGAATACAATAGAGCTAAGAGTATTTAGCGTTGTTTAGACGTCATACAAAATCTGCATACGATTACATTGCAGTTGTAGTGGTAAGGCACCTATGTCTCCAAAGAGAATTCTGGATGTTTACCTATCTTATTTGCCCAAGTATACCTGCGTAGCAAGCGTTTCCATTTGGGTTCGGAGCAAAGACCGTGGAACAGGATTTTTGGTTTTAACCGCGTGAGAAATTTCTTCCCCACCCCTCCCCGCTCTTTTATTCGCGCCATTTTTCGCGCGGTCTTTGACTCTCGTTCCTCGTTTTTTGCTCCGAAACCGCACAGAAACGCTTGCTAAAGTGAACAAAATTCGGCTGCAAACGTTTCACCTGAGAACGAAAAGAACTCGAAGTGTGTCAGGACGCGTGGCCCAACCCAAGTTCTAGTGAGTAAGGGAAATCAACTGATTATTACGCGAACTTCGGCACAGAAGCGTGAACGAACGAGCCACTTGGACAAACGAAGTTCGTTATCAAAATTACCTATTATTTCGAAAATCGTAGCGGCAAACACCTTTCCAAGAAAAGGAATTAGTCATCTAATAATGAACTACCGCTTTTATCCTGGAGATGGCTTTAATAGGTCTCAGAGGTGTTATAAAACCTTGATTGAATACTCAGTTGCAAAATACTAACTAATACTAACTAAGAACTCCATTGTGAAGTTACTGAGAATTACCGTGAAACTACTGATTTCTTTCTACGTCGTCATTAAGATATCGGTGAAAAGGTCATCACAGTTGTATTAGATAATGATGAACACTTTTAATGGTTTGTGTTATGTTGACATTCGAATGTCGTAGCAACATACTAAGATCATTATCTTTTTATCTCCTGTACGTGCTGATAGTAACTACCAAACTAAGCAACGCGGACAGAATAAACATCCAAATTCTCCAATTATTCCTTTGACCGCTTGTCTAACTTCATTCATCTTCCAGCAGTACAATATCGGGTTTAATGTTGAGTTGAGGTAGACCAAAGTCCCTGCATACTCCTTAGCAATAACAACAGATGGGTAGGATCCTTTAATTATAAATGCGTTAACTATGTTTATGGGTAGATAGCAAATAACTAATGCCAACTGCACCCATAGGGCACTCGATACTGCCTTTCTGTAGCGCGCCATGTTCAGTAGATTTGCATCGCTTGACTGTCCTTGGTGAATTTGGTTCTGCACGTGAATTTGTTGATGACGGAGAGCGTAAAAAATTTTCGCAAAAGAGGCAGTCGATAAGACTAGGCACAGTGATATAAATACAGAGCTTAACAAGGTGGTGAATGTGTGATTCCAAAAGTGCAATGCTGTACAGCCAACCAGCAATAGCCATAAAACAGTTACAGTTAGATAGGTCTTCTTTAAGGTCACGAAGTGTCTGTATCTGAGCCCCAACAGCAGAGCGAGAAGTCTGTCCAAGCTGATCACCGCCACTGTCGACAAAGTCACCCCACATAATACATAGCTTGTGATATAATTTGCAACAAACGCATACCGACAAATGTTCCATCGTCCGGTTACAGCAGCGATCGAGAAAATGACACCCAACGGTTCCACAATAAAACCAACACAGAGATCAGTTGCGGCTAGGTTACGATACAAGAGTTTGGACGGTGGATGTAGAGATGTTACTTTCTTGAGGGCTAGTAGGATCAGAGTATTGCCGAGAAACGCTGTGACACACAGGACTGTGTTCAGCACTAATAGAAAGATCAACTGGTTTTGTATTCCTCTGGTTGATTCTAACGAACAAAATATTTCCTCGTATTTTTCTTGTTCTTCACCGGCGGTGAGACGGCTCGCCGTCATCTTTCTGCATTAATACTTACGTGACAGGTGTGTTTGTTTTTCTAAGGCTGATGTGAATGTAAACAACTAACTTGATTTTTTTTTTTTGGAATGAAGTAACCAGCACTCGCTTAACTGGCAGGATATGAAATGCTCTACTACTTCTTCTTTGTTTTCGACGGGGAAAGTATTAGTATTTTCCGAAAAAAAAATCTTTATCTCCCCACCACAGAGGGCCCAGCGATCTCTTCACATTCAGAATCAGGGAGATGTAAAATCAACCGTCGGTTACTCGGGTCCGTTGTCAATTTTCGGCAGCTGGTTTAACAAGACTACAATGTCGTGTTAATCATCTCGTCTCCGGCCTCTTCCTTATTAATTATTAAGTTACTGTTACAGTTTTCGAAAACTTTCGTTAATTTTCTTTTTGTGCTCCGTTTTTTCCCTCAGTGAGCAAGGATTTAGAGCTTTTTAGTTTTGATATTATACGCTGGTTTTTCAGCACTGGGTCTCCAAGTAAGATGAAACTTCAAACCCCTGTGTAGGCGAAAATCTAATACGTTTGGCACCTTTGATTTGTTTTTACCTACTATGGCTACATTTATTACAATTTACGCCAGGGTTTTTTTTACAAAATTCCGCAACGGCGCTGTGCACAGTAAAGAAAATAAAGATTTCAGTGAATTCCATAATGGAAGTGAACAAGTTTCTTTTATTCTTCTAGTTTTTTTTTACATTCATCCTATTGTCGTCTTTATAATTATTCCGACTTAGGTATGAAATATAATTCACGTTATTATTATTTCTAAACTAGCATTACAGCACGTAGAAGTTTCTACTAAAGCGCGTGACTTAGGAAAAAGGTTGATACAAGGTCACGACTTAGTGTAACAGCATCATGCGGTTAATTTTCAGGGGCATAGATAGGATTTTTCTGACGTCCCAGTCGAGAGGTGACTGTGACAAGAAGCTGTCTTTTTCGTGATTTGTTCTTGTTCTGTTTTATTCGTAACAGCATCATGTGGTTAATTTTCAGGGGCATAGATAGGATTTTTCTGACGTCCACGTCGAAAGGTGACTGTGACAAGAAGCTGTCTTTTTCATGATTTGTTCTTGTTCTATTTTATTCTATTCAGCGTGACAAGGTTGCCCTATATATAATTAGGCAAACAATTAAGACCTCGCCGTCGTGTTTTATAAAGTACATAGAAACATTGGTCAGCATTAGATCGCATCTGCCAAAGCCTCCTTATTACCACTCTTTGATTAAGCAAAACAAGTGAAAGATAATCTTGGAGGGAAGCGAATTGATGGATATCTTTTAGTTTTTGTCCAATTTCTTGTCCGATTTTTGTCCGACTTCTTGTCTGATTTTTTGTTCGTTGTTTTGTCCGATTTTTTTCTGACCTTTTGTCCGATCTTTTTTCCGATTTTTTTTTCCGATTTTTTGCCCGATCCTTTGCCCGATTTTTTTGTCCGATATTTTATCCGATTTTTTTCTGACCTTTTGTTCGATATTTTGTCGGATTTTTTTCCGATCTGTTGTCCTATTTTTTTCTGACCTTTTGTCCGATTTCTCGTCAGATGCTTTCGTTCGATCTTTTGCCTGATTTTTTGTCCTATTTTTTTCTGACCTTTTGTCCGATCTTTTTAGCCCATTTTTCTGTCCGATGTTTTGTCCGATTTTTGTCCGATGTCTTTTCCGATCTTTTGTCCGATTTTTGTTCCAATCTTGTCCGATCTAGGTGTGGTAGGCCTAGTCCAAACGTTGACCTTTTCATGAAACGAACCGAACTCTAATTTGGGTCGACCTAAATTAAGCTAAGATCGTCTGTTGGGTCAGACGTCAAATTAAGGACGCGTCGAACCAATCAACTGAATCAGACCAAAAAGAAATTTTAGCGAAACGAGGCTACATATTCATCATCATAAAATTTTAATTTATTAGTTTAGTTCGTCGCATGTGAAGATCGACGTTTGTCCCGGAGGTGATCTTCAAGACGTGCTATCCGTTCTGCAACAGACAAATAGAACGTGTTGGACGATCCAAACTCATTCAGACGAACTTAACTGAGCCAGACGTCCAACTTCTCATGAACTTTACTTACTATGTTTGGTTCGTCGCATGAAAACTTCGACGTTTGGCCAAGGCCTTATATATAATAAATAGGCGGAGTAATTATAAAAAACACAATAGGAACAATGTCACAAGTTTACCTTGTAAAATTAACTTTTTCTGCTTCTTTTCATGAGTTCGCTGAAACCCCCAATGCGTTATCAGTATTGTGCTCAGCGCCGTTGCTAACGCAAATTTTGATTTTTGGGTTATTACACTGTAGTTTAAAATGCAAGTAAATTGATTTGAAAACCCACACAAGTAATATAATATCAAAATAAAAAGCTTATCCTAGCTGAAGGAAAAAATAAAACAAAATGAACAATTAACAATAGTTATGCAGTCCAAATGTTGGCGTCATAATCAATATGCAACAGACAAGACACGAAATAATAATCGTTGTTGTTGAACCAGATCCTGTTGGCGATAACGTACTCAAATTTAGTGACGGTTAATTTGACATTTTAAGTGTAGTGAGGTCATTTGGTCCGTTGTGGAGGCGAGCAAAGGAATATATTTTTTAAATAAGTAATATCACCAAGAAACTAAGAGAAAGTAATGGAGCATTTCAAAAAACATACCAAATTAATTATTTACTATCACGGGATATTTGTTGTAGCCTTATAAAAATGAGAAACAGCTGTTACTAACGTACAAACTGCAGAAAGATAACGGTGAGCCATTTCACCGCCGATGGAGAACAAGAAAAATACCGGCGAGGAAATATTTTGCTCGGTAGAATTTACCAGAGGAATACAAAACCAGTTGATCTTTCTTGTAGTGCTGAACACAATTCTGTCTGTCACCGCGTTTTTCGAGAATACTCTGATCCTACTAGCCCTCAAGAAAGTTACAGCTCTTCATCCACCGTCTAAACTCTTGTATCGTAACCTAGCCGCAACTGATCTCTGTGTTGGTGTCATTGTGGCACCTCTAAATGTAACTTTCGAGATCGCGGCTGTAACCGGACGATGGAACATTTGTCGCCATGCATTCCTTGCAAATTATATCTCAGCATACATTTTGTGTGGGGTGACTTTATTGACAGTGGCGGCCATTAGCTTGGACAGGCTTCTAGCGCTGTTGTTGAGGCTCAGATACAGACAACTGGTACCTTTAAACAGGGTCTATCTAATTGTAACTGCGTTATGGATTGTGCTTGTTGTCTGTACAACAATGCACTTATGGAATTCCCAAGTAGCCACATGGTACAGCTCTATACTGTCATCACTGTGCCTAGTATTATCGACTGCTTCTTTTGCGAAAATTTTTCATGCTCTCCGTCATCAACAAATTCACGTGCAGAATCAAATTCACCAAGGACAGTCACGCGAAACAAGTCTACTGAACATGTCGCGCTACAGAAAGGCAGTATCTAGTGCACTATGGGTGCAGTTGGCATTAGTTATTTGTTATCTGCCGATAGTCATAGTGGAGGCTTTGACAATTCAAGGATTGTCTCCATCGGTTGTTATTGTTAAAGAGTTTGCAGTGGCTTTAGTTTATCTAAATTCAACATTAAACCCGATATTGTACTGCTGGAAGATGAATGAAGTTAGACAAGCGGTAAAAGGAATAATTGAAGAACTTAGGTGTTTATTCTGTCTACGTTCTTAAGTTTGTTAGTTACTGTTACTGCGTGCAGAGGACGAGAGTTTGAGCCACCAGGAAGGCGATTTCAACGAGAAGGACGAAAAGGAATGGGCTTTAGTTTGGTTTCCGCTTAAATTTCATGAGGATTCTGAGCCTTTTAGAATCCGATGAGTGAGTGATATATAACCCTCTTCGTCACTAGCATTAAAGTATATTGCCATTTTCTTTTTGCCTACACATATAATTTTTAAATGTTTATTAAAGCTTAGGTACAATTCCACATACAATATTAACAGAGACGGAGAGAGACATAAACTAACACAAAAGAAGGGTAACAAAGAACAAGAAAAGATGCAATTCGCACACAGGATATTATAACATTGATTTAATTTTACCACTAACAAAAATCAACTGAACATGACATAATTGTATGCGGCCAAAGGCTCAAAGATTCTCGAACTCTTGAAGGCTCTATAGAGGCTCTATAGCCATAGAACGCTAACCAATATGAAATAGAACAACGACAGCTAATCAAACAGTCGAGCGAAGCAACCTTCAGACTTGAACGGCAGAATGACGTAAAGTCGCTGAAAAGACGACGACGACGACGACTACTACTATCGGTCAACTTTAAGTCATTGGAACTCCGTTAATGCGACCACCTGTTAAAATTGGTCGTAATAACGAGGTGGTCGCATTAACGGGGTCTTCAAAATAATAAAATGAGTCAATGTTTTTTATGTTTGGTTTGAAAGAATATGGCCGTAATAACGAGGTGGTCTTATAAACGGGGTGGTCGTAAGGCGGGGTTCCACTGTACATGAAGTGAATCGCCGTGAACCTGAGGTTGGAAGTTATCCAGAAAACATCATTGTTGGGGACAACAAAGATACTAAGGAATATACTGTCCCTGTAAGAAGAAGGAAAAGAGAGACCTGGGACCCGTGGTGACTTGTTGTAACCCGCTTCCAAGGACTAGAAACCAGGCCGAACATCCTGCCTGAGTCTACAAGGAATGGACATAATAATAACATTTTTTATACAGGGCTCCTGGTGCATAATGCTGGTACACTGAGTCAGGACCTTGTATCACCCTTTTCCTAAACACAACACGCCAATCTTTTTCGAAGTTACGCTTTAGCAGAAACGTCTGCCTTTTTCAGTTCTAATTTTTGAAAAAATCAATAACGTGAGTTACATTTTTACTTGAGTCGGAATAATTATAAAAATTACAATAGGAAGAATGACTAAAAACAAGAATAATAAAAGAAACTATTTTTAGATTCCTTTCATTAAAGAGCTATACTGCACACAGCGCCGTTGCTGACTTTTGTAAAAATTCCCTGACACAAATTGAAAGGAAATATAGCTACAAATTGTAAAAACAAATCAAATATGTCACACTTGTCACACTTTTTAAATCTCGGGCCACTGATTAAAAATGCTATGAAACTGACGTGGAAACCCAGAAAAGAAAATTTATAGAACTATATAATATAATATAAAAACTAAAAAGCTCTTGGTCCGTGCGAAAGGTTGATTTCAACTGACGCGTTTTTCGCCACGCACGTTAACGCACGTAAATTTTAATCACGTAAATAAATTAGAGGCAAGATAAAAAGCGCTGAGCTTAAACGAGAAGTTTATCGAGTTTCAACTTTCACGTTGACGAGCAAAATTTCATGCATTGCCTCTATTTCATTTGCGAACATAAATTTTACGCACGTACGCACGTAAAATTTACGCTACACTGGAAATCAAAAAATAACCTTGAAGAGTTTGCGAAAAAACTTGGCAGTAACACCTGCAGGTGAAAATCGACAACGGACTCGAATAACGGTTGAATAAACACTCTGAATGTACAGAGAACGTGGGCACTCTTGGGTGGCGAGGAAAAGAATATGTATTTGAAAATACTAAGATTACCCTGTCAAAAATTAAAGAACAAGAAAGAGAGCATTTAACATCTTGCCAGTTAACCGAGTGCTGGTTACTTAAAAGAAATCAAATTAATTATTCCCTATCACAGGACATTTGTTGTAGCTTTATTAAAAAAATATGCACCTGTCACTAAAATACAAACTGCAGAAAGATGACGGCGAGCACTCTCACCACCGATGGAAAACACGAAAAATATGAGGAAATATTTTGCTCAGTAGAATTAACCAGCGGAATACATAACCAGTTGATATTTCTGTCCGTGTTGAACACAGTTTTATCGGTCACTGCGTTTCTCGGCAATACTCTAATCCTACTGGCACTTAGGAAAGTGACATCTCTTCATCCACCGTCTAAACTCTTGTATCGTAACCTAGCCGCAACTGATTTCTGTGTTGGAGTCATTGTGGAACCTCTAAATATAACTTACTTGATCGCAGTTCTAACCGGACGATGGAACATTTGTCGCCGGGCATTCCTTGCAAATTTTATCTCAGCATATATTTTGGGGGCAGTGACTTTGTCGACAACGGCAGTCATCAGTTTGGACAGGCTTCTAGCGCTGTTGCTGAGGCTCAGATACAGACAACTGGTAACCTTGAAGAGGGCCTATCTAACTGTAACTGCGTTATGGATTGTGTCGGTTGTCTTTGCGGCAATACACTTTTGGAATTCCCAAGTAACAATATGGTACGCCTCTTTCCTTACATCACTGTCTTTAGTCTTATCGACTGCCTCTTTTGCGAAAATTTTCCACGCTCTGCGTCATCAACAAATTCACCCGCAGAACCAAATTCACCAAGGACAGTCTAGCGATGCAAATCTACTGAACATGGCGCGCTACAGAAAGGCAGTATCTAGTGCACTATGGGTGCAGTTGGCATTAGTTATTTGCTATCTACCCATAAACATAGCGGAAGGTTTTGCAATTCATGGACTGTCCCCATCTGTTGTTATTGCTAAGGAGTTTACAGCGACTTTAGTCTACCTAAACTCAACATTAAACCCGATATTGTACTGCTGGAAGATGAATGAAATAAGACAAGCGGTAAAAGGAATAATTGAAGAACTTAAGAGCTTATTTTGTCTGCCTTGATAAGTTTCTTAGTTACTGTTACTGCGTGCAGAAGACGAGAGCCTGAGCCACCACCACGACGGGAAGGACAAAATGGCATGGGCTTTAGTTTGGTTTCCGCATAACAACTGGGACGCCGTTTCAAATTGTGTTCAGCCGATAGACGGAGTCGACCATAACGAAACATCTCTGATGCCAGGGGGACAATTCGTCCATTTCAGACGATGGCAAACGCCATGTATCACAAACGCGCAATAGTTTTTTCATATTTGGGCGTCTTCCAAAAAGAGTTTTTGAGATCACTTGTTTGGAGTCAAAGTTGCAATAGGCACGCAATACGTGCGAACGTAAACAAGCCATGGGTTACTTTTTAGTTGTTTTGTTTGACCAAAAACGGGGCAAGATAAGGAGGATTTTGACAGGTGCGGTGTAATGCCGATCAGTTTTTCAGTCTACTTAAAAACACGACAATGCCTGAATTGTAGTTACCTTCTGACAGCCTTTCCACGCTGGATAAAATGATAGAAAACAAGGACAGTTAAGAAAAAAGACGGCTTCTACAGTCAGTTGGCTTGTCAAGTCATGACTTTGTGTCCAAACTCCTCACAAAAAACACAATCTTTTCAAATTCGCATACATGTTTTAGCAGAAACGTCTAGCTTCTCCAATGGTAGTTGCAAACGAATAAACAAGGTGTGCCAGACCTGCGCCAAACGTCGACCTTTTCATGAGACGAACCAAACTCTAATTTGGGTCGACCTAAATTAAGCTAAGATCGTCTGTTGGGTCAGATGTCGAACTTAGGACGCGTCGAAACAATCAACTGAATCAGACCGAAGAGTAATTTCAGCCAAACGAGGCTAAATATACATTATCATACAAACTTTCAATTTATTAGTTTAGTTGGTCGCGTGTGAAGATGGACGTTTTTCCCGGAGACGCTCTGCAGACGAAGAAAAAGACGGCTTGTGCAGTCACCTTGACCTGCAAAATTCAGCTGGTATGTCAAGTCATGAATTTGTGTCAAAACCTCTAAGAAAGAAAAAAACAAAATCTTTTCAAATTCATGAACAGATTTCAGTAGGAACGTCTATGTTCTTAAGTGTTTGTTAGAAAGGAATAAATAAGGTGTGTTATGTATAGTGAATAGGCGGAATAATTATAAAGAAGACAATAAGAACAATGTAAAAAGTGTACGTTGTAAAATTAACCTTTTCCCGCGTCTTTCCCGCCGGGAGTTCGCTTAAGTCTTCATGCGTTATCAGTAATGTGCACAGCGCGTTGCTGATTTAAAAAAAAAAAACCCTTACGCAAATTGTAAGAAAAAACCAGCTGCAGTTTGTAAATATGCACTTTTTGATTTTGGGGTTATTAGTTTAAAACAAAATTAGATTGGTTTGGAATTTCAAAGTTGGCAATCCATATACTAGGTGTAATATAATATCAAAATAAAAAGCTTCTCCTAGCTGAAGGAAAAAATGAAACAAAATGAACAATAAACAATAGTTATGCAGAAAAGCCCAAATGTTCGCTTCATAATCAATATGGAAGAGGCAAGATACGAGATAATAATCGTTGATGTTACACCAGATCCTGTTCGCGACAACGGATTCCAGTTTAGTAACGGTTGATTTGACATTTTGAAGGTGGTGAGGTCATTTGTTCCGCTGTGGAGGCGAGGAAAGGAATATATATTTTAAATAAATAACTAATATCCCCAGAGAAAGTAATGGAGCATTTAAAAACCCCAGAGTTAACCGAGTGCTGATTACTTATTTCTAAAAAGATACCACATAAATTATTTACTATCACAGGATATCTGTTATAGCTTTTTATAAAATAACTAAGATAGTACGCGCGTTCTGATTGGCTGAGAGGAGTGTTTGCATGAGAGTATGTAAACATGGTTGTGTGGTCAATATGTTTTGCTTTTCGCGCGATAATCACTCGAACACGAATTTGAAAACGTGTTTTGAGTTCAAAACTTGAGAAGTTGACTTTATTTACCCATTCCTTCGTCGGCTGCAACTTGGAAAATCTTTACAAACACGCTGTGTCAATTTTTTTTTTACACGACACTGGAAATCAACCCTAACGGAAAAAAAACTAAAAGAAAATTTAAAAAAACCTAGAAGTGTTTGCGAAAAAACATGCCAGTAACTTAACAAGTAATCTGGAATAGGCCGGACACGAGAAAATAATCACGACACTGTAGTCTTGTTACACCAGCAGCTGAAAATCGACAACGGCCTCGAATAACGATTGAATAAACATTTTGAATGTACAGAGAACGTGGGCACGCTTGGGTGGCGAGGAAAACAATATGTAGTTCAAAATACTGACATTACCCTGTCGAAAACTAAGAAAAAGTAATGGAGCATTTCACATCTTGCCAGTTAACCGAGTGCTGGTTACTTAATTAAAAAGAAATCAAATTAATTATTTACTATCACAGGATATTTGTTGTAGCTTTATTAAAAAGATAAACACCTGTCACCAAAGTACAAACTGCCGAAAGATGACGGCGAGCCCTCTCACCGCCGATGGAAAACACGAAAAATATGAGGAAATATTTTGCTCAGTAGAATTAACCAGCGGAATACATAACCAGTTGATATTTCTGTCAGTGTTGAACACAGTTTTATCGGTCACTGCGTTTCTCGGCAATACTCTGATCCTACTGGCACTTGGGAAAGTGACATCACTTCATCCACCGTCCAAACTCTTGTATCGTAACCTAGCCGCAACCGATTTCTGTGTTGGTGTCATTGTGGAACCTATAAGTATAACTTACTTGATCGCAGTTATAACCGGACGATGGAACATTTGTCGCCGTGCATTCCTTGCAAATTATATCGCAGCATATATTTTGTGTGGGGTGACTTTGTCGACAGTGACGGCCATCAGCTTGGACAGGCTTCTAGCGCTGTTGTTAAGGTTCAGATACAGACAACTAGTAACCTTGAAGAAGGCCTATCTAATTGTAACTGCGTTATGGATTGTGCCCGCTGTCTGTACAACAATGCACGTATGGAATTCCCAAGTAACCACATGGTACAGCTCTATACTGACATCACTGTGCCTAGTCTTATCGACTGCTTCTTTTGCGAAAATTTTTCATGCTCTCCGTCATCAACAAATTCACGTGCAGAATCAATTTCACCAAGGACAGTCTAGCGATGCAAATCTACTGAACATGGCGCGCTACAGAAAGGCAGTATCTAGTGCACTGTGGGTGCAGTTGGCATTAGTTATTTGCTATCTACCCATAAACATAGTGGAAGGTTTTACAATTCATGGATTGTCCCCATCTGTTGTTATTGCTAAGGAGTTTACAGCGACTTTAGTCTACCTAAACTCAACATTAAACCCGATATTGTACTGCTGGAAGATGAATGAAATAAGACAAGCGGTAAAAGGAATAATTGGAGAACTTAAGCGTTTATTTTGTCTGACTTAATAAGTTTTTGTTAGTTACTGTTACTGCGTGCAGAAGACGAGAGCTTGAGCAACCACCACGACGGGAAGGACAAAATGGCATGGGCTTTAGTTTGGTTTCCGCATAATAACTGGGACGCCGTTTCAAATTGTGTTCAGCCGATAGACGGAGTCGACCATAAGGGAACATCTCTGATGCCAGGGGGACAATTCGTCCATTTCAGACGATGGCAAACGCAATGTATCACAAACGCGCAATAGTTTTTTTCATATTTGGGCGTCTTCCAAAAAGAGTTTTTGAGATCCCTTATTTTTGATTCAAAGTTGCAATAGCCACGCAATACGTGCAAACGTAAACAAGCCAAGGGTTACTTTTTAGTTGTTTTGTTTGACCAAAAAGGGGCAAGATAAGGAGGATTTTGACAGGTGCAGTGTAATGCCGATCAGTTTTTCAGTCTACTTAAAAACACGGCAATGCCTGAGTTGAAGATACCTAGTGACAGCCTTTCCACGCTGGATAAAATGATAGAAAACAAGGACAGTTAAGAAAAAAGACAGCTTGTGCAGTCAGCTGGCTTGTCAAGTCATGATTTTGTGTCCAAACTCCTCACAAAAAACACAATCTTTTCAAATTCGCATACATGTTTTAGCAGAAACGTCTAGCTTCTCCAATGGTAGTTGCAAACGAATAAACAAGGTGTACCAGGCCTGGGCCAAACGTCGAACTTTTCATGAGACGAACCAAACTCTAATTTGGGTCGACCTAAATTAAGTTAAGATCGTCTGTTGGGTCAAACGTCAAACTTAGGACGCGTCGAACCAATCAACTGAATCAGACCAAAAAGTAATTTTAGCCAAACGAGGCTAAATATACATTATCATACAAACTTTCAATTTACTAGTTTAGTTGGTCGCATGTAAAGATGGACGTTTTTCCCGGAGACGCTCTTCAGACGAAGAAAAAGACGGCTTGTGCAGTCACCTTGACCTGCAAATTCAGCTGGTATGTCAAGTCATGAATTTGTGTCAGAACCTCTCAGAAAAAAAACCACAATGTTTTCAAATTCATGTACAGGTTTCAGTAGGAACGTCTACTTTCTTAAGTGTTTATTAGAAAGGAATAAATAAGGTGTGTTATGTATAGTGAATAGGCGGAATAATTATAAAGAAGACAATAAGAAGAATGTAAAAAGTGTACGTGGTAAAATTAACCTTTTCCCGCGTCTTTCCCGCCGGGAGTTCGCTAAAGTCTTCATGCGTTATCAGTAATGTGCACAGCGCGTTGCTGATTTTTTAAAAAAAACGCCCTAACGCAAATTGTAAGAAAAACCAGCTGCAGTTTGTAAATATGCACTTTTTGATTTTGGGGTTATTAGTTTAAAATAAAATTAGATTGGTTTGGAAATTCAAAGTTGGCAATCCATATACTAGGTGTAATATAATATCAAAATAAAAAGCTTATCCTAGCTGAAGGAAAAAAGAAAACCAAATGAACAATAAACAATAGTTATGCAGAAAAGCCCAAATGTTCGCTTCATAATCAATATGGAAGAGGCAAGATACGAGATAATAATCGTTGATGTTACACCAGATCCTGTTCGCGACAACGGATTCCAGTTTAGTAACGGTTGATTTGACATTTTGAAGGTAGTGCGGTTTTTTTTTCCGCTGTTGAGGCGAGGAAAGGAATAAATATTTTAAATAAATAACTAATATCCCCAGGAAACTAAGAGAAAGTAATGGAGCATTTCAAATCCACAAAGTCAACCGAGTGTTGATTACTTATTTCTAAAAAGATACCATATAAATTATTTACTATCACAGGATATTTGTGATAGGTTTTTAGAAAACAACTAAGATAGTACACGCGTTCCGATTGTCCGACAGGAGTGTTTGTATGAGAGTATGTAAACATGGTGGTGGTGTTAACATGTTTTGCTTTTCGAGCGCTCATCACGCGAGCACGAATTTGAAAAAGTTTTTGAGTTCAAAACTTGACAAGATCACTTTATTTACCCATTCCTTCGTCGGCTGCAACTTGGAAAATCTTTACAAACAAGCTGTGTAAATATTTTTTTTTCGCTTAAGTTGACATTTTAAGCGAGAAAAATCCGTATTTTGGAAAGCATCTTTTGGCAAAACAAGAACTGGTTACGCGTGCAAGACTACGTGTACAGGACTTTGCGACTGGTTAGACTTTCTCTTTTAATCAGTGCCATAACGAAGAGTTTTGCGTTATTTCTCGTGAAAGTTATTTTATAAAAGCAATAGAAAACTTTTTTCCTATGTTTGTATAGCCGGATATAAACACTCGAGGGGTTGGGAGAATTCTAGACAGTTATGGAAACCCTCGACCTGTCTCAAATTCTCCTAACTCCTCTCGTGTTTACATCAGGCTATGCAAACACGGAAAACGTTTCCTATTGCTTTAATAAAAACGAGAAACACCTGTTACTGAAATGCAAACTGCAAAAAGATGACGGCAAGCCATTTCACCGCCGACGGAGAACAAGAAAAATACGAGGAAATATTTTGCTCGATACAATTTACCAGAAGAATACATAACCAGTTGATCTTTCTATTAGTGCTGAACACAATTCTGTCTGTAACCGCGTTTCTCGGCAATACTCTGATCCTACTAGCCCTCAAGAAAGTAACATCTCTACACCCACCGTCCAAACTCTTGTATCGTAACCTAGCCGCAACTGATCTCTGTGTTGGTTTAGTTGTGGAACCTCTGAGTGTTACCTCCTTGATCGCTGCTGTAACTGGACGATGGAACATTTGTCGGCATGCATTTGTTGCAAATTATGTCACAGGTTATATATTGTTTGGGGTGACTTTGTCAACTATAACGGCGATCAGCTTGGACAGACTTCTAGCGCTTTTGTTGAGGCTTCGATACAGACACCACGTAACCTTGAAGCGGACATGTCTAGCTGTAACTGCTCTATGGATTGTGCCTGTTGTCTGTACAACAATGCACTTTTGGAATCACCAGATAACCGCATGGTACAGTTGTATACTTATATCATTTTCCCTGGCCTTGTCAACTGCTTTTTTCGCAAAAATTTTTCACGCTCTGCGTCATCACCAAATTCACCCGCAGAACCTAATTCACCAAGGACAGTCTAGCGAAGCAAATCTACTGCACATGTCGCGCTACAGAAAGGCAGTATCGAGTGCACTGTGGGTGCAGTTGGCATTAGTTATTTGCTATCTGCCGATAACCATAGTGGAGGCTTTGACAATTCAAGGATTGTCCCCATCTGTTGTCATTGCTAAGGAGTTTGCAGGGACTCTATTCTACCTAAACTCGACATTAAACCCGATATTATACTGCTGGAAGATGAATGAAGTTAGACAAGCGGTGAAAGAAATAATTGGAGAACTTGGGTGTTTATTCTGTCTGCATTGTTTAGATCGTTAGTTTCTGTCAGCGCGTACAGAGGAAGAGAGCTTGAGCCTCCAGGATGGCGAAATCAACGAGAAGGACAAAAAGGGATGGGCTTTGGTTTGGTTTCTGCGTAATCGCCCTAAAAGCCAGGTCCTTGATCGGACGATAAAGACGATGCCATGCATGTCGATTCGCACAATAGAGAACCTTAAGGCGATATATACATTGGCTGGTGCCGATGTAATCGTCCGAGGCTAAACACTAGTTTTAGAATGGCAGTGCAATTCGCACCAATACAATTAGACTTAATAGAACAAATTGCAAGGTAGTTATAAGGTAATGCTACAACGAATTCCAAAATAGGGATTATTACCGCGAAAAATATTTCGGGCTTAAATTTAGCGGTAATGTCCGTGTAAGATTCAAGACGCTCAATAAATGTAACGTGTTATCGCTTAGCCTGCATAACAGGTGTTGTTTTTTCCCCGCGTCGCGCGTGTCTGGCGATCCTCCCTCGCTTTGCGCTTGTCTTCGCTCGACTGAAAAACGCGAAAAAATAACTTTAATTTTTGTAGTCTGATCAAGTACAAGGTTCTGTTTTGTTTGTTGTGAATTTTTTCCTCTACTGATGGAAGACTGTACACTGAGTTGACACACACATGACGACCCTCGTCAACATGCTGGTGTCCGTCTCGGGTTACCGGTCCTTTCAATACAAGTTGATTCGTTTGAGGTCTAAATAGCTCCACGTCCTTGGCTTAAAGAACGAAGGTATTAACTATAATGTTTTTCTTGTTCACTCGCAAAGTATACTTGAAGTGAACAAAATGTTTGTGCAATTTCACTGCTTGAGTTTGTATCGAAACGACCGGTTTCCCCGTCTCGCACAAAAAGCTCCTGGAGACTTGGCGAAGTGTTTATTTCGAACAAGTTACGCATTTGAAATGCGACAAGTGTACAAGTATGCTGTGAAATAAATCTACATCGAGAATTTTGTCAGAGATGAAATTAAGAATCTGACTTGCTTGTAGTCCTTCTCCCAGAACTTTAAAGAACGCAAAAGAATGTAAAAAGCGTACGTGATAAAATTAACATTTTCCGCTTCTTTCCCGCCAGGAGTTTGCTGAAATTTTCATACGCTATCAGTAATGTGCACAGCGCCGTTGCTGAATTTTGAAAAAACGCCCTCAGGCAAATTGCAATTAAAAAAGCAGCTGCAGTTTGTAAATATGCTCTTTTTGATTTTAGGGTTATTAGTTTAAAATACAATTAAATTGATTTGGCAACCCAGAGTTTGAAATCCACACAAGTAATATAACATCAAAACAAAAACTTTATCCCAGCGGAAAGGAAAAATAAAACAAAATTAAAAATTAGCAATAGTTTTGCAGAAAAGCCCTAACATTGGCTCCATAATCAATATGGCAGATGCAGCTGGGCACGAGATAATAATCGTTGACGTTAGGCTGAGTGCGTACAAACGGACGCAATAACTCCCAACATTGCTGCGCCAACAATGCTAACCCGAAACCTGAGGTAAACAACTTTTCAAGCAGAGCAGAAAAACTTGGGCAGTATGGGAAATAATGTTTCACGTCTTCAATAGATGCATCGCAAAGAACACAGGCAGATGAAGGACAGCAATTTTCTAAAAAAGGTGATAATTTAAGGCACCAAAATTAAGTCTCAAACGAGTGTGAAAAATTGACGCTGAATGATCCCCGATATAAAACAGATAGCTGCGGGATTGAAAATGCAGGAATTTTAAAATGTTGCGCTTGAACCTGAAGGAGACCGGAAGACCGTTCCACTCTTGAATCGATGAAAAGAGAAAGATTTTTTTGTGCCTCTCAGTACGAACGAAGGGGAAGCAGAGATTATTGGCAGAACGAAGACTATAACCAGATCTTTCAGAAACGAAATTAGGACATTAATCATAACTATAACAAAATTGTCAAATCTGATTGGCTCTCAACTGCCCTGATTTCAGCCTTAATTGGACAGTTTAATAGGACAGTACGCGTCATGCCTAAGTAATTGGACAGTACGCGCCATCACGCGCGCGCTTAAATGGCTTTTTTTTTCACTGCTAGCAAAACAGGATTTCGAATTTCTTGTGTTTTGGTTTAAAAAATAGCCTATTGTATCACAAATTTTGTTAAAGTTATGATTAATTGGTAACAGAACTTCGTGTCGCCCAATTCAGTCTGTAATCATACTCGTGATTAAACAAATCGGACTCCCGCTACGCGGTCGTCCGATTTTGTTAATCACTCGTATGATTACAGACCGAATTGGACTCCACTCAGTCCTGTTACCATTACTAATCATAACTATAACAAAATTCCCAAATCTGATTGGCTATCAACTGCCCTGATATCAGCCTTAATAGGACAGTTAAATAGAACAGTACGCGTCATGCCTAAGTAATTGGACTGTACACGCCATCACGCGCGCTTAAATGGCCTTTTTTCACTGCTGGCAAAAAAAATGTCCTGGAATTTTTAGTGTTTTGATTTAAAAAAAGACCTTATATATCACAAATTGTGTTAAAGTTATGATTAATTGGTAACAGAACTTCGTGTCGTCCAATTCGGTCTGTAATCATACTAGTGTCTAAACAAATCGTACGACAGAGTTGGACTCCACTCAGTCCTGTTACCATTACAAATCGCATAAATAAGGAGGGGCTAACTTATATACCATTTTGTACATCAAACTAAGTTGATGAATTTTTCTTCTAACACCAAGTTCAACACAAGAAAGTTCATTTAATAGAGATACCCTGTTTGTACCTTTTAAAGCACCGGTTACAACCCTTGCGCCCTCTATTTGTAAGCTTTGTATAACAAATTACTATCAGATTCAGAACATCCATCCCAAACATAATCAGCATATTCTAAGGATGAACGCACCAAGGATTTGAATAAAACTTCAAGTGTATAACGGCTCAAATTGTCTTTCAATGGCTTTAGGAGGTTTAACTTTTCGGAAGCTTTTTGATGAATTTTTAATATATGGGCTCGCCAAGATAAGTTAGAAGACAAGGTCAAACCAGGATGTTCATGAACTGTCACATCCTCAATAATACTATTGTTCAAAATCAAAGGGGGCTGCAAAGGCTTACCTCTTTTTGCCGAAAAAACAACTGATTTAGTCTTTGATTCATTCATAGTCACCAACCACCGTTTAGCCCAATCAGATATTGATGTCAAGCCATGATCAAGTCATGATGTTTGTTATAGCTTTATAAATATGAGAAACACCTGTCACTGAAATGCAAACTGCAGAAAGATGACGGCGAGCCATTTCACCGCCGATGGAAAACAAGAAAAATATGAGGAAATATTTTGCTCGTTAGAATTAACCAGAGGAATGCATAGCCAGTTCATCTTTCTATTAGTGCTAAACACAATTCTGTCGGTCACCGCGTTTCTCGGCAATACTCTGATCTTACTAGCCCTCAAGAAAGAAACATCTCTTCATCCACCATCTAAACTCTTGTATCGTAACCTAGTCGCAACTGATCTCTGCGTTGGTGTCATTGTGGAACCTTTGAGTGTTATTTCCTTGATTGCTGCTATAACTGGACGATGGAACATTTGTCGGCATGCATTTCTGGCAAATTATATCACAGGTTATATATTGTTTGGGGTGACTTTGTCAACTATAACGGCGATCAGCTTGGACAGACTTCTAGCGCTTTTGTTGGGGCTTCGATACAGACACTTTGTAACCTTGAAGCGGACATATCTAGCTGTAACTGCTCTATGGATTGTGCCTGTTGTCTGTACAACAATGCACTTTTGGAATCACCAGATAACCGCATGGTACAGTTCTATACTTATATCATTTTCCCTGGCCTTGTCAACTGCTTTTTTCGCAAAAATTTTTCACGCTCTGCGTCATCACCAAATTCACCCGCAGAACCTAATTCACCAAGGACAGTCTAGCGAAGCAAATCTACTGCACATGTCGCGCTACAGAAAGGCAGTATCGAGTGCACTGTGGGTGCAGTTGGCATTAGTTATTTGCTATCTGCCGATAACCATAGTGGAAGCTTTGACAATTCAAGGATTGTCCCCATCTGTTGTCATTGCTAAGGAGTTTGCAGGGACTCTATTCTACCTAAACTCGACATTAAACCCGATATTATACTGCTGGAAGATGAATGAAGTTAGACAAGCGGTGAAAGAAATAATTGGAGAACTTGGGTGTTTATTCTGTCTGCATTGTTTAGATCGTTAGTTTCTGTCAGCGCGTACAGAGGAAGAGAGCTTCAGCCTCCAGGATGGCGAAATCAACGAGAAGGACAAAAAGGGATGGGCTTTGGTTTGGTTTCTGCGTAATCGCCCTAAAAGCCAGGTCCTTGATCGGACGATAAAGACGATGCCATGCATGTCGATTCGCACAATAAAGAACCTTAAGGCGATATATACATTGGCTGGTGCCGATGTAATCGTCCGAGGCTAAACACTAGTTTTAGAATCGCAGTGCAATTCGCACCTATACGTTTAGACTTAATAGAACAAATTGCAAGGTAGTTATAAGGTAATGCTACAACGAATTCCAAAATAGGGATTATTACCGCGAAAAATATTTCGGGCTTAAATTTAGCGGTAATGTCCGTGTCAGATTCAAGACGCTCAATAAATGTGACGTGTTATCGCTTAGCCTGCGTAACAGGTGATATTTTTTCCCCGCGTCGCGCGTGTCTGGCGATCCTCCCTCGCTTTGCGCTTGTCTTCGCTCGACTGAAAAACGCGAAAAAATAAGGTAAATTTTTGTAGTCTGATCAAGTACAAGGTTCTGTTTTGTTTGTTTTGAATTTTTTCCTATACTGATGGAAGACTGTACACTGAGTTGACACACACATGACGACCCTCGTCAATATGCTGGTGTCCTTCTCGGGTTCCCGGGGGGGGGGACTCCCATATGAAACAGACGGGGATGCTCGTCGGAAATTTTGAATTTAACCCCTAAAGGAGACCATCTGGGCGTGACTCAAGCTTTTAGTGACCCCTAACGGAGACCAATCTGGGCGTGGCTTAAGCAAATTTTGACCCCTAAAAGAGACCACTTAAAAACACACAAATACGACATGCAATGAGTTTTAATGATATAAAGACATAATCATCGAATGCTTTTATCGCAAAGTAGTTTTTAAAAGCATCGTCATAAATCTCAAGTTCTTCCCGGAACCCTAAACGAGACCTTGGAGGCTTAAAATATTGGCGCTTTGCCCGGAACACCCTAAGCGAGACCGAAATCCAAAATTTACACCCCTAAGCGAGACGACGAGCATCCCCGTCTGTTTCAAATGGGAGTCCCCCCCCCGGGCTCGGGTTACCGGTCCTTTCAATACAAGTTGATTCGTTTGAGGTCTAAATAGCTCCACGTCCTTGGCTTAAAGAACGAAGGTATTAACTATGATGTTTTTCTTGTTCACTCGGAAACTATACTTGAAGTGAACAAAATGTTTGTGCCATTTCACTGCTTGAGTTTGTATCGAAACGACCGGTTTCCCCGTCTCGCACAAAACGCTCCTGGAGACTTGGCGAAGTGTTTATTTCGAACAAGTTACGCATTTGAAATGCGACAAGTATACAAGTATGCTGTGAAATAAATCTACATGGAGAATTTTGTTAGAGATGAAATTAAGAATCTGACTTGCTTGTAGTCCTTCTCCCAGAACTATAAAGAACGTAAAAGAGTGTAAAAAGCGTACGTGATAAAATTAACATTTTCCGCTTCTTTCCCGCCAGGAGTTTGCTGAAATTTTCATGCGCTATCAGTAATGTGCACAGCGCCGTTGCTGAATTTTGAAAAAACGCCCTCACGCAAATTGCAATTAAAAAAGCAGCTGCAGTTTGTAAATATGCTCTTTTTGATTTTAGGGTTATTAGTTTAAAATACAATTAAATTGATTTGGCAACCCAGAGTTTGAAATCCACATAAGTAATATAACATCAAAACAAAAAGTTTATCCCAGCTGAAAGGAAAAATAAAACAAAATTAAAAATTAGCAATAGTTTTGCAGGAAAGCCCTAACATTGGCTCCATAATCAATATGGCAGATGCAGCTGAGCACGAGATAATAATCGTTGACGTTAGGCTGCGTACAAACTGACGCAATAACTCCCAACGTTGCTGCGCCAACAATGCTAACCCGAAACCTGAGGTAAACAACTTTTCACGCAGAGCAGAAAAACTTGGGCAGTATAGCAAATAATGTTTCACGTCTTCAATAGATGCATCGCAAAGAACACAGGCAGATGAAGGACAGCAATTTTCTGAAAAAGGTGATAATTTAAGGGACTAAAATTAAGTCTCAAACGAGTGTGAAAAATTGACGCTGAATGATCCCCGATATAAAACAGATAGCTGCGGGATTGAAAATGCAGGAATTTTAAAAGGTTGCGCTTAAACCTGAAGGAGACCGGAAGACCGTTCCACTCTTGAATCGATGAAAAGAGAAAGATTTTTTTGTGCCTCTCAGTACGAACGAAGGGGAAGCAGAGATTATTGGCAGAACGGAGACTATAACCAGATCTTTCAGAAACGAAATTAGGAAATTAATCATAACTATAACAAAATTCTCAAATCTGATTGGCTATCAACTGCCCTGATTTCAGCCTTAATAGGACAGTTAAATAGAACAGTACGCGTCATGCCTAAGTAATTGGACTGTACACGCCATCACGCGCGCTCTTAAATGGCCTTTTTTCACTGCTAGCAAAAAAAAAAAGGTCTTGGAATTTTTAGTGTTTTGATTTAAAAAAAGAGCCTTATATATCACAAATTTTGTTAAAGTTAAGATTAATTGGTAACAGAACTTCGTGTCGTCCAATTCGGTCTGTAATCATACTAGTGACTAAACAAATCGGACGACCGAGTTGGACTCCACTCAGTCCTGTTACCATTACAAATCGCATAAATAAGGAGGGGCAAACTTATGTACCATTTTGTACATCAAACCAAGTTGATGAATTTTTCTTCTAACACTAAGTTCAACACAAGAAAGTTCATTTAATAGAGACACCCTGTTTGTACCTTTTAAAGCACCGGTTACAACCCTTGCGCCCTCTATTTGTAAGCTTTGTAACAAATTACTATCAGATTCAGAACATCCATCCCAAACCACATCAGCATATTCTAAGGATGAACGCACCAAGGATTTGAATAAAACTTCAAGTGTATAACGGCTCAAATTGTCTTTCAATGGCTTTAGGAGGTTTAACTTTTCGGAAGCTTTTTGATGAATTTTTAATATATGGGCTCGCCAAGATAAGTTAGAAGACAAGGTCAAACCAGGATGTTCATGAACTGTCACATCCTCAATAATACTATTGTTCAAAATCAAAGGGGGCTGCAAAGGCTTATCTCTTTTTGCCGAAAAAACAACTGATTTAGTCTTTGATTCATTCATAGTCACCAACCACCGTTTAGCCCAATCAGATATTGATGTCAAGCCATGATCAAGTCATGATGTTTGTTATAGCTTTATAAATATGAGAAACACCTGTCACTGAAATGCAAACTGCAGAAAGATGACGGCGAGCCATTTCACCGCCGATGGAAAACAAGAAAAATATGAGGAAATATTTTGCTCGTTAGAATTAACCAGAGGAATGCATAGCCAGTTCATCTTTCTATTAGTGCTAAACACAATTCTGTCGGTCACCGCGTTTCTCGGCAATACTCTGATCTTACTAGCCCTCAAGAAAGAAACATCTCTTCATCCACCATCTAAACTCTTGTATCGTAACCTAGTCGCAACTGATCTCTGCGTTGGTGTTATTGTGGAACCTTTGAGTGTTATTTCCTTGATTGCTGCTATAACTGGACGATGGAACATTTGTCGGCATGCATTTCTGGCAAATTATATCACAGGTTATATATTGTTTGGGGTGACTTTGTCAACTATAACGGCGATCAGCTTGGACAGACTTCTGGCGCTTTTGTTGGGGCTTCGATACAGACACTTTGTAACCTTGAAGCGGACATATCTAGCTGTAACTGCTCTATGGATTGTGCCTGTTGTCTGTACAACAATGCACTTTTGGAATCACCAGATAACCGCATGGTACAGTTCTATACTTATATCATTTTCCCTGGCCTTGTCAACTGCCTTTTTCGCAAAAATTTTTCACGCTCTGCGTCATCACCAAATTCACTGGCAGAACCAAATACACCAAGGACAGTCCAGCGAAGCAAATCTACTGAACATGGCGCGCTACAGAAAGGCAGTATCGAGTGCACTGTGGGTGCAGTTTGCACTAGTTATTTGCTATCTGCCGATAAGCATAGTGGAAGCTTTGACTATTCAAGGATTGTCCCCATCTGTTGTCATTGCTAAGGAGTTTGCAGGGACTCTATTCTACCTAAATTCAACATTTAACCCGATATTATACTGCTGGAAGATGAATGAAGTTAGACAAGCGGTCAAAGGAATAATTGGAGAACTTGGGTGTTTATTCTGTCTGCGTTGTTTAGTTTGTTAGTTGCTGTCAGCGCGTACAGAAGACGAGAGCTTGAGCCTCCAGGACGGCGACGTTAACGAGAAAGACAAAAAGGGATGGGCTTTAGTTTGGTTTCTGGATAATCGCCCTAAAAGCAAGGTCCTTGTTCAGGCGGCAGAGACGATGCCATGCGTGCCGATTTGCAAAATAAAGACGACCGCAATCGCCTGAATATATATTCATTGGCTGGTGGCCATGCAATCGTCCGGGGCTTAAACAGTAGTTTTATAATCGTAGCGCAATTCGCACCAATACGTTTAGACTTAACAGAACAAACTGGAAGTTAATCAGTATACGGTGATGCTACAACTAATTCCAACATAGGGATTATTTCAATTTAGCAGCCATGTCCGTGTAAGATTCAAGAACGAGCTTAAAGCTTAAAGAACGAAAATATTCACCATAATGTTTTTCTTGTTCACTCGCAAACTATACTTGAAGTGAACAAAATGTTTGTGCCATTTCACTTCTTGAGTTTGTATCGAAACGACCGGTTTCCCCGTCTCGCACAAAAAGTTCCTGGAGACTTGGCGAAGTGTTTTTTTCGAACAAGTTACGCATTTGAAATGCGACAAGTATACAAGTATGCTGCGAAATAAATCTACATCGAGAATTTTGTTACAGATGAAATGAAGAATCTGACTTACTTGTAGTCCTTCTCCCAGAACTTTACAGGTCGAACGTATGAAGTAATGAATATGGCGCTTCCTAGGAAAGGATTCAATGGTGCAGACACGATTGAAGACACTAAAGCTTGAAAAAACAGCATGGCGGAGTCTGAAGTCAAGTAGTCAAGGAAACAGGCACATTCAGATTAACTTTAACCAATCACGACAGACCTAGGCAATCGAATGAACCAATCAGAACAAATGCCGAAAGCGCCCAGCCAGCAAAAAGCGCGGGAAACACGAGCTGGCAATCACGAGAGCTTTGAAATTCAAAACTTATTTGGCCAATCAACAACCTAGATAATCCAATAAGCCAAAACGAGAGCTTACGGCCGCCACCAGGCGCGCGAAAAAGACGAGTAAGCAATTCAAGAGTGCTTTGAATTTAAGAATAACTTTGGCCAAAAATGATCAGAACAGACTTTGACAATCCAATGCGCCAATTATAACTCAAAGCGGAAGTATACAACCGCTTGAATAGCTTAAACAGCTTGAGCCCAGAGGGTTGAGTGTAGCTCTGAATAAAAGCTGTTGGTGCTGGTGAATGACGTTTGAGGCACTCGTACCAAACGTCAGTGTGTCGTTCAAGTGAAGCAAATTAATCGCAGGGCTGGCTCTAAAGGAAAAAGCCACCAATAGGCCAATATTTCAACGGGTACCGATGGTCTTCAGGACCAGCGCCAAACCGAAGGATACAACACCTATTAAACTTTAACGTAAACATAAATAGTTAATAGAGAGGTTACGCATCACGTTTACGTCAAACGTCAAACCTGTACCAGGTGACCAAGTTTCCTCTTTACTTGTCTTTTACTGTTCATTATTTCTGCACATAAATTAGTAGTTTCACGCAATTTTTTATACATAAGAATTGTCTTGAGCTGTTTTCATCTGCTCATTTTCTATTGAGAAATTCTCAACTTGAATCTGACGTTTGCCGTTTGCCGCATACGTGATGCTTAAACTCTCTAATGGTCCACCAGTGCACATGACAAAAATGTTCCTTAGTTTAAACCCTTCATATTTATCTTAAAGGATACGAGGAACACTAAAAGGCTGTGCGAACGCGTGGAATGCAGAGCCCCACGTGATCTGCCAAGGCGCTATATACGTCACCACGAAACGAACCTTTAGGATAAGCTCATATAACTGCAATAGAAACAAAATACTAAATATCAGCCATGTGGAGGTCGCGCGTGGGACGGACGCCCGGAGTGTTGTGCGAACTGCGGTGATATTGTTGCAAATAGTTATGGTGAGTCCTGGGACTCATGTTGTGAAAAATTATGAGTCCCAGTCCATAACCAATGAGTCACTGTTCGAAAAAAAAGGAGTCACGCTTGGGCCTTTATGTAACTAGACAGTTAATCTGGAGACAGACGCCAAAACTCTTTACTACAGTTCACTGAATTTAAAATATAGTCCTTTCATAAATCTAAAGCACAAAAAAGAGTAAGATAAATTTGTATCTTTAAACAACAGCCCCAGAAAGCAAACGAACAGGATATTCTACCAAAAAATCTTCAAACCGATCGATCGTTCTTTGCGTCCTACGGAACGCATGCCATGAATTATTTTGTGTCTTTGGGGATTTTATGCGTCTGGGACGCAGGACACAGAGGTAGCAAAATCACTGGAACTGCACTATGGAACCACACCACGGTGAGGCAAAATGACTTTAGCATTATGTTTATGACGGTTTGTATTCAGTGGGATTCTATTTACCATGAGGGGAAAACAGGAGCAAATGGGTCTAAAATATATAGCGCCGAGGTGAATATTTCTTTAGACCTCCCTCTCCGTCCTCGGAAACGCTTCGCGCTAGAGCAAAGTTTTGTTGCAAAATGGCGACAACAAGTGTGCAGTATCAGTTTTCAAACACTTAAACCAATTCCTGTCAACTTACATCAGCAGGGTAGAGGTAATGTTTTAAACTTTAAACAGTTAAAATTACATCCTTAAGCTTTGAAAGGGGGCGAGGGGTATCCGGTAATCCGGCCGGAAACTGAACCGGGGCCTAAAGCTCTGAAGTCTCAGAGTCAACCAGTTTAGCTAGCCAAAGTGATAGGCAATTTAGAACGACTAAGAGATTTGACTAAAAGTGTTTTCGCGTTTTCTCCAAAATAGACAACTCGGAGAGCTTCATTGAACTTTTGAATCACCAGAAAAGTTAGCCCTGTTATCTTTATCGGAGGAGATTAAGCCCTCTCCCATCGCAAAATTATAAAACTATTACTATTTGTTAACCTGTTCCGCCACTACGATATTCTCGCTAAAACTCGTAGCAGAATGACGACGGGTATAACGATTTCCCGCCAAAATGACGTGGGTTCACGCGAGGGCGCACTACTTAGTATTGAGAAAATCCAGTACTCGTAGGCGTCCTCGTTTAAGAATCTAACTATCGACTGTTAACTCAAATGACAAGCGTAAAATGACTGTGGTACTAAGGCGACCAGTCTTTGCTTCCCACTCACCTTGCTGATAAATATGGACATAAAGAAATAGTCCACAACAAAAGTCTCGGACGAGTGACTGTAGTCAAAGTGAAAGAAGAGCACTGTCCATAGAAGCACTATATGCTGACGAGAGGGATCTGAGAACGATGAACGAAGCAGCTTCAACCCCATGATACAGATGACTGCTGGGCCACCACTGAAACGTAACAACAGATCATTTTTAGGCTGAAAAAAAATCGAAATATATCCTGTACACGCTTTGCTATGTAGCTTGGAAATGTGAATAAATTGTGTTGCATTACATAGCATTGCACTGTATTGCATTGCATTGTATTGTGTACAACATAAAGAACAACAGCCAAAACAGATATAAAAATTCTCAACCTAGAGACCAGTGTTTCGATTTCCCACACTAGTAGACAACACCCAACAGAGAAAAAGCTGACACAATATTTCACTTACTAAGGGCCAAAGTTCTCGACAATTTTGCTGGCATTTGATGTAAGAGCACTCAAGAACACAGCAGGATATATTATGTTCCTTTCGACAAAGTTCATCCAAACATGTACCCACTCATGAACCATTATCTTTGCTGCCGCTGGAAAGAAAAACAAAATGATTGGCTCGATGTGTAAGCTGATAATCAGTTAAATAGTGGAATGTAAGTCCTCTCAATTTCTAGCCTCGTCCCAGGTCAATTTGCGCTATACCCTCGATGTTGTAGGTTCTTCGCAAACACGTTGCATGCGTTTAAGTTGCACAGTGTAAACATTTGACAGAGCTATCTCCCTCCTAATCTCAACATTCAATTATTTGCAGATTCTGTGACTGGAAGTCTGATCTGTATTATATATCTGGAAGTTAACGGTTGAGATAAAGGCTCTGGGCGATTTGTGAGGCTCGAAATATGGCGAACAAACAGTGGAACAACACGCATCGAAGTTATTGTTCCTAATCTAAAATGGCATTGGGTAGCCTGGTTTACAGTCATCGTGCATCAACTGTCAAGCGAACCATCAATGCTGTCGTGCTCGGTTCCAAGCCCCGTCCGCTTACTTAGTCGAGGGGTCGCATCGGGATTGAGTCTGGATCTTTCATCGTCATACGGCACAAAAGAATGGTCATGTGCTCTAAGATCACGTGACAAACGCACGCACGTCCGACGAGGACGTCAGAAGAATATCGAAGAGTTCGGTCCCAAGAAATTTTGGCCAAGTCTACTATTTTCTACTTTGAGTTTCCAGTGCAGTTATTAAGCTTTATAGTAAACTGGTGACTTTTTTTGTGCTACAAGCACTACCATTTTGCTAATTTACTGGTACCAACCTTTAACGTCATATTGGTTATACTCTCGGCTGCGTAAGAAGGGTCTGGCAAAACACAACCAGGGTAAAGGCTTATGGAGCTGCGGCCACAGATAATGATTAAGGATTCCCAGAAAGCCAGCCACAGCATACAGGACATAACTCACATAAGGCTACAGAGAAATAAAACAGAGCATGCGTTGAATCTCTTAAGGGTCTAGCTACTAAGTGGGGAGCAGGGGTGGCGCAGTGATGAGAGCACTCGCCTCCCACCAGTGCGGCCAGGGTTCAAATCCCGGCGTCGACGCCACATGTGGGTTAAGTTTGTTGTTGGTTCTTTCCTTTGCTCCGAGAGGTTTTTCTCCGGCTACTCCGGTTTTCTCCTCTCCTCAAAAACCAACATTTCCAAATTCCAATTCGACCAGGAATCAGGTAGACGAAGAACCACTTTGTGGATGTGCTACCTTCAAATCGTTATTTATATTATTTATATTATTTATTATTTATGTAACGTTACAAAGTTTCTTCTCTATCTGCACTTTCTCACCGGAAATTGCACTGTAATGAAGCCTATGACGTCGAGAACACATTCAGTGCGAGACCCCAAGAAAGGAAGGTCAGGCAGGAGGGGCGATCACACTTCATACTGTTACCTTATTACATCTCCCTCCTCCGTGGAAGCCTCTTTGTAGGGAGCTTAAGCAACGACGACGGCGATGTCAACGAGAACGGCAAAAAAGCAACAGGTTCCGATTGGCAAAACCACAACTTTGCACGTGCATCACGCTTTTTTGTACATTTCTCATCCGTCGTTTTACCACTACAACATTAAAGTGCCAAATTTCACGTTTTGTCGAGGACGGGAACTCAAGACAACAACTTCTTATTCTTTTCCTGAACTTTGATACAGTCCTTGAGAATTCAACTCCAAACGAAGTTGCCAACATTTGACGAACTAGACAAGATGGAATAAGGCGCGATAAAGTTTGAAGAAGTGCGATTTCACTTTTTAAGTGACGTTTTCGCAGCCGCCGCCATCGTTGATGCTTAAGCTCCACTATGTTGCAGGGAGGCTGGGGAGAGGGTAAAAGCGCGCGGGGGACGATGGGAAGGGAAAAGAGAAGAAGAGAGGCTCCCGCCTTTCCTCTCGTCCCATAGTCCAACGCGCGCTATTTATAATCATTTCTATTTTCACTGGAATACCCAGCGAGAGCCTCAGCATATTGTTACATTTACTTATATCCTTCTTGAAAAGCAATGTGAAAGAATGCGAAGTGGCCATGAAGAGCACTTCTTTGCTTTCCTGTTTTCTGGTAGACATATATGGCCAAGTTGAGGTGATAGCTTATTTCTAATCGATCAAAAAACGGTTTCATACCTGGAGGGCAGTGAACACTGTACTCAAATGAATAGCAAAGACAAAAATCAGAATCAATATACAGCACACCACATCATTCTGTAAACGTTTTGCCTGAAAAATTAAATTGAAAAAAGGATAGAGCGCATTTCAATATCTAAATGCAGCTTAAATTTTAAATATTAGAATCGAGACGAACAATTAACTTATAAGATGTATTAAATAGAGATCCGATGTTCAAACTCGTTCCCTTGGGGTGCTTTCCAGTTTGGCAAAATTTGCGGTTCGACCGGAAATTTTTCGGAACAAACAGACGACCTTCCGAGACATTCCACTTTTTCCGTTCCAGCCGGTTAGAACAGAAATTTGCGTAATTCCTGACACTTGTCCACTGGATAGCGATTTATCCGGAGGATAGTGCTATCCAGCATTTGAACAAGAGTTTTAAGGAAGGAATTGGTCAACAAAATGAACTTACCACAGTTGCTCTAAGTTTTTCTGGCAGAGGGTCGACGAAATCTTCGTCGTTTTCATTAACGGCCTCTTTGCCGCAGGCTTTCCTTAACACTGATCTAAACAAAAAAACAAACAAGGAAAACAAAAAGAAACAAGAGCTAAACAAAACTTTTTATTGACTTTACAGTTTCAACACACCACCAAACCCTTGCCTTAATTCTTCAATCAAGGAATGCTAAACTTGTTAACCAGTTTACTTCCAGAGTCAATGACAAACCTTGTGATTTGAGTGTGTGGATGAAATCCTAAGGTGTGAACATTTAATTCAAATGAAACCTCTTCAGCAGTACTTTCAAATGGTACTATTTATTTCGTATGTACTTCCAACTTTTGAATCTGTGGATGAAATCCTATGGTGTTACCATTCAAATGAAACCTCTTCAGCAGTACTTTCACATAGTACTATTTATTTAGTATGTAGCTCTAGCTTTTGAGTCTGTGGATGAAATCCTATGGTGTTACCATTCAAATGAAACCTCTTCAGCAGTACTGTCACATGGTACTATTTATTTAGTATGTAGCTCTAGCTTTTGAGTTTGCGGATGAAATCCTATGGTGTAACCATTCAAATGAAACCTCTTCAGGAGTACTTTCACATGGCACTATTCATTTAGTATGTAGTTCTAACTTGAGTCTGTAGATGAAATCCTATGGTGTTACCATTCAAATGAACGTTCTTCAACAGTACTTTCAAATGGTACTAATTATTTGTATGTAGTTCTAACTTTTGAGTCTGTGGATGAAATCCTATGGTGTTACCATTCAAATGAAACCTGTTCAGCAGTACTTTCACACGGTACTATTTATTTAGTATGTGGTTCTAACTTTTGAGTCTGTGGATGAAATCCTACGTTGTAGCCATTCAAATGAAACCTCTTCAGCAGTACTTTCACACGGTACTATTTATTTAGTATGTAGCTCTAGCTTTTGAGTCTGTGGATGAAATCCTATGGTGTTACCATTCAAATGAAACCTCTTCAGCAGTACTGTCACATGGTACTATTTATTTAGTATGTAGCTCTAGCTTTTGAGTTTGCGGATGAAATCCTATGGTGTAACCATTCAAATGAAACCTGTTCAGGAGTACTTTCAAATGGTACTATTTATTTAGTATGTAGCTCTAGCTTCTGAGTCTGCGGATGAAATCCTATGGTGTTACCATTCAACTGAAACCTCTTCAGCAGTACTTTCACATGGTACTATTTATTTAGTATGAAGTTCTAACTTTTGAGTCTGTGGATGAAATCCTATGGTGTTACCATTCAAATGAAACCTCTTCAGCAGTACTTTCACATGGTACTATTTATTTAGTATGTGGTTCTAACTTTTGAGTCTGTGGATGAAATCCTATGGTGTTACCATTCAAATGAAACCTCTTCAGCAGTACTTTCACATGGTACTATTTATTTAGTATGTGGTTCTAACTTTTGAGTCTGTGGATGAAATCCTATGGTGTTACCATTCAAATGAAACCTCTTCAGCAGTACTTTCACATGGTACTATTTGTTAAATAACATTTTACAAAATGAGATTTGGAAATTTTTGGTTGGACTTTGACCGACTTTGATCACATGTGCGGAAAGAAAGGGTTAACGACAAAGGCTATAATTCACCCATACCATGTTCTTACCTTAAAACAGTTGGATCACTGGCGCTACGACTGAGATGATAAGAGATGGCTACAAGCAGACCACTGAACACTGAAAACAGTACATGCTGACCTCCTTCGGCGCCATTCTACAACGTAAAACAAACTTGATATGACCTGATACTAAGGCAATACTAACAGTACTACTGAGCAAACTCTCTTGAAAGCTGAAACCACGGCACGATAAATACCACTTTAATACTGAAAAAAAAAATTTTTTTCCTAATGAGACAATAAAGCCAAAAAGAAAATTTCATTGTAAAAAACAAAAAAAAAAAACTTTTGCGCGCCACCATATTGAACATTCCTGACTGTTTTCGCTATTTATAAATGTTATTCTGAGAGAAAAAAAGGCAACAACCTTACGACGTCAGTGAAATTGAAAATCGATATTCTAACCAGATTTCCTTCCAAAATGCAAAAGCCAAAAACGGATTATGCATGCCAAATCGACAAGGATCCAAACAAAGGACACCCCCCCCCCCCCATTTTTCTGGCTTGTTTAAAAACAATCCCACCTATTTCCGAAAACGTAACATCAATTTGTGATTAGAGCGGAGGTTATTTATCTTATTTCGTTCCTTCATGTATTTCTCTGTAAACTCTTCAAAAGACACACCCTACCACGGTACACAGATGGTTCTAAGACTGTTGCTCGTAAAGAGACTTGTATTGCAATGAAAACGATGATGTAGCAAGCAATTAACATGGGGTTGATCTTATTTCATGTATTGCACAGGGAAACAAATTACTTTTGTTAGAATGATTCAGTCTATTCGCTACTTTTAGAACATTTATTCCTTAAAGATTCGTTGTGCTACTCTTCACGTAGCTAGAAGAAAAACAGAACAGAACAGAACTAATATGTAGGACACATGTCAAAAATTCATTGTGAAATTAGCCAATCAGAAATGTTCATTGAACAGCATAAATTAGCATGTGTGATAGGCCGCTTTCGATATATTAAAATTCAGCATGATAGCGAGTCTTAGAGGTCCCAAACAAAGAAAATGAATAAACCATGATTATTCATGTTTATTCATTTTCTTTATTTGTGTCCTCTAAGACTCGCTATCATGCTGAATTTTAAGATATCGAAAGTGGCCTATTCCAACAACTTTGGTATTGGCGCTTACCAGCATTGCTCCATAGCAGAACCCATACAGAAAGCCCACGGCTAAAATATTGCGAAAAAGGCTCCATAAAGCACCTCTCAGACTTGTTATAGCTACAAAGCAATAAAACATCGTTGAACGTATAACTGTGATAAAAAAGTTACGCTGTCAAATACATGTTTCACAAACTGTAAACATCAGTAATTGTCAATATACGTCTTCATGAGACGCAGCCGAACAAGTTTCTTTGACTGATAAACAGCAAAATAAACTTGGTCCCATGGCCAATCGTAATAACGTATTGTCAATAAATGCACCACTTCTTAATCCACGCTAAAGCCGTTCTTAACGATTACAGACTTCAACGCCACAAAGGCAGTGCCAGACCTTAAAAAGCAAAAATACATTATCCAGTCTAGATTTCATGGTAGCCATGTTTCTGTCTTCAGCTGATTCTCTTTATGTTGCACTTTTTAGGTCCAGTCACCTGTTCTACATTTTCCTGAAATAACCCCAGAGGGAGGGGGCGGGAGTTAAACAGTTAGAGTGACAAATAACCCTAGAGGGAGGGGGTGGGACTTAAACAGTTAGTGACCAATACAGATAGAGGGAGGGAGAGGGGGGTTTACTGTTAGAGTGACAAATAATTTTGCCATAACTCGGTCTCAGAATGAGAGAATAGAAGGATTTATTTCATCCACTTTGAAATCACTGGCGATCCTACCATTTCCTCCAAAAACATGCATGTCCACCTGCTCAAGAGCGTACATGAGAAATGTGTTAACTTGAGGCAACAGGCCAACAAGAAAGATCAATGGGAAACCAAGTATAAAACCTGCAACGAAACGAACAAACCTATCTTAGTTAAACTGGACTGGAGCAGTTGCTGTTTTGCCTTCTAAACCAATAGAGTTAAACACGTTGTACCGTTGTAGATTATTTCAGGGAAACAAAGTATTTCAAATCGTTTATTCAATCAATTTTTTAAGCGATAAATAAGGACTGTTGAAAACCAATTAGATTCGAGCATTTGACACCACTAGAGGTATATATTAGTCAGCATAAAGGTTTAAAGGTTTCAAGGTTTGTTTATATTGGAAAGTGCACTTAGCTTATCCAGCTAGTTTACAGGCACTCCACTCAAATACCAGTACTTAGAAACAAATAATTCAAATACAACATAACAGGATTAAAAACCACAACTGGCAGGAGGCAACCAGCAGACCATTTTCGACATATTAAAATTCATATTTGGCTCCGAGGCTTGGGGGAATAAAGCAAGATGACTTGTTTTATTCCCCCAAGCTTTGCAGCCGAGTATGAATTTTACTGATACTGTATATCGGAATTGGTCTGTTGGCTATTTACAAGCGTTGCCAAGGATTTGAACTCGAGACAATCGAAAACAAATCCAGCAAGTAACCAGAGAGGGACTCGAAACCGGGACCGCTGGATTGCGAGTCCGACACGCTGACCACTCAGCCACGCTGTCTCCTTACAAGCATCGTTCTGTTATTCGCCACTTTAGAAACTAGAAGGAAACCAGAACGAGTTAATTGTCACAAAGACTTGTGGGATCGTTCCTGAGGACGCACCAATCAGCTATTGGCCAATTTTTTTCCCTGTCCACAGTAACACTCCCAGAAGTCTTTGCAAAAGTTAACTCGACCCAGTCTCCGTCTCATTTCTAAAGCGGTGTATTGTTTATGTTTGTTTACAGCTATTTTTAAAAACCAGCACGGAACCTGCCTGTAGTTACATCGCAGATACATAAAATGCAAACTAACGCACAAACAAAGTCTCAGGTATAGTTCTCAGTGCTTGAGTATTACTTACCGAGCAGGAAATCTCTTGCATAGGAGATCGTGGAATTAGTAGCAAACGGAATGCCATACACGGTAAATGTTGATACGTCAGTCTTCTGTGCTTTATCCAAGACAAGGATACAGATAGCTAAAGCACAGAAGTATGTGGGCCGGCTAAATACAATCATGTGATTGTGACCCTGTAATAAGACAAGAACTATCTAGCGTTAATACTCTGACTGAACCATTATTTAGACGACGGAGAATTCTTAAACTAGAAAGCTCAGAAAAAATTCCCAGCTCCAGGTGAGAATCGTTTTCACGACCCGCCGAGTTCTAATTCGGACGCTCTAACCACTGAGATACTGGAGGTTCGATGGCGAGCAGGGTCGAAAATTTAATTATAGCTACGCCAGTCATATTATGTGCGGCTTGCAACTGACGTCCAGGAAGTGAAAATTGTATACAGTGCACGAGTTGGGGATTACTGATTAAGGAAACAAAGTTTGAAAATTGACAACCGGAAGTTAATCTTTTCTCTCTTCCAATGCTCTGACCGATCGATAACCTCAGGGTACTTTAAATCAAACATACGTGTAAGCTATCAAATTCTTTGTGGCAGATGGAAACGTTCCATCAAGCAAATCACACAAATTATCAGGTTTACTACTCGTAACGAACGGGAAAACAGCTCAACTCGTTATTCCTCGAAAAACCAACTTTTACAAGCCCGGGTAGCACTTCAGGTTGATTTTCATATGATGGTTACGATCGCTAAAAAAATCTAGCCATGGTAGCGATCTAAGCTATCGTTTTTCCAGGCACATCCGTCATTTTGAGTCTATACTGGCCAACTACATCGAAAGGGGTCAAAAACCACACAAGGATAATATAAGATTAACAAACAAACTTACATGAGTTGGAGAGGCAGCATCAGGCTGAACACTCTGTAAAAAAAAGCAGAGATGCATATAGTAAGTATACCAATGCAAGAAAATCAACCTTGTTTTAGAAAAGTGACGTCAAAACCATTGGCGATTTTCTACCGTTTTTCGGTCGTCTGTTGGCCGTTTGTCAAGCAACTGTTGGTCAAGTGCTGGCCTACTGTTTGCCAACACTTGGCCAAGAGTCAGCGTGACACTGGCCCTAATGAAGCGCTGCAACTCGTGTTTCAACATACAATATAATCAGATAAAATCAGGAAATAATTATCTGCTAACCTTAATGAGGGTAAACTGACATCCAGCCAGAACGAAACAGAACACAAAAATCCAGAAGTCTTTATAAAAATCGGACAGCAAAAGCCAGTACCCAAGGACTGCCACCAAAATAGCCAACAGTACTGATACGACAGCTTCTATCTTGTGTTTGTTTCTTCGAAGGAGAAAAAAAAATTAATGTTATGGTAATGCAAGATATCGCTCATTGTAGTTTGCGTACAATAGGTTAGTTTATTATCCGTTCAAAATATTTCGCCGCTTCCGATTGGCTCAAATCTTTCGGCTAATTCTTCAAAACCAGCTAACGTTGAGCAAATTTGGAAGACGATATAAAATGACGTCAATAGTGCAGGCTACAGTCAGAAAAAGCCACGGTAACCGCGAAGTCCTGGGACTAGGTTGCGTTAGTTCAATGGCCAAAAGCTTTGGTAGAGCTGGAGAAAACGGCGGAAAATTTTACACGTTTTGCGAAGAAGAAATAGCCGAACTTCTGCCTAAAAACATGGCAAAAACAGCAAAAGTACAACTTCACGGACGACAACTGCTGAGAAGCGTGACGCACGTGTAGAGTTGTTGTTTTACCAATCTAACTAGCCTCCCACGCAGACGTTCTTAGGGGTTCGTCACGCGTTCCTGCCCCACAGCCTGGCAGGAACGCGTGACGAACCCCTAAGAACGTCTGCGTGAAAGGCTACAATCTAAACCTGTTGATTTTTTGCCGTTCTTGTTGCCGTCGCCGTCGTCGTTGTTTAAGCTCCCTATGCATCAGTTATTGAGACCACCATGATTTTCAATTTTATTCTAAACACTGAAACCTACCTGTCCATAAGCGCTAACAGAGCAAGTCGATCAAATTTGATTTTCATAAACTTTCCAGGAAGAAGCTGAAATTTGAAGTAGTGTGGTCTCGGCTTTTCAGTCACAGACGTGGGGGGAGGGAATGGAATACTGACTGAGGAGATTGTCTCCTGCCATCGGGCGTGTGATGAGCTACGACGTGCAGCTGACGGATGAGACTGGAGGTATGCTGACAGACCTGTATCAACAACTACAGTCGAAGCCGAGCTGCTCGTCTCCCTAAAATCACAAATTGATCATGGCGTTAAAGATTCTGATAGCCTGCCAAGCAAGCGTTTCCATGCAGTTTTGGAGCACAGAACAAGGAACGAGAGTCAAAGAACGCGTGAAAAATGGTACGAGTAAAGAGCGGAGAGGGGGGAGCTTATTTCCTTCCTTCCCCTCCTTCTCCCCCCTCTTTCATTTTTTGACTCTCTTTCCATTTCTCGCGCGGCCAAAACCGAAAATCCCATTCCTCGGTCTTTCTTTGCTTACCCTGGGTTCCAGAGGATTTTTTTTCTTATCGATAATGAAGCCGCGTTAAAGCAAAAAAAAAAACCATCAGTGTCCATAAGAAAAAAATATCCTCTGGAACCCAGGGTATTCTTTGCTCCGAAACCAAAGGAAACGCTTGCTACGCAGGCTACGTGAAAGATAGCAGAGAGTGGCGCAGAATAGAGAGGGAAGGGTGCTCATTTGTCTTCGTCCTAATCCCAATATCTGAACACGTTAAAGAATATGATCAATCATTCTTCAAGGAATTTCTAGATATGCTAAGCCAAAACTCAGGAAAAAAAATAGGCTCTTGCACGTGAAAGGAGGCGCGAGGCAGTTCACTTCGACAGATGTTTGCAAAACTGTATCAAAACCTAAAGTTCAGGAAAAGAAAAGAAAGTCGTTGTCTTGAGCATGTGTCCACGTTCTCCAGAAAACATGAAATTAGGCAGTTTCACGTCTTACGTGCAGTGACGGCAAAGAAATCTACAAAAAAGCGTGATGCACGTGAAAAGTTGTTGTTTTACCAATCTAACTCTCTTTTTTGCTGTTCCTGTTGCCGTTCCCGTCATCGTTGCTTAAGCTCTCTCTTATTTCAACTAAACCGTCGTGCGACATGATTTTGTCTACAGACTCAAAACTTAGGAAAGGAACATTTTAAAAGCAAGGGCCTTTTCAATACATGTACATGAACCACTTCGTTTCATTACCAGTTTAGTATATCCCTAAGCCGTGTGGGTGAATAACTAGTACTCGGCAAGATAGTTCTGTCCTGAACAAACACATACGTCTGCAAAACACCTGCAAATAGAAATATTTCAGTGAGAGGTTAACCTGGGAAAACAGCCGACATTTCGCGACGCCATCACTAGTTACCCCGCGAAATGGCGTCTGAGAAACGAGCGCAGAAATTCTATACTGATGAAACGTCGCTACCCAGATCTGGCTAGTGCTTCTGATAGGTTGAAGCATATTTTCAGCCAATCAGAAGCACCACCCAGATCTAGGTAGTGACGCATCGTCAGCATGGAATTTCTGCGTTTGGTACTCAGACGTCATTTCGCGAGGAAACGAGCGATGGGATCGCGAAATGTCAGCTTTCTTCTCACGCTGGTGAGAGGTGTACTAGATTACAGACCTGCAAAACAGATTGTACTTCACCCCCCTTTAGTTGTATAAAGTGTATTACTATTCCAGACCTGGCTGCAAGCAATTTTTCTTTTTTGTCCAAGGTCACCGTTTAAGTCAGACAAAACAGAAAAGTCGTCGCACAATGTGTTTTACCATTGGGCAAACCTTCAGCCACAAAATGATAATCTTTGGTGTTTGATCTCTTCAGTCATCATGTCCAACCCCATGTAGCATTTCGTCGGACACGTCGTCTTTTACATGTATGCCTCTAGTTTGTTTTGTACTAATTGACTAGAAGTAATAAACAGTAAATGACAATTAAGGGGAAAACTTGGTCACGTGATACAAATTCACGTTCGCCGTTTGGCGTAAACGTGACTCTAAATCTCTCTATTGGCCAGTTTTTTCCCTTGTTCTTAGTAACAGTCCCAGAATACTTTGCGAAAGTTGACTCGGCCCAGTCTCCTTCTAATTTCTGAAGTGGTGAATTGCCGCTGACCAGGCTTACCATTTTCATCCAAATAACTGTGTTGGGCCCCAGGTGAAGTGTCATCGTGTGACAGGGCTAGATGAGTTGAGGGTCCATCACCTGAATGCAGCAGTTCATCAGCGTGTGCTCCTGAATCATGTCGTCTGCGCCTTCGCATTGCCCCTCCTGTTTCAGCTCTTCTCCTTCTCTGCAGACTTCTCCTTCTCCGCGCTAGTGATGATGAACGCTGCGCTAGTGCGAGGAGATCGGAGCTTTCTCGCCCTGATCCGTCAGGTTCTCCTATACTCCCTGTTTGTGCTACAGTTGATGCAGTGTCCTTGTTCATTGTGATGTTAACACTCACGCTGTCTATAGACTCTGGTTGCGAACTCGTTGAAGGGTTGTGAAAACGGCCTGAATCCTGCAGAGAAAGGGTGTCCAAGATAGAAGGAGTGTCCACTCCGACTCGAATCTGCCTTTCTTCTTCATTATCACCAGCGTCATTTGTTTCGCGCACAATGTCAGAAATTGAGCGCATCCGAGGAACAACTGATTTTTCACTCTGCGACTCATGCCGAGAAAGACTTGTCCCATCATACTCAGAGCCAGAACGGCTTCCGATGATGTCCGACATGGTCCCTAGCCTGGACCCAAATGAGATTCCTTCATTGATGTCCCCTGAGCTAGTCCCGGGATAAGGCGAGTCTGGCCTGCGGTTCTCCAGGGCTGAGACAAGAACCTGATATATGGCCCTTGTACTGTTTGATCCATTCACATTTGAGCCCTCACTTTTAGTCTGCAAGAGAAGGCCCCGTTGCGCTTCTTCATGAATCTTGTAAATGTCAGGAACAACAAGTCCAGGAACAGATCGTGACTCCATGTGGCTGTCCATTATTGGCAAGGGAAGTGTGGAGAGATCACTCAATGTGTCTAAACAATGACAGAAAGGACAAAAAATGTAAATCAGAGGAGATCATCACAGTAAAATACACAATATATGCAGTTGCAAAAAGAAAGCATGAAAAAATTCAGGCTTGCCAGGATTCAAACCCTGACCTATGCAATACAGGTGCAGCGCTCTAAGCTACTGAGTTGGCAAGCCAACTACTAGCTACAGTACTTTTCTTTGCAACTGTACATATTCAAGAATTCCTTTTTTTTCACCACTCTTAATAGAGGATCATCCAGTAAAACTAACTAAAAACTAGGTGATCCATCACAAGTGACAACATGTCAGCCTGAGAAAACAGCCAACATGTCGTGACGCAACAACCGTTTTCTTGCAAAATGATGTCTGATGAACAAGCACAGAAATTTCATACTGTGGACCAAAATGGACGAAAAAATAGTATGAATAATCGAGAAGTCTTGTTAGAAGTAAGAGGTCACCATAATAAATTAATTATTGCAGTACAATGTAACAAACACATCTGAAAAACATGAGATACATCACCTTTACTATCTGATTCCAAATCTGTACATGTCTGTTCCTGACTCGTATGGTGTTCAATTTCCCCACCCACCGCTCCCTCCAAAGTTTCATCTGAGTCCTCAGTTGGCATCTCTGTGGCTACAAAAGCAGAAGAGAAATGAAAAATTGACTGAATCTAAATGTGATTAAAAACAATAATTACTGGATGAAGTTTTAATGCTATTCAGAAGAATCAGGGTTTGAGGCACTGCTTGTTTTCCCGACATCTCTCTTGCAAAATTGATTTGCATACAAAGGAAGACATGAAGGAGGAAACCGGCACGAAATTGCTTTTCCTTGCTTCTTCTTCCTTTCTGTGGTCCCCCATGCTTTTTCACCAGTCATTTGCATTTCACATTCACCTTTGTTCCTGACCCAAGTGCAAGAAAACAAAGCCCCTGAGGAGGTAAGGGCTGAAAAAAACTGAATCTAATTACAATAGATCAAGTGTTTCACCCTTGTCTTAAGCAATTGCGGTGAACTTAAAGGAGGTACATTGTATTGAACAACTCACCATTAACTTGTTCATGGCTTGTTTCTCTAGACTCTATTTGGCCACTTGGACTATAAAGGAGAAGAAAGGAATGGCATCGACACTATTTAATTTATTTTTTCCACACTAACCAGTGCTATGGGATTTTTATACAAGAGAACCTAAGGAGGGGAGGAGTCAATACAAATATGGTGTCTACTACTAAGGATAGCCTGTGTACAGATCCCCCCTCCCCTCAGGAAAAATTGGAGAAGGGCCCGTCTGTACACAGGTTAACTAAGGATAACTCCAGGTGGGGAGTGACCAAACAGTGAGAACACTGGACTTGCAATCTGGAGGCCCCAAATTCAAATCCTGTCCTGACCATTGGCTGGATATGTTCTTGATAGACCCAAGTTCTACTCCTAAGCCACGCCTGTAAATTAATAGCCCACTGGTTTGCCTCTGGCCAGTTGGGATTCTAGTTGTTATGCTTATGTCAGTCATTTGTTTTAGTCCTTATTATTAAGCCACAAGGTACTGTAAACTAGTGATTACCAGTACCAGTAAAATATTGGGTCAGCCCTACAAAGTTCAAATTTTTAATGTTTGACTCAATCCAGACAAGACAAGGGAGTCTGGCTGTTTAGAGGGAGTAAACTGTAACCAGAAAAAAAAATAACAGTACCTTAGTCGAATACTATGTTCCAGTCTTTCAGTTTTCTCCAACTCATCAGCAAAACTGATCTGAAAAGATAAACATTGTTGCTTTGAACATAGTTTCTCTGGAGTCTGCTGTAACCCAGTGGTACAGCACCTGGACCAGTTACTAAATAGTCACAGATTTCGACTCCTGTTGGGTAAACTCACATTAAATTTATTTTCTAAGTGGCCTGTGTTACTGACTCAAAAAACGTACCCGCAATTACAGCCTTCCAAGTTGCGACCATTTTGGTGGCCATAGCACCTAAAATTTCAGAGCTGGCGACTTGACTTATAAAAAAAGTCTCCCTAAACCAAAAGAGTTGGTTGCCAAATGATGATAGAGCAAACACTTTAACTTGGAGGGTTGAATTATCAAAAAGGATGTTGTATATTTACCTTTTAATAATTATTACACAGTGCAGTTCTGAAGTTTAGACTGTGAAAAATCCTGATGTGAAATTCTCACTATGATTAACAAGTACGAAAATGTCAAATTGAAAGGAGAATGAAACTTGAACAGACCTTTTTATTTTACACACTCAGATATTTTCTGTTTGATCAGCAGCCATTACTGACCTCTTTCTCTTTTATTCTTTCACATCTTAATTCTACTTCAACTATTTCTTCATCTTCACATTCACCAAGATCTGCAACAGAACAGAAATAAATTGCTTTTGCATCCAGCAATCAACAAAATTGGTGATCCAGTGATACAATAATGCAGTGAGCTGCACATAAGGATGCAGCACGGCCGAGCTGTTAGACACTGGACTTGCAATTTGTAGGCTCCTAGTTCAAGTCCCGCCCTGACCGCCAACTGGATTTGTTCACCGTAGTCCCGAGTTCAATATTGCAGGCAACAAGAGGAGCCCACAATCCTAATCTCCAGGTTGCTATTACGCATGCGTCGCATGTATGTAGCCAGCATTCATTTGGACTTCCACTTAAAATGAATGGAATGCACAAAATGCAATTTGATCACACACGTTTGGATCTTCTATCACTTGTAATCTGATTGCGCGTGTTTTGACCATCTGTCATGTAAAACTTATGCAAAGCACAGAGCTGGAGCAAAAGTGTTTTGACCTTCATTTATTGTCGCCTGCACTCTGTAACCTTTGGTTATTACTGGTTATAATTGTTAAGTGTATCTTCTGTGCAATTTTAGGCAATAAAAAAGGGAAAGGCTGCTGAACGGATCGCCTACCTCTCAGTCAACAACTGACACATTATTTTTTACCTGCCTAGCATTTTCTTGGTTTCATGTCAGCTGAGTGTACACCAAAATTTGGTCCACCGGTCTGTCGATCAACTGTTGGGAAAGTGTCAACCAACACTGAATATTGGTCAACAGTTGCCAGACAGTTTTTTGCAATTTTATTAGGGGAGCTTCTCTCCACAATTTCCTTGTAATTGATATTATTATTATTATTATTATTATTATTATTATTACTCCAACTCATCAGCAAAACTGATCTGAAAAGATAAACAGTTATTATTATTATTATTATTACTATTATGTTTTATTTTTATTCAGCATGAACAGAAGCTCATTCAGTCCATAGAAAGCACAACAGATCATACAATGTAAATTCCAGTCTGTTAATCACATACCACAACACTCTGCTTTATCCATTCCATGTTCATCACTGGCCTGTAAGTCAAATCAATAAAAAACACAGTCAAAATTTCAACAAAGTTAGCTCTTCCTAAAACAAACATTCTGTGCTCTATTACATGTAAATTTCTAAGAGGAGAGACAGCATGATGGCAAATTAATGTTTTTTTCTTTGCAAATGCTGACTAGCTTTAATTAATAGCAGCAAAGTCTGCAAAGCTTGAAATCCTCCTGTCCAGTTATCCAGAAAAAGTAAATATTCCAGCTGGGTAGGTACCTTTTCATGCCTTTTATTATCTAAAAAATAAATATGTAGATCTCCTTATAATACAGCTGTACATGTCAGGTGTCTTGCTGTATAAACTGACTGCCAAAACACAGACATGCATGCATCTGAGAGATGGATGTGCTAGCAGTATTGTGTACGTGAATTTAACCTTGATAATTAGAAGAGATCATAACAGGCTACTGGCTTAGGTAGAATAATCAAGAAAATCAGTCAACAATTTAAAATTAAAGCTTTGCAGCATGAACTCAGAAAGACCTAATCTGCAGAGTACAATGGAAGGACTGACACAAAAGATTTGCAACATTCTGATTGAAAGCAAAAAGGAAAATAATGCAAAATTTTAGAGCACATCATGTGTAAATGTAGTTAATAACAAAGTCTTACGCTTTTGGCCAGGAGTCTTTTTGGTGGTGTGAGCCTTTGTTTATTTTGGCTCTATATGTGCTTAGTATCATAATCACTGCAATTACAGGGCTTTGTTTAGCTTTAGCTTAACCTGGCTGTGCCAAATTAGTGGATTAACCTCCTTGACAACCCCATGGCATTCAAGGGATGCAGGTAAAAACATTTTGCTAAAAGATAAGAATAATAACACTTTTCTGTCCTGTGAAAGATAATTAACCATAAAATGACGGTGCAAAACAAATTACGGGAGATTTAAAGCAAGCCATGCATCTAGATGTATTAAGATTAAAAGACTCATTATAGAAATTATATGAAGCTTTATCTGTCAGGGCTGCATGAATAATTATTAGAAACAGGTCATTAAACAGCTACAAGGATCACATGCAGGAGATAATAATCCAGAATGGCAATATTTAGAAGCTGTTATTTAAAAGATGAGATAAATTTTACAGTTATTAAGGAGTTGAACCTGGTGAAGACTTGCAGCAGTGGTAACTGATGTGGAGTTTATAGGAAGAGAAGAGGAAGAGGGAAGCAGGGTGGACAGAGCTGTAGCAGTAGATGGTTGCGTTACATTGTCCTCGCCACCTTGGTTGGCAACATCTTTGGAACAATGGTTTATCACCTCCAGTTCTATCACCTCCCCTGCTGCATCTGCGGGACCACTGCTAACCTCTATGCGCGATATCTCTTCATGTTCAGCTCCTGGTTCTTCATTTTGAGCATCCTGTTGTTCACTTTCAGTGCGGATTTCTTCACCATCAAACATCAAGTGCAGTCTGTAATTCAGACATTTTAAGACCAAAAATAGGATAGCGATGAACACAGAGTAGAAAATCCAGACTATAGCTGATGGAGCTGTCCCCTGAAAAACAATAATTTATTATTGATCAAAGTGATATTTGTAACTTAAACTAAAATATTGATGGAGGAAAACCAATAAACTGTCTTGTCTTCTTCATATTATTATTGTTATCTTGTTAATGTAACGAAATGACAAATCAGCTTAATGTTATACTTTGTTTATGATGTTGATTAATTTTACTCTCGGTTTTAATTTCATATAACTATGTTTCAAACTTATTTTCATACATAACCATACTGCCCGGCCCCCCTCCTCCCCCCCCCAAAAAAAAATGGAAAATAAAATTTACACCAATGGATTAAATTGAACCCCAACATATAAGCTTCACACCATGCACTGACTTACAGTAAAACACAGAGAACAATTGTCACACATTCCTTGGTCACACATGTATAAATTGCAGGTGAGTTAACTCACACTTGGACACGTGATGCAAACCTCAGTGTCTGAAATAACTTGTTGACACAAAAGCCACTGGCAAGCCAAGGAGTCACGTCAAAAATTGTACAATTCACAAATGCAAAGTATTCCCTAAAACTGGCTCTGAATGTTCATATTAAATGATCCCTGATATGGGACTCAACGCACACTAATATAAAGCTTAAATTACTTGGGGAAAGCGCTAGATCGAGTTTAACCGAAGAAGTAAAAAATAAACCTCTTCAACTTGAAATCTGCGGCAACATTTTTAAATTACACCAGTAACAAATAAACCATGACTTTCTCTGTGAGTCTTTACCCTGAAAAAGGCCATTTCTTTACGCTTACTCGCACGAATTCCTTAATCTAGAAAAAGGTCAATCACAGTGAATCTTACCAGATACAGGGAAAACGGCAAGCAAAGTAGGAGAATCCACAAATAGAAATGAAATGTGTTAGTAAAGATTTCCTGATGAGGATCAAAGAACCAGCCGCCGGTCAAGGACGCCCAAACTCCCTGCCGCAAGATTTCTAATGTTTGCGATCCCATTCTTCACTGACTAGTTTCCTCCCTGGCCTACATCTTCCTGCTATAAACACGAAAGTGTTCTTGACGACACACTGACTACCGCCATGTTTTTTACGTTTTGGAAGGCGAAGTTAGGTGCCCGCACAAATAATAACCAGCGGTATGATTTTTGAGGGACGCTAGATTGGAACGTAAATGACGTACACTCTAATTCCAAAATGGCTGCCTTCTTGTAAGGTTTTCTAATCTCAATTTGTCGTCCTTAATGTTTTGTCAGAAATGATCAGAGAAGACGAATTTGTGATTCTGAAAAAGGATAATGTTATGAAAGTGGTCAAAGTTCGTAAGGGCAGGTAACAATCAGTTTGTTTCCCATGATGCACATACTTAAAATCTCGTGATTTTTGGCAAAAAGTGTTTCAAAAGGGGCTGTTTTCCTGGAGGGGGAAGGATCCCGGCACCAGCAAGATCCTAGAAGGCAGTTCATCCTAACGCCATATGTTTTCTGTATTCAGTTGCATGCAAAGGGTTGTTCTTGTCCCTAGTACTTGGATCGATCCTCCTAGTACTAGGATCTTCCACGAATATCCCTTCTGAATACAGAATACATATGGCGCTGGGATGATCCGCCTTTTAGGATCTTCCTGGTGCTATACTCCCTTAAGTGATTAGATCTTCTGCAGTTAAGTCAGCCTTCTTTGAAATGATGATATAGGAAAGAAGTATTTGAAAAGTTGCACTTCATGTTGGACAATGCTATTGGCTGTCCCTTGGGATCCATCTTTGAAGTTAAAGGAGGAAAATTAAACAGATTAGAGGGAAAAGAAGATGTAGATGAGCTTCTTGTGGCTAAACCCGACAGTGGTAAGTTGAAATAATGTGATTAGCAATTTCCAGGTGAGGATATTCAGGCAAACTCCATAAGAATTATATCAAATCCAAAAGACCTCATTACTGAAATGCTGTCCATTTAGCTTAAATTGGATAAGCACTGGTCTACCCAGTGGGTGGCCACAGGTTCAAATCCAGGCCGGACCAGCATCAGAGTCTTTAAATAACTGAGCAGATTGTGCTCTCTTAATGATGGCGTCTGGAGATGGTAAAACTTTGTAGCCAAACACTAAAATCTACTCATCTCCGATGACTGGGCAAGAATTTTCTCAAGCCCTTGAAGGAGGACTCAAAATGAGAGCAGGGTTTGCATGCATCTTGAAAACCCTTGAATTTTAGAGTCCTTTTCAAGACCTTGAAAGTTCTTGAAACTCTCCTTCATTCATTTTGGTCCTTGAAAGTCCTTGAAATTTAACTGAAGAACATTTTGAAACCTCCAAAAGACTTTGGCAAATACCAGTTTTGAAGCCAACAGAATTGGCATTGAGTGAATGAAAGTCAGATATTGACTCACAAATGAAAATGGAAATGGTTGACTTTAAGAACAAAAACCTATTGTTATGGGAATATATTCACAGTTTATTTGGAACATTATTTTGTTAAAAGTAATAAATTAGGTCCTTGAAAAAAAATGTGGTCCTTAAAAATTTTTGAAAAGTCCTTGAATTTTACACGGGAAGTGGATGAACTCTTTGAGAATTCTCAAGTGCATGCACATTGGTTGCTTGGCTATGATACCCTCTTCTGTAAAAATTAAACTAGTAGCTGTAAAAGACACAATTCTCAGTTACTGATCATTGTACTATTGCCTAATTTTACAGAGGATGACAAAAATAACCAGTTTTTTCAAACTGATGGCACTTCTCAGAAGCTGTCAAGAGATGAAATTATGAATCTAAAAGCACAAGGGGTCAGTGGCAAGGTAAGAGAATGAACATAAATCTCTGAAGCATTGGCTGCCAGGTAATTTGCCTGTGAAAACAACTTCGATATGTCTTTACCCTATCCACCTTGACTTCATCGCCAATGTTTTATACTAGGATATTGTTGAACACCTAGTGGAGAACAGTGCAACATTCAAGGAAAGAACTCAGTTTTCCCAAGCAAAGTATAAGAAAAGGAAGATGAAAAAGTAAGAACTATTCTTTGTCAGTGTTGCACAATAAACGACTGTTTAACTCAGACAATAGGTGAATCAAAAGGCTCCAATGACATGAGTCTTCATAGCCAAAAACATCACGGCTTAAGCGACAGACGACCAATAACATCACGACTTAATGGACCAATCAGGGCAATAACCAGAGTTAAGTACCATCAACTGACAAGATACAACTCACTTTGACTCTGAAGATGACAACCACACAGGCTGTCGAAATGTCAGTCATTGTCAACATTAGTCCTATTCAGGACTACATTCACCCGGATGATCATACACTCAACCTACTTATTTTACATACCTTATTATAGGAAATTAACGCTCCATGAAATTAAGCTATTGGAAATTAACACAACTTAAATTAATGCGAATTTAATGGCAAACGACTTTAGAATAAAGGAAATTAACGCAAAAGAGGAGTTAGAATTTCATAATAAAGGAAATTAACGCGATTATCTTGGCTGAAATCAAAGGAGAAGATATTGACATCTCTTCTGACAGTGACAACGATGAAGATAAACCTTTGCCTTAGCTTTTGCGAAAGATGAAAAATAAAGGGCAAATGGAATGAAAGAAAGCTTGTAGTTAATGTTTTTTAGGGGGTCAAGAATGTTTGGACAGCTTCCAAAATTGGGGTTAAAATACTGGAAGTTAAGAGCGCGGAAATTAACGCTGCACTTAATTAATGTCGTGGAAATTAACGCTCAATAAAATTATCGCGACTTAAATTAATGCGAATTTTATTGATTCGCGTTTATTTCATGGAGCGTTAATTTCCTATAATAAGGTATTTTTAACTTCAAAATTATCTCAAGACGGCCCAAGCTTTTTAAGTTTTTAACTCAAAACCCTGTAAAAAAGATTAAAATACATGTTAATGTACAATGTACATGTACCTTCTTATGTGTAGAGATGTTATTTTTTCCTTGCGTGTAATGAATTGATATTTTCATTCCCCTGTAGGCATGTTGTGAGATTTTCAATATTGCGGCCTACAACAGATTTAATAGCTCAGATGTACTACTGCAGAGGAGCATCTAAAATATGGTGAGCTAAATATGTGAATAATAAGAGGACCCATCCCTTGTGCCTCTAGCCAGCAGCTTTTACTAATTGTCTTTCGTAACCATGCTACTTGCATCACTAATTAAATTATGATAGTGATAGCCTAGGAGCAGGCTGAAAAAAGCAACCTAAATGTCAACATGGGGGGTTGGGGGGGTGACTTTCGAAACTCGCTATCTACTCATTATGCAAGAACCAGCATTTCACAGAAAGTACATTTTAAGGGTTGTTAATAAATCTGCCGAACTTTTTTTCAACACTTAGTTGGATGAAACAAGCTTAGGATATAAAATTAAGTAAATGTGGGTATATGACAGTACCAAAGTTATGGCTAAAAATCGTTTCCATGGTTACTGATAATGCACTGAAATGCAGAGCCCTCAAAATGACAATTTTCACTAGGGAGGGTCCCAATTAACAGGGGGGGTTGGCAATTTCCCCTTCCATATCTAGTGTACCCCTCAAGGGAGCACCTTTCAATCTCATCAATAATTTTTTTCTCCTCCTTCTTTAAATTTTCTGGATAACCCTGAAATCCCTGACCATAGTGATACAGCGTAGATTAACCCTTCTGTGCACGTGGACAAACAGTGTAACTGATTTTACAGGGTAGCACAAGTTTCACTGGGAAAGAGCCTTGCTCTAACTGCACGACAACATCTTGCACATTTTTTTTAACTTGATATCTGCACATAATTTCTTGCTTGTCTATTTTGTTTATTCAGTGACCTCAGACTTGACACATTGTCTCAAATACTGACCATGTCAAATGTTAGAGCACACTGTCGTATGATGGTAGTGGAAAGTTGTCAAGGAATGCTAGTTGGAGCTCTCTTAGAAAGAATGGGAGGTCTGTGTTTTATAATGTTTTTACTACAAAGAACCTTCAAACATGACTTAACTGCAATCACCCCTTTATCAGAAGAAACACTTACCTTCCTAAAAGGGCTTAAAAACAGATCCTTCATATTTTTATTCATTTTGCAAGAAGAAGAACCTTAACATGACAAAGCCTCTGATATCCAACTTGTAGGTGTAATTATTTAGCATCATGAAATAAAGAAGGTGACAAGTTTGTCCATCTTCCACAAAAATGTCTTTAACACTTCATGATTCTGGTAATTCAGTTTTGGGGTCGTCCTGCTACAGAGTATAAAGCATTAGTTCAGTTGAAAACGAAGGAAATGGAAAACTGTGATAAAATTAAATGGATTTTAAAACTGAAATAACCACTCAATTTTCAAAATAATTCCAAATGATGTGAAGAATACCTTTTGACAACTTTTGGGTTTTACAACATACTAGCAACTTTTAGCTTTAGTAAAGAAGAGACTGGCCCCAATAAGGTAATGTGGATTTCAGAATCCAGGAAGTTTTACCTGTAGAATCTGAAATTGTGGGATTTAGAAGCTCAAGGAATCCAAAATCCAAGTTCCACTGACAAGAAATCTGGAGAAATAAGAGAATTTAGAGACTGACGTAAAATTCTTCTCTTTTGCCTAGGGATTGGAAGTCTCATTCAGATCTACTCAGGTGACTTTCCAGGAAGGTAAGCTGCTTAACCCTTTAAACCAGGCCCAATATCCAGGGACAAACTCTTAACACTAGTCACCATACATTGTTTTTAGAATTAGGTGAGAGAATTTGATAAAAGGTCAAGGCATTTTTCCTTTGGTGATCATTTTCTTACTTCTCATAACCTTTTCTTGTGACAATTTATTGATGTTGTTAGGAGATAATAATATTGATGTTAGTCGCTTTCAGGAGCTTCTGTAAACAGGACAGCTGGGCTTCAGAAAAGTCCAATCCTGTGGTACAGGACAAGTTGATTTTCATGCTGGGCAATTAACTTTTTAAGCTTACTTAACAATGGGCAAGGGTCTAGGCAATTCATCCTCTAACAAAAGCTTTAACTAAGACACGCAAGAAATGACCCCGAGGAAGCAAAATGTGACAGCTACCTGCCCAAAGAACAAGCTTAAACTAAGTTTTTTTTTAACCCCACAGGATCATGGCAAATCAGTTTTAAATGATCTTCCCATCATGTTTCATGTCAATCAATCAATCAATGAGTTCTTTGTTTATTCACATAGCATCTAGTGAGCTAAAAAGCTTGTTGAAAATACGTACTAGCCTGCGAGCAAGTTCTCCGAGGTGCTCAGGCGGCGGGGCGGGAAAAGGATGAGACCTTGCAACTACATGTCTGGAATTTAAATATCTGCATCGACAAATCGAAAAAGTTGCTGTGAAATGCTGATTGGCAGAGATGATATTAATAATGACACAAATTCCCTTGGCATGTATTTTCCAATGTTTGTTTACACTTGCACTCATTTCTGCTTCCCACTGATTGGCAGAAATCTGACGGCTCAGTCGATGGGGAGCCACAGGGGAATTGGAGGTGGAATTCAAATCCCAGAGACATAGTTGCAAGACAGTAAGGTCTCCTTCCTTTTCCTGCCCCTTTGCCAAAGCACCCCAGAGAGCTTGCTTGCAGGATAAATATGTTCCTGCTAACATAAAATAGCTTTAAAATATAGAAAATTAAGTTGTTTTCTTCTTACCCCAGACCATCTTACATGTACCGGGTGATGTTAGTCTGTTCCTCTGGGCTATTAGAGACAAATTGACCCACAGGCTTTCAACAGGCTTCGACTTTAGGGAGTTATTTCAGTCTCTCAAATAAAGTGTTTCCTGCAATGCAGGTTGTGCTATTACTGGCAATGTTGATCTCAGTGCCCGTGTCACTAGTACTACGTCTAATATTTAAACAAGTGGTTTGGGGTCAGGGTTAATTGGGGCTTTCATTAAGTGGAAAGGGCGGGGAAGGGGGATTTACACCGGCTACTAAGAACGTGACTCCTGGCTACTTTCATAGGAAAATGGAAGAAAAATAGATCCAAAAGAATTCCCTAGTTGTTTGATTCCCCGCCCACTTGCTGTATTTACCTGGCAACTTGAAATCTTAGTGACAGCCCTCGCTAGTGGAGGTAACATGTTTTTAGTGTGGCCTCCATACTTCAACCTAATGTAATTAAATGGTTAGCAGATGATTTCCTTCACAAATTCTTTAAAGTAAACCTGCATTACAAAAACTAAATTATGGAGAGATGAAAAAAAGGGGTTTTTCAATTATTTATTCTTTCAGACAGGCTCTAGATTATTTCAACTTCCCCAAAGCCTTCATGGAAAGCTTAAGTGGATTTCCAATGGACAAAATAACTACACTTGGTACTAGTACAGGTGAAATGTTTAAATTATTTACCACTGAGCGAGGAGTAGTACAGGTGTAGTCATTTTCCAAAATTCTTCTTTAGGGTCCTTTAGCTTAAGCTTAGAAGAAATTCAGACTCTTGTTATAGGATTTCATGGGCTCAAATCATGTCACAGACTCAGACTTCTTTGTCCCTGCACTAATGACAAATTATGTAGAATCTTACTTTTTTCTGGTAGCTGGTAGCTCGAAAGAGTTATCATCTGGCTAACCAACCTCAGGCTAACGTTGCATTCATTTTACCCCCCCCAAACCACCCCCCCACCCTCCACCCATCAGTGCTCCCACCCCCTCTTGCCCCATCAGTATTTAAAGCCAGTTAAAGCTGAACGGAAACGAAAGAAGTCAAAACACGGATGTGAGGTCACGTTAACCCGTCAAGTCGCCCGAAGCAACAGTTAAGTCGCCCGAAATGCGGACTCAGGTCGCCCGAATTTTATCAGATGAAGTGCACAGAGAAACAAAGTTAATTTTTGTCAAGTAAAAAGTGTGTGTTAATATACCGTTCTTTAAAACATCATGAGACGAATCAAGCTGAATGAATCTGTATCATGCCTCGTTCTTTAAGCGATGATGAGACGAAACAAGCGGTATAAGTGTGTAATATATCTCGCTCTTTAACCCTTGATTATAATAACGAAACAAGCGCGATAAATGAGTAATATATCTCGTTCTATAATCTTCGATCAGAAGAAACAAGCGCGGCAAATGGTTAGGGATGCTAGGATGTTGTTGAGCTTGATATAATTTCGCGCCACATAGCTCAGCATTTCGGGCGACTTGACCGTAAACCAAGGTCACACATGGAATCAAACTCGGGACCTCTCACACCGAAGCCCGCACATGAACAAACTCTGTCAATCTTTGCTCCTTCAGTCTTAATTCTTACTGTTATTTTTTAGCTGATACAAAGATGCCGCTATCAGCAGCTGAGTCAAGCGATGCAGCAGCGCAAGCAGCTGCTCCAACCAATGAGACCAGTGATGGTAGAAGCAACTCTGGAGAGGAAGAGGATGGAAACTCCATGACTGAACAGGTACACATAACGGAAACAAGATAATCAGAGATCATTATCATCGTCATTTCGAGGATTATTAAGATTTGGGTCGTTTCGCCCACGAGTCGTTTCACCAACGTCCTGTTCGCTAAGGTATTGACTCGTTTCTCCAACGTGCTAGGCCAGTTCCCCCAACTTCTCTAACTTAATCAATGGCTCAAAGAACGAGTTGTACACGTATGTATTGGACTAATACGTATCGTTGCTTAAAGGCGAGGTATATACATGCGTAGCACTCGTTTTGTTTCGTAAGCGAAACGACTTGAGACGTTAGCGAACGGCGCATTGGCGAAACGAGACGTTTGCGAAATGACCGGTCACCATTGCGAGTCTCCTTGGGCAATGTCGCGCCAAACACTACTGTCCAACAAGCATACTTTTAATTCTTCCGCAGAGGCAAGACCAGTGTCCCTTTTGAGCAAGTCCATTTAGTTTAACCGCATTTGTCTTCCATGTAAAGCCTGGCCTGTCTGTGGCTCCCACAAGACCAACGTTTTCACTGGCAAGTCCCCATGCCTCATGCGGAACCCAGCCATTTGGAGTCTGCGTGCTCTTACTTTCCCGGATAGTATAGGGAGGCTAGTTCATATCCTTAAAGCACCTCTCGTTAAGACCTAACGCTACTAAATTGTATTTAATCCTACCGAGATCCGCGGCAGACATCTTGGTCCCAAAGATATTAAAACCTCTTTATTTCGCACAGTTCGGACTGTCCCTTTTGTGTCATTTTAAGGGAAGTTCGAGTGTATAACACCCGGAAGAACTTACGTAAAACAGGGTATTGTTTTTTATTCACTCATATTGACTCTCTCTTCTACAGGAAAAGTTGGTGCGGAGAACGCGGAGGCAAAACGAAGAATCAAAGGCACGACAGGAACTGGAAAATGGCAATATAGATGGGTAAGGTTTTTAGATAATAAGCCTTGCTAGCACCTGTCATGGAAACCAAGAACAAGCCACTTACTCTAAACTTTCACGAAGTCCTTCGTAGTTGCGCGGTTTTGTTTTGTCTTGCCCGCTTAGGCCGTCTCGCGACTTCACTTAAGCTAATTTCGTTCTTTCAACCTTACGAAATGATTTTAAAAGCATCCTTATTGTTGCAGCTTGGTTGTTGCGAGCCGGTTCCAGCCCAGTCCTCTCGTGATGTCCCTCCTCCCTCGTCTAGCACCCTCGCGACCATTTGTGGTTTATTGTCAATACAAAGAGGTACGATTTTTCCTCATTCTACACAGCCTCTATACGTTCTTCCTATGCCCTCACGAGACTTGCTTTCTGCGATTCGTCCTGACGTCGTTTCACAGTTTGATATAATAGAGAGCTTAAGATTCTAACTGTTCTAAGACAAAGACGACTACGAGTACGAGATTTTCTCAACACTGAGTATTTCTCACGCGTGAACCCGCGTCATTTTGGCGGGAAAACGTGGTAGTCGCCGTCATTCTACTAGGAGTTTTAGCCAGAATGTCGTATTGGAGGAGAAGTTGTCAAATGTAAGAAGTTTTATCATTTTGCTATAGGGAGAGGGGCTTAACCTCCTTCAGTAGAAATAACAGTGCTATCTTTTTTGGTGAAAAAAAGTAAAATGAAGCTTTCCGGGCTGTCTTTTTTTTTAGAACACGCGCAAAAACTGTTAAAGTTAAATCTCGTACTAGTACTCTTTCTCTTCCTCAAATCTAAAGCTCTCTATCATTGAATTCGGTGTTGTGTCGAACTGTATCATGGGACGATTCCGAGGACGTTTTCCCTTCTTTTATTGGTTATTACGAGATTGCAGAGGAATCTGGGGTTAATTTCGTCCCGCAAAACACTTCTACAGAACCTTCTACAGTACTAATTCGACACAATCCCGACCCAGTCATCTGCGTCATCTCAAAATACAAATCCAGTCTTAGAAAGTGTTTTGTTATAGACATGACTTCCAACGATGCGATGCGATGTGATGTTTATTGTGTAGTTTCCTATTTTTTTCCGACTGCATTAACAATGGTATGGTTTGTATTTCAGCCTCTGATGGAATGTTACGTGAACCTTAGAGAAAGAGGAACAGCCATTAATATCCACCTGACTGAAACGTGGTGGCGACATTATCAGGTAGGAACTACTTTGCTCAAGGAGGTCCAAGGAAATTGCAAAATTTGTTCGTCATAACGAGGTTTTGTTATATCGAGGTTCTTTTCCATATATTTTCCCATTACTGGGGCGAAGATGACGTCGCTATGTGGAATTAGTTCCTTATCTTGAGTTTCCGCAATATCAGTAAGAATTACGAATACCTGATTGAACCTTTCGCTTCCCAGACTCCTTTACATAAATTTCCTCTTCTAAGGGCCTGTTTACATGGAGTGGGGGACCCCGGTCTAGTGGGGTTGGTTTCTTTTGTTTTCACGCTCTGGGGGACACAAAACAAAAGAAACTTGCTCCACTAAACCGGGGTCCCCCACTCCATGTAAACAGGGTCTAAGTCGCAACTTTCATTCATACTAGAAAAGAGGTATTTCCATATGAAAGACGGACATTCACACATACACAGCGTGATAAATATTGGTACTGTGTAAAAGGACTGTTGAAAAGAGCTCTCATTTGAATGGTCACATCGTAGGATTTAATCCAAAGACTCAAGTTAGAGCAACATACTAAATAAATAGTACCATGTGAAAGTACTGCTGAAGAGGTTTCATTTGAATAGTAACACCATAGGATTTCATCCACAAACTCAAAAGTTAGAACTACATTCTCAATAAATAGTACCATGTGAAAGTACTGCTGAAGAGGTTTCATTTGAATGGTAACACCATAGGATTTCATCCACAGACTCAAAAGTTAGAATCACGTACTGAATAAATAGTACCATGTGAAAGTACTGCTGAAGAGGTTTCATTTGAATGGTAACACCATGGGATTTCATCCACAGACTCAAAAGCTAGAACTTGCCTATACAGCATAGAAAACGTACTGTGAAAGCGCTGTTAAAGAAGGGTCATTTGAATTGTCGTACCATGGGTTTTTAGTGTTTCACTCTCAGTACTTCATAATACGACTGCTGATCTCCTTTTATGCTTGTTTAATGTCACCTTAGATAGAGGTACTTTGTGAAATTGTAAAAGAGCGCTAAATAAAAGTATGTTAGTACTCATAGTTATTTGATTCAAACTGTGTTTTGCTTTGTAGGTGCTCCCAGCCAGAACTCACCCGGAAATTGCCATGAATGGTACCGGAGGATATTTGCTGTGCGGGATCACAGTCAAACCAGACAACCCAGATGACACAGGGAAACCAACCCAAGCCAAAAAACCAAAACTAGACGAATGCGGTTAAGACAATTACCAATAAATTTGTTATCGAACGCTCTTGTTGTCTCCCTTTCTTTGCCTTGCCCCCCCCCCCCCTCCAGAAATCCCCTTTTTAAACTTCTTTTCCATCATCTTTTAGTAATGTACGTTATTGAATTCTTGGAAAACGTTATGTGAACTTCACGTGCTATCTCCAGGACGCCGTTGTTCTCGTACACAATAGCACACTCCTAACTGAATCTCTCTGACAAAGGCTCGTTGCTGCTTATTTTATCCTTACTGGACTTTGGCAGCTGTCAATCTTACTCATTTTATATTTAGTCTTACATCAGTAAAAATCCGACTGGTTAAAGCAAGAATTAACATATTTTCCTTCTAGGTTGTGGCGTAGTTAGAAAAACCACTTCTACTCCAAAATTCACTCAGGTCCGGCAATCGTCCAGTCAATACAAAACAGCCAGAGAGATATAAAAATTGCAAGAACAGTTTGCGTGAATAGAAATAAACTATGTACAATATTGTTCCACGGCCTGCCGAAAGTGTTGTCAATGGGGTGCCAATTACCCTCCACAAGAATCAGCCTAAATTGCGTAGCAGGCGTAAGAAAGAACGGGCGCGCGTGTCTCCCTCCCGCGCACCCGTCCTTTCTTACGTCCACTACTTCCAAGCGCCTGCTACGCAGGCTACAACCACCCCGGTAAAAACCTCGTGCGTAAACATACAATATTAGAATTTGACGTGCAAGAAGAACAACCTGCTACAAAGTCTTTCCAACTCACCTAAACATACTCAAAGGAGTAGAAAAATTGCATCTCCTTCATAATCTCGTACCCAGATCTCCCACGGCCAATGGTCAAACAGAGTGAGATCTGGGTACGAGATTATCGCCTTCAATCACAGGCCATATTTTCCAAAGCTTTCCAAACAGCATGGCGTGAACCATTTGATTTTGCCGCCGGAATTTCCGATTTTCCCATGTAAATGGCAAGTGCCCCAAGTTAATTCGCCAGGGAAATTGGGTCGAGTTAACTTCTGGGACTCTCACTAGAGACAGGCCAAAAGGGAAAAAATTGGCCAATAGCTGACGTCAGGCGCGTCGCAAGCCGGAACCTTCGTACTGAATTTGTACGATGCATGGTTGGGAAGGATTTTAAGAGTCATTTTTAAGTTTTTTTATCTTATTTGTTTTATGTCTTTTGTTTTGTTTTTGTTTTTTTTTTCGGTTTCGTTTTGTTTTGTTTTGTTAACTATTTATTTTTCCAAAACCGAATTGACCGTGTTTTGCACCCATGCCCTGGAGAATGATTTGATGCTAAAACATTAATTTTGCTGTATACACTTTCTATATGGCCCCTTCAATGTCCGTATTAACGAGGGACGCTTTACTACAATTTTTTATCTCTTGAAAACTTGCTTGTTTGCCCATAGTTCTGAATTGAATAAATTAATGTATCAGACCTATCCTAATAGTTTCTCTGTTAAATTTTGCGGAAATTCATTCACTTTTGAGGTAATTGCCATGCATGTGTGAAGGTATTAAAAAACGATTTTAATTTGTAAATACTGATTTTCGGTGAAAATATTGCTTTGACAAACTGGCGTCGATCGCTACGTGACGAGCCCTTTTTGGAACACCATTTTTCGTTAGTAAACTTTGCAAACAATTTTAAGCGAAACAACAAAACATTGGTTTTTGCTAACAAACTGTGATAATGACAACCTTTGCTTTGAATCACTTTTCTCGATGTTCACTAATTTGATTTTTTCACGTTTGACCCCCCTTCAGGGCGGAAACGGAAATAGGGTCACTTAAAATCGAGGGCGTGCAATAGGGAGTGGACAATATGTGTTTCCGGGGGCGTGGATCGTAATCTTCCGGCCACGCAAAGAAAATTTGTAATAAACTGTAGCACTGTAGTTACTGAAAACAAAACAGCTACCATATGAAAGCAATTCTCAGTGGTATCCAGAACTTGGAAATCCTGAAAGAAGTTCGGTTTGTATGCGGAGAAGAATACTCAGCGAAATACTTCGAGTTATACAATGCATTCCATTCATTTTTGTTCCGGCATACGGCCAATCTAACGCGGAACTTTATTTTTACAGCCTTTAGTTGTGGCTTTTGCGGTTAAAGGTTGTAATAATAAAGTGGCTTTTAATACAGCAAATACTTAATTTCAGTAGGATACGGAAATCTTTTTTGCGAAATATTGTTTCAAAAGTTTATCAGTTTATCGTGATTGTAAAACGCATTGATGGTGTTGGGTTTCTTTAGAACAATTTATTTTCGGATTGAAAAACAAAACAAAACAAAACTGATGTAGAACTCAATACTATCTATTCCTCACCCACGCTTAAAATGAACTAAATAACAGTGCGGGTGTGATAATTTTTACGGTCAACTTTTCAGTGACTTTTGTCAAGAGCTGCTAGTGTTTGGAGACAAAGCATTAAAATACTTGTAAAAACTTATATCCGAATACTAGATCACCCGTTATTTAAGATCCACAGTACAGTGATCCACTTACAATTGTGTATCTTTGTAATATCGCACTGTGTAATTTAGCTACTTTGATCCTCTTTTGTTCTTTGTCACGGAATGCTTATATTGATCCAATTAGCCGTAGAGGAAAGAAACCTCTCACAAGTTTAATACATATACGACATGGACAGCTTGCGATGGGTATCTTCGGCCTGTTGAACTGTGGACAACTTACATCAGGCATGGCGACAGTCGCTTACACCAAAAAGAAACCAAGTTTCTGTGAAGGCAGAAGGAAAGAGTGCATCATAAATGAGTCAGTGCAAGAGATAACGAAATGATTTGGCTCCTGATCTACAGGATCGATGTTATGAATCATTAAAATGAATGAATAAATAATGATTTTATATTATCGACCATTATACAGAATAACCCATGATTTACAATCATTATGGCCTCACGTCACATTGGTCTCTACTACTTAAACTGTACTTAACTTGGCCAAGATGACTGTTTTTTCAAAGAGTCCGCTTTTAACGGAGTAAACCCAGCGCCCTGGCCAGAGAGCGGAACGACTTTCAATGTCGGCTAATAGTCAGGACCGGTGACATGCATGCTGAGTTTGACATCAAATCAGGCTATAAAATATGCGCGGGTAGTGTATTTAGGAAAGGGAACATGTGCTTTACTTTATTTCTCATGTTATTTTAGATTCTGAGGGATTCCATCTCCTAACCTGCTGAACCGCTAGCAAACATAACAGCGCGTGCATCGCGCGCACGCCTTTCCCCCCCGGCCTAACGTTACTCATCCATCCCGACCCATATCGAATACCAGCTGTTTCTAGCATACAGTAGTCTTTTCTCTTGATTTTGAATAGCGACTGATTATGCACTTTATTTAACAGTGCAGGAGTGACAGCATAAACGAACGTCAGAGCTCAGCAAAATCGTTACTGAATGAAAATATCAAACTTATCAGAAATCGAAACACCTATCCATGAAATATCAGTCTTCATTCATTTGCCACACTCCGATATATTTCGTTTGTTTCACGTATTGATCAACCGTTGAGCAAAACAATTACTCTGCCTCGAGGTTTTAACTGACTGGATAATTTTAATTTGTACATCAAGTACAGTCGGTACAGAATGTCAGGCGATCGTTGATACTTTCTCACGGGGGCACACGATGTAAACAGGCTTACCAAACTACCAGTACTCTGGGTAAACACTAAACAACGTAAAATCACTTAACTGTATTACATATTCCATTCTTTTTACAAACTTTATTGTACTAAATCACTAATATAATCACCAATCACAGATCGATCGACAATGGAGTCATGTCTAATTTTAGCAATGACTTCTTGCAGAAAGAAGTTGTTATGAAGTCAGTCTTACTGGGGGGATTCCCCGATAAGCCATAATTTTTTCTCGTGCACAAAACGTTTTTGCACATTGCTTCTGCTTTTGGTAAGTGATTTTTTCGCAAATTCTTTCAAAACAAGAGCAAGTTATGGTGTCTTCTTCAACGCAATCGTACTTCTTTTGCTTCAAAATAATCAGGCGAATATAATCACATGGGATAAGTGGATCAAATGTTCCAAAAAAATAAATAGATAATTTTTATGTAAATAAAAACCAATAGTGTAAAATAAACTGACGGATTGTTATTTACTGCCTCGCGAATTTATAATGCAAAATACGGGAGGAAATCCAAATTTGTCGACTTGTTGTCAGGACGACAAAGCTCTATGTCAACTTATCAAGATACCGCAAGACCTTTGTACCAATCAAACATCTGATATCAGGCACGTGATGAAATGGCAACCGCGCCCGGTGTGTTGGTTTCAACCATTTTGAAGTGCAAGACATTTCAGATGAAGCCTGATTGTTTATGCGCCACGGTTGCAACCGAGTGCAGCGAATTTGGACCGTCTGCGTCTCCGAGGCTTGAACTTTAAACGGTTTAAGGTCCTTGAAAGTCAGCTAAATATCTGTCCTGCTTGTGATGAGCGTATGCAAATGCCTAGCGTAACGCGATTGCAAAACGAAGAAATGATGGAATCGCTCAATAACATTCATAACATGGAGAAGAATTCTTCGTTGACCAAACTTTTGACCGGAGAATTTTGCACTGCTTTGTATGATTACGAAGCGGCAGACGACGACGAACTAACATTTAGTTCAAGCGATCGGATTGAAATTCTATCGAAAGAATCCGAAGTTAGCGGCGACGAAGGATGGTGGGTTGGGCGAGTTGAAGGACAACCAAGAATTGGTTTGTTTCCGTCGAATTATATCACGACTTTTACAGATAATGGCCAGCGAAGTAGTTTAAGCGAACCTCTGGAGATAGATTTCCAAGAAATCGACCTGATCGATGTTATCGGCGTCGGGGCCTTCGGCAAAGTTTATCGAGCGATTTGGCGAGAGGAAGAAGTTGCCGTGAAAGTTGCCCGCACAGAAAACTATCAAGACTACACCGAGATCGTGGAAGATGTCAAAAAAGAAGCGAAATTGTTTTCTATTTTCAGGCATCGTAATATTGTGGGCTTATTTGGTGTTTGTTTGAAGGAACCCAATTTGTGTTTGGTCCTCGAATACGCTCGCGGCGGAGCACTGTCTCGAGTGTTGAGCACTCACGGCCGCACTATACCTCCATCAGTATTATTAGACTGGGCTATCCAGATTGCTCGTGGGATGTATTACCTACATAATGAAGCACCTTTGAGTATTATACATCGGGATCTCAAGTCTGGCAATAGTGAGTATTGCGATCTTTTTTTATTTTGGTTTTGTAGTGTAGTGAAATTAACTGTGTTTTCGTATCGGCGCTTTCCGCACCGTGGACAGAAAGGCGATTGTTTTGCACGAACGAACATTATCATTACCATTATAAATTTTTCATGCATATTAGGTTTTAATGATACCAAGGGCCTTTAGAAATTGTTGCGACCAGTTCGATGATCTCTTTTTGTCCGATCGGGAATTAAAAATAGCGTTTATATAGAATGCCCTAAACAGTTCCTTTCAATGTTGGGGAATTTTCCAGTGTTTGTCCGTGACGATGTCTTTTGTTTTTGAATACTGTTTGCCTCCTGAAAACAAAAATATTGCATAAATATATTTGGAGGTTCGTTCTGGTAATACGTGAATCACGATGACTTGTAAAGGAAATTTCCACTGCTTTTTTTCTTCCTAGACGACTGTAGACAGGAAGTGAAAAAATTAATCTGGTTATATGTGATAAAAATGTGTTCCATTACTGTTGCACATTAAAATATAACATATTTACACACTGTTTGCACTTGCTGTCATCTAAATTTAAACTTTTTATCGGGTTATGAAGGATAAATTCGACCGCCATTTTAAAATAACAACCTTTGTATTGTGTTAAATATCTGAGCAAAAGACACGAAATGTTGCGTACTCCTAAAAGGACAGTCAATTTTTTGGCTTGAAATTGGGTCCTTCCAGAAGGCACTAAAGTTATTAATTCTGGACACGTTTTTTTAAGAAGGCGATATAGTTTATCGTTATAGCTGGGTGCTATGATATGAAGATCATGTAAACTGACATTCGACCCAAGGTTACTTTGGTGGCACATTGCATAATGCAATTACCACTTCAAAGATTTTTAACCCCGCATTTCTGCATTACTTCTGATTTCCGACTTCTCTGTACATCAAGATTGTACCTTTTAGCCTTCATGTTTGTCTTATCTTGAGTCATGGTACAAAACTGTTTTCCTCACATGTAGAAACTGTTCATGTTTTTTGCCTACTTGCCAGCACTCGCTTTACCTTGTGGGGTCCAGTTCATATTAATGTTGCCAAATTCACGTCAGCTTTGATTGCATCAAAATAAATGAATTACGTCTTATTTTATGAGAGTGACATGTTTGTTTTTCTTTGCAAGAAAGTTGGATAAAACTAATATGAATACAGAAAAACTAGAGGATTTAATGATTGTAATGTTGAGCTGCTTGCATTGGTATGGTGTCATGCATAAGTTGTAGTAATTGAAAATGGATTTTAAGTGCAGAATTAATCCCAGCAATTGTAATAATTATAGTTAACTGTTATTCACACAAACCTTAAAACTCATATTCCTCAGGAAAACTCTCATAAGGTGACAGGCGTTCATTTTTCGGTGGTGTGATTTGTAACTTAATACATACTTATTTTAGGGACCTAAAAAAATCATAGTTGATGATGCCAAGGAAATTGGCTTCTGAAAAAAGGAATTTGTGTACTTTAGTCCTTTCATAGTGATAGTGTGTTCAGTAATATTTTCTCATTGGGTCACTCAAGGGTATGGGTTTTATTTATGACCTATTCTGTTGGTAGATCAACCAAGCTTCACTTTTACTCTTTTTTAGCTAGTTAAGTGGTTAAATTTTGCACTATTTTTCTGAGGAAAAGATTCATGTCTTTGAATCAGCCTTCGAAGACAGAATCCAGTACATCTCCCTCTATTTATTATAGGCTTATGAACTTCGTTGTAATTTTTGTATGTGTTTTGGTATAGCTAAGTGTGGGGTAGTTCTTCTGATAGTGTGTGACGAATATCAGGAAAAAATTGTGCAGAGTTTTTGTATGTGCATTTCAGGAGCTCGCATTATAGATTAATAAGGGTTGCTTTCATTTAACCCAAAATTCCGGAAATTTCGGTTGGTACATCAAATGGAACGGACCATTTCGGTTTGGTCTGACTGGAATATTCGGGACCAGCTTTGAAAGTGGTCCACTTTGACTGGTCTGGTCAATTTGGTCGGTCGGACCGAATTGTCCCTTTCTATTTGACAAAATTGTTGTCCCCGGTATATGTACCACTCTTTGGTATCCTGCTTACAAGAACAATAACCAAATGCGCGGTGGCTTAGTTTGGGTCTGTGCAACTGGAATGTAACGTTCCATTGGACACGTGGAATTTCTGAAATGTGAAACCGGAATTTTTGTTGAATGGAAAGCGCCCAAGGTCTACGGTCAACTCGGTCTTAAAAAACACATGTATAAGATGGCCACCTACAGTTGGTCCCTGCCTTTCTTTACTCCCTTTATTTGACTCTTTATAAGACAGACACTTAATACTGGTCCCAAAGTTGTCCGTGTTAGGAACAGTTGACTGTATGTTGTGTACGAGGCAAATGTTTAGGTGTTTCTATAGTAGGTTAGGAGTAGAACACTTAAAAGTCATTAGGTTTACATCAACGTTACAATGATTCAGAAGCTTTGCATGATTTTTCCAAAGCTACATGTAAATGACTTTAGTTTGTAAAGATTTGGTGAAGATAATGCAGATTTTAATAATAATAATAACAGGATTATTAATTAGAGATTATGCAATACAGATTATTCAATTAGATGTGATTCAAGAACACTAAGGGCTTTTGATATCCTAAACAGGTGTTACTTTGCTGAGTTATTGCACAAAGTGGCATCTTTGTATAATTTTAAAAGCCCTGTGATGCTGGATCTATTACATCTGAAACCACCACAATCAATAGCACCTATAAGTATTGAATAATCTCTCCTGTGTAAAGTTTGACACAAGTGCATGGTCTATTTTACTGTTCTATTTCCACCTCAGCTAGCTATTATTATTATTATTGTTATTATTATTATTATTATTATTATTATTATGAGCTCCCTTGGCGTTTTTTCCGACGAATGCTCCACGTTCTTAGACATGATGAATGACATTGGCATTGACAAAAAGCAGCAACATTATATAATCAAAAAGATGGTAAATATAGCCATTAGATCAACATATTTCATCTTTTGTTGTAGAAATAGGAATTGGGATAGCCCAGACTAAATGCAATTTTGATTTTTTTTAAATTTCATTTTTTAATTTATTATTATTATTATTATTATTATTTTATAATTCAATCTCAAGCAGCCAATTGTAATTGCCTATACGTAGCAAGATTTACAATTTATTGTACTTTCAAAAAACAGAAATAAAGTTTCCATTACTATTATTATTATTATTATTATTTATAAATACAGTTCGATCCTCTGTCTTGCCTTTGATAGCCGTCCATTCAATTCATGATTATAGATTTTTATTTCTTGTATTTAAAACACTGGTCAGCCAAGGTCATCCCTTGTCATTCCTCACCTGACAATTTTATTGCATCAGAACATTTCTCGAATAAAGCACATGACAATAGCTAGGGTTTAAACACTGTACTTTCATTACCTAAAAATACCACCAATTAAAAAATCAAATCTTTTGTCTTCCTTAATTTCGTTTTTGTTGAAATTAATGTCATAAAACAAAGAGAATATTGTAACTGGTTATGGCTGTGCAGTGTCTCGGCAGTTCAAGTGTACCAAGCAATAATACTGCCAAAGAGATTTGAGGTGGTTTGTGTCACCTTAGGATACCACATACAAACTCAAAAGTTAGAAGTGCTTTTCGTGTCCTTGTTCACTGTTATTGAAAAGTGGTTTTGACAACCGGTGTAAGGTCAAATTTTCGTCTGAATTCTGCTCTCAGTTTTAAAATTAAAACCAATGAGTAAGTAAGTTTTTGATTCATTAGCTGCTTAGTAGTTACTGGGGTAATTGTTTTGCCTGCAGTATCACATCTGCCGTACACACTTAACTGTATTTCTGTCCTCTTAACCGTTCTTAAGTTACAGATCTTCATTTCATACAGTTTGCGCCAACAGAACACTTGCTCTTACCGTTGTTTCTTTTTTCATATTACCATTGAATAACAATAGTTAATTAAAGCACGTATTATTTCATATGTAGACAAATGTCATGTTGTGGCTCAATTTTATCCTTGGTTTAAATTTTGCCTTCCCTTGGTTTCCAACTCATTATCATACATTACCATTCCCAAAAATGAACGGATGCAAACAAAATTAAAACAAAGGATAGATTTTAGCCAAGAGATGGACTTGTAACTTTATATGTGCTCAGTAGTGTATTGGTTTGCCTCTTGCTTGTAGGGTTTTTTTAATCGTAGTATTTTAAATTTGATTATTAATTAATGATTATTTTAATGTGCCTTCACTGATAACAAAGTATTTTTTCCAATTTACTGGAAAGTTCCCACAGCAAGGCTGTGCACTAAGAAAACTTGAAGAGAGCCCCGTACTTTGAACCTGTGTAATTCAGGGTGCTCAGCATAGGATTTTTGTGGCAAAACTAGGATTTTCTTGGCACCTAGCAACAAAAGTTAGATGTTAGAGGCCACTGGGCTGTGCTACAGCACAGCCTTATCATCCTTGGTTTGAGTTCTATTTTTCCTTTTTTTCTATCTTATTATCATTCATTAGCATTTTGGAGTCCATTTGCATTACAACAACTCAATAGCTTTCTGGCTTTTCTCTCCTCCCGTGGTGACCTTGGGCGCTTTCCATTTAGTCAAAATTTCCGGAATTTCCGGTTCGGCGGTAAATGGAACACGTTTCGTCGGTTCGTCCCACTGGAAAATTCCCAGAAAAAGTGGAAAATCTAAAAAGGTGGTCCCGTTTTCCCGGTTGGAATTTCCGAACGGAATGTCGTGTTCCATTGACGTTTCTTGTAGCTTGTACCAGTTCCAGGTCCACGATCGGGCACCCGGCCACGTACCGGGGTTTACGACCAAATGGAACAACTTTTTACCGATCGGAAATTCCACTTTTGCTACCACCGAAATTTCCGGGTTTTTTTCGTAAATGGAAAGCGCCCCTTCTCTGCAGAGTCTCTCATTTCCATTGTTTAAGTGTTGCTTATTGTCACCCAAGAAAACTAGCCTGCATCGCAGATGTAATCTAACCCCAGTTAGTAACGTCTGTGAAGCAGCGCTGATGTCCTTGTTCTGGACCTTCAACAACCTCAATGAATTACCAGAAATGCATTTCGAATTTCCTTTCCACCCGATTGACAATTTGACAATGGCTTTTTTAACAGACCAATCATAGATCGCACTCAAATCCTGGTACACAAGTGGGGGGCCAGAACAAGGATTTTGGCGCTGTTTCGCTGACAGACTCAACCAGAAGTTAAATTCTATCTGTGGCGCAGGCTACAGAAAACAATGTCAAGAAATGACATAATTAGTCCATTTTTATTGTAAGCATTTTACTTTCTGGAGCAAATTTATCTTCCATTTGTTCTAGAACTGGAACAACAGTCAATCAAAAGGAAATTCTAGATGTCCAGAATAGATGCGCAAGGTCAATTGTACGCTCCCTGAGACAACTTTGATTCATGTCCATTCCACATCAATTAAGGGTTTCAACAGATAGGGCAGTGGTGAGAGCAGCGCTTGCCTCCCACCAATGTTGCCCGGGTTCAAATTCTGGCATCAACGGTTTAGTTTGTTGTTGGTTCTCTCCTTTCTCCGAGAGGTTTTTCTCCGGGTACTCACTCCTGTTTTTCCTTCTCCCCAAAAACCACCATTTCCAAATTCCAATTTGACCAGGAATCAGGTAGACGAAGAACCACTTTTTGGATGTGCTACCTCCAAATCATCATCATCATCATCATTATTATTATTATTATTATTATTATTAGTAATTACTTGGAGCTGTAATCAGGAATTTTACATTTCCCGTTGTGTATTCTTATAAAATTGTCATTTTCCTTCTTTTTCAGTTTTGCTTCTAAATAAGATTGAAGATGGAAATTTTGAAAATGTATTAAAAATAACAGATTTTGGACTAGCCAGAGAAATAGTTACAACGACAAGAATGAGTGCAGCCGGAACTTATGCTTGGATGGCACCAGAGGTGATAAGAACAAATACATTCTCCAAAGGTAGTGACGTATGGAGGTAAGTATTAGAACTGTATGTTGTTTACAGTGCAATGATCTCAACTGGGGCCACTAACAAGCTAAAACGTAAACAAATTTCAATTTTTTTGGTGGCCAACAAACTAACAAAGTCAGACCCTTTAGTTTTGAACTGGACTTGCGGCTGTGATTAATGTTGGGTGGCCTCAGTGGAGTTCATGCACTGTAACACCTCATAACCAATCATCTGAGCTAACTGGATTGTTCCAACGGACTATTTGTCAGTAATACTTGCATTGTACAACAATGCAGGTGTCTTTTACAATGTTTGATAGTGCATGTATTTTCAAACTCCACCGTGATTTCTTGTGTTGGATGCTTTTATTGACTGTTTGCCCCTGACAGACCCAGTGACATTATATTCCTATCAATCCTGCTGTGTCTGTGAAGACGGCAGATTTTGTGAATTTAAGTCTACAAAAGAAAAATACTTGAAATGGCCTGTGATGTCTTGTCGAATTTTCCCCTTGGTTCGTGAGTCGACACAAGGCAACTTGAAAGGAAACTCAATTTGTTTAACATAAGTCAGTTAGGGCTTTTTTTCCAGGAACTCACTCACTAATAAGCTGGTTTTTCCTTCTTTTGTGTTGCTGTTGGTATAGTGTTTTAAGCCAGTAAGAAAACATAGTACAAGTGACTTCTGATCTCCTGTAAAATTCTCCCCTTTTATACACTACAAAGGAGAATCTCTCACTTTATCAGATGTCAGGAACCCACTTACCAGCAAGTGTTGTCATATTTTATTTCAGTTTCGGTGTAGTATTATGGGAACTACTTACTGGACAAGTTCCTTACAGAGATGTAGAACCTCTTGCTGTAGCGTACGGTGTAGCTATGAACAGCTTAACATTACCCATACCAAGTACTTGTCCAGATTTCTTTAAAGAACTGATGAAAGGTATGAAGATCGGGTGTGTTTGTATGAAATAATCCTGATCAGGATTTATGATCCAAGATGACGCAGATCATGACATCAAAGTACCTGAATGAATTCTTGTTGGGAATTAGGGGTTGCCTTTGATGCACCGCGATCCTAGTGATGTTCGATCATAAATCCTGATCCGGATCATTCCAAAGGAACGCACCTGTGCATAGAGTAAGTTTATGTTTCATTTATTTTTTAATTTAGGCATTGTGGTCATCTTGTTCTTAATTACACATTCACCTCCCCTTGAAAATTGAAATGGACACCAAGGGTTGGTTCCTGGCATTCTTCAGTTGAAGGGTTTTCCCTCAATATTTTCCTTTTGGAAAAGGACTCTTTTAACCAAATGTTGAGGTTCCCATGGGATAGTGGGGTTCCTAAATTTCAGAGAAAAGTAAATAAAAAATTATTGGGCCAGTTTTGTATTAATGGTCACTTAAACCTGAGAAAATGAGTTGATTGGTTGAGGTATTTCTCAATAGTTCACAAAACCTGTGGTCGTAAAGATGCAATAGAAAATAGTACTAATTGCTTCAGTTCTAAACTATCATTAGTAAACTACCACCATAAACAACGTGGGTATGGGAGGACCCTTTCTCCTAACAGTTTGGCTTCCCTTTTTGCATCTCTAACACATATTTGCATGTCAGGTAAAAACACAAGTTGTTATCTTTAACCCTCGAAGACAGCTGTCCATCTGAAAAGTTCCAGTCCAGACTGTGTCCATTTTAGGAAACGTTTACTAAAAATAACAACTCCTTAACCTTTCTTGTAGATTGTTGGCAGCAGGATGCCCACAAAAGACCATCTTTTCAGGGAATTCTTGAAGATCTTGAAGAAATTTCTGATTCTTCATTTGCGCAAGATGATCAAGGTTCCTTCCGCACTTTACAGGATGGCTGGCAAACAGAAATTGAACAGATATTTGACGAGCTTCGGAAGAAGGAAAAGGTACTTAATCATGATTTTATAAATTTAATTAAATCTTCCTATAAAAAATTATCATCAGGTTGTTAGGAAATTGATGTTTTCACTAGAGATGCAAGCATAATGCGGGGACAAGCAAATGGCGAAGGAATTTCAAGTTCAAGAAAAGCAAAAAAAATGATTCTTGAGCTTATTCTTGCATCTTGGCCATTTGCCCTTGGAGAAATATTTTGAATAAATAATAAGGCTTGTTATTAATGTAAGCTAGTGCTTGCATGGTTAGCGAAAACCAGGCAAAAAGTAAATATTGTGCAAGTTCACATTAAGCTTTTTTTCTTATTAGCCTTCCCTGTATATTTATTTATTGCTGTAGCTAAAAGAATTTGATCTAGATGCCGTTTGATATTTACTGTCCTCAGAATGAATATTATTTCCTAAATTTGTTTGCACCTAAGGGATGTACCCATGCATATTAATTACCATTAATGTTATTCTGTACTAGATACTTTCACATGTAGATTTGTGAAAAAGTAATAGTTTAGTAAACTTTAGGTACATGCACAATTTTGTCATTTACTCAGTATGGGTTTGCATTCTATAAATAAATGTATTTCTTAAATCAGGAGTGTGGACTCAAGCAGAAACAGTATAAAAACTCACATAATAATACAAGAATGACATTTCACTGGTAAACATTTGCATGAAAATAGTTTATGTCTAAGCTAAAAAGGTATAAAAATAAAAATATGACTCTGCATACGAAACTTGTACCATTAAGGCTATTCTTTCTGATAAGAGCAAAATGTACAGAATTGTCTTTAATATTTTTAATTTTTTAATTTTTCTCAGAATGATCACAAGGCAGTGCTCTAGCAGTACCCAATCAGCCCTGGTGCTTAACTTTTGCTCCTGGGCAACTAGAAAATTCTGTTTTTTTTCATAAAAATAATTTGATAGGTACCCTGGATTTCATAACATGTTTTCTGTTAGAGCACAGCCTAGTGTTGTCAGGCAGGCATTTGTTTTAGTGTATGCTTCAACATTTGTATTGCATACGGATTGCATAACTTTTGTGGCCTTGCATTAGCATTTTGTACTTTAAATGCATCATTTTCTTTGGCTTAATTCTCATAGGCAATAGCTCTGAATAAATGAACATGCATAAATTTCTACATTTTTTGTACATTTATTTTGCCATTTTTTTTTAGGAATTGTCATCCCGAGAGGATGAACTCAGACAAATAAAAGAGGCCCAAGATGTTCATGCCGAGAGCTTGAAAAAAAGGGAAGAAGAACTCGCTCAAAGGGAAATGCTTCTTCTTGGTCGAGAGATTAGCATGCTTATATATGTATGATTATTTATTTATTTATATTAATACTCTCTGAGGATGTCAAAACTGCTAACTCTTTCACTCATGAAAAGACTAATTTCATGTCATGAAATATTCATTTGATTCACTGACTGACTATTTGACATTGCATCCATTGTGTTGGTGTCCCAAACTAATGCTGTTAAATTTCAACCTTTTCCTCATGGACAAATTTTCTTTTTTTCCAATAAATTTGCATAGCTGGTGGTCATGTGAGTGAAGAGGCTCCTTAGGTTTTTATCCAGACTCAAAAAGTTAGAACCTGAAAATACAGCATAATAAATAGTACTATTCACTGAAAATTCTACCACGTACTTTAAAGTTGCAACAATTCTATGACATGTCATCATACTTTGCTCAAATGATGGATTTTTTTGTCCAAAGATGAGTTTTGAGTGTGTTCATGAAAATAGTATTGAGATTTATCTTCTTGTTCAAATGGATTTTCTATAACTTGTGTTAATTGTATTCTTTTATATTGCTTTTCAGCAACAAAAGCTTCAGAAACCATCCCCCAAGAAGCGCAAAGGACACTTCTTCAAACTTAGGTTTGGAAGTGGGCGAAAGATCAGTGCTCCTACAGGTATGCATCAAACTTTACTTTCTTGGAAATAAAATTTCCATCTTACTTTTGAACCGTTGTTAGAAGAAATGATTAGATCAAAGGAGAGTGATGTTTTTTAACTCAGGAAAAATCTGAGTTCTCCCAGCAGGACTCGAACCTGTGACCTTCAGGTTATAGGTCTAGATGCTCTACCATAAAGCTACACAAGATTTGGCCATTAAACCAGGTTCATGTAAAAAACATCCCGCTTACTGCTATGATTGAAATGTTGATAGGTGACATATTTGTTGTGATATGAATAGTGATATGGTGAATGAGTTAAAAATTATCTTTTCTTTCTTTCTCAGTCAGTGGCACAGGCAACTGTGAATGAAAGAAATATTGAAAATGTATTTTGGTCTTTGCTAGGGTTCCAGCACAGATTTACTATCACATCAGACATCTTTGATTCCAACACATCTCTTGATGGAACAACAAGTGTTGGGCCCCCATCATCCCCTGCTGTTCATCAAAGATTCAGACTTCTCTCATGTAAGCATACTTGAATCATATTATTTTAGCCTTCATAACAAAAGTGATTTATGCTGGTATAAACTTGACTCTTGAGGTCCCAAGGGTGACCAACATCAGTTTTCTCCCAACGTTTTCAATACAAAACCAAGAAAAAAGGTTATGACAATTTATGAAATAATCACCAAAGGGAAAGTGCATTGATCTTGTATCATATTCTCTCAACTTATTCTGTGAGAAAATGTATGGAAATCAGTTAGGAGAATTTGTATGCTAATATTTAGCAATCAATGAATGAGGCTGAGTAGGATATGAAGAATTAAGCAGATGAAGGAGGGTGTTATCCACAGAGGCAGAAGGCTGCTGTAGTTCTTACTCTTGAAACGAGTTAAGTGTCCGCCATTTTAGTTTTCGCAACGAAAACAACTCAATCTCATCCCCAGGTCTTCTTGGTTAACGGTGCATTAACCTGTAGAAGGCTGCATTTTTGACGTCATTTCCTCGTTAAACACAAAATTCTTCCAAATTTGGTCATCAGTAACTGGTTATGGTGAATTATGCGCGTGCTTTTAGCCAATCAGAATTGGGGAAATATTTTGAATGAATAATAACAGGGCTTAAAGGGTGGTGTCACGAAATGTTCCCTGCTGGTAGAGGTCACCTCTGCTAGTAAGGAACGCTAAGCGTGGCTTTTCTGAGGCTACCTGCAGCAGTTAACGACCGTAGACGACCTTGTGTTGATTGTTGTTGAACTTAGTGTTACTCTTAATTCTTTTCAGTTGATGGCAATGGTGAAGTACCAGAGGGGGTCCCCATTAGCCCTCCGGAGAAAAACAAGAAAATTCGGACCTGGGGTCCTAGTTCCGTTCACCAGCGAGACAGAGAAAAGAGTAGACCGCGAGTCAAGGCAAAGGATCGCTTTATGGCTGAAAGGTGCAACTCGGTGCCAAATTTGGGAACACAGGTTATCCAACCTCCAGGTAATACTGTTGTTTAACGTCAGCACTATGAAATAAATTGAAGTAGGTTGGGGGGTGGGGGTGGGGGTGGGGGAGAGGGGCAGAGAGTCATATAGACCATAGAAGGATTAGGGTTTGTTAGCACGAGGACAACACGATTTGCACTTGAAAAGCAGAAAAGAAGGTTTGTCACCTGCAGCTTCGTTTCTATTCAAAGGCCAGGGCACTGAGCACACAATTGTATAATGGCCTATAGGTCTAGGGCACAGTCCTTCCCGTTCAAGAGTGGATTACCCTCCCACCCCCTTTCTTACGGCCTTGAACGGTGAAAGGAGAACCAGGTCATTTTACAGTGGCGTCTTCCTGTCTTTTGGAAGTGGTACACTAGAGTTAGTTCAAATTTGGGACTTACAGAGTTGGTGCCTTTTCCAACCGTCATAAGAAGCAACTTTCCTGGCAGAGAATTTCTGAGAAGGGTCTTTAATCTTTATATTGAACATTCGATTGGAGTAGAATTCCAACGACACTTTGTAGCCTGTGTGGCAGGCGTTCAAAGGAGAAATAGAAGGTGGAATTCGGGCGCGCAAGGTCAGGACTTACTTACGGACCCGTCCCCCAAGATAAAATAGGGAGCTTAAGATGAGAGGATGTCGATGGCAGTGAAAACGTCGCTTAAAAAGTGAATTCAAGTTTTAAAATCTTATCGGGGTTATACCAATGTACCTACTTTGCCAATTGTAAGCAAACTCCGTCAATGTTGAATTCCTAAGAACCATATCCAAGTCCATAAAGAACAAGAAAATTTCGTCGTCGCTTGTTGACGTCCTCCATAAAATGTGAAGTTAGGCATTTTCACGTTGTAGTTGTTTAGTGAGGACAAAGAACTGTCCAAAAAAGCGTAATGAACATGCAAAGTTGTTTTGCTCATTAACAACCTATTGCTTTTTTGACGTTCTCGTGGCCATCGCTGTCGTCGCATCTTAAGGTCCTTATAGCAAAGTTCCAAGTTGAATATTTTATGTTTAGACTGTTTAGGAAAACGTCTGCTGACGGCCACCTCGTTACAGCGGCCTCTTTCCTCTGTCCCCTCTGTGTCGATGTTTTGACTGTATTGCTTTATCCGGTTTTGTAAGATACAATTTTCTGTCCATTTAGGTGTCTCAGGTAAACACACAACTTCCGAAAACAGTGCTGTGACTAGTCCTAAGACTTCGACAAAAGGGAAGTGTAAGCACCGCTGCGAGGCAGCTGTTTGTAGTGTAGGCATCATGGCGGCCGTTGTAGCTTTAGGGGCAGACTTGGGTAAGTGTGCGAAGGATTTACGACCGGAACTGATGAGGTTATCGTCAAAATCAGACAAGCATAAATCGCCAAATTCACGACGTCGAAACGAAGTCGGCGGAAATCGTCGATCGTGGTTCGGTAGTTCATTTTCAACTGATGATTCGGTGTTCAGCGCTAACCACGCCCCATCCACGACAAGTCCTCGGGCCGATCAGGACATTACTGGCTTTGGCCCGAATAAGCGGCCTTTGTCGACTCCAGTTCTATTGAAGGCGACTTTCTATCGCGGAGAGAGTCAACGGCCGACCACATTCGTGGAGCCGAACTGTAACCGACGTCGATCTTCGTCGACTTTGAGTCCGGACTCACCCGATCCCCTAGATCAAGAACTCATCGACTTAAGATCTGAAAGGCGCGATCGGAGAGCAAGATCGGTGGACTCTTCGGAGCTCCACAGAATCAACATTTCCACCGACAGTTTAACGAGCTCGTCGGATAACTTGTCGACAAATACGGTGGTGAACTGTAATCGTTATTCACAAGGTCTTACAGACCTGGACATTTATAAACTGCCTCCCCCACCTTTCTCTCCACGGGGGGCAAGCTCCCCGCGGGGGACAAGTTCTCCCAGGCCGGACTGTAATGCCATGGAACTTTCACCAACGAAGTTTAACTTTCCTGTCGGTGAACCTATTGGGGCGGCTCGCCCTCGTCCAAGACCCTGGCAGGACAGCTTAAGTCCTTCGCCGTCATCTTCGGATCAAAGTCCGACCAGCGAACAAGATAAATTGACTCTTTTGGACGTTCACATGGAAGGGGAGTCACACGACAAGACACAGCCGCTGCTTAAAGCGGAAACGGTGTTAAAAATGCCGACGTTTGAGGAACTTCAGAAAGAATTTGTTGGTAGCTGATCTCTCTTTTGTCAGCAGATTTCGTCGGGTGTTGCTGTATTTTTTTTTTTAATTTTGTAATTTCCTAGATGAAACTCTTCGGTGTCACATTCAAATGCGAGCTGCTGAGCAGTATTTTCCTGTGGTGACGTTTGTTTTTCAGAATTTGACAAAATATGATTGGCGATCTTATGTTTTTAAAAAAGAAAAACGTTTTGTTCCTGTCCTTTCCTTTGAAGAGACAGATTTGAATTTAATTTGGATATTTTCGTCCAGAAAGTTGATTTTGTTAAAATGCTGAATAATACACGGCACCATGTGAAAGCAATGTTAAACGTAATTCATTTGAATAAATACACTAAGGTTTCATTGACATATTCATCTGAGCGCCTGAAAAGCTTGGTCCCTCATTCGAATCCGGGAAAAACAAGAACCGTTATTGGAATTTTCGTAATCGAGGTTTATAGTCTTTTTCAACGATCATGACGTAGCCCATGTGCACCTCTATCGACAATTTCTGTCTGCATTGTCGTATTGGTTATTATTATAATTATTTTTTTCGTTACATTATGAAATAGGTATTACGATGTTTGGCGTGAGACTGGGTCCGTGTTGTGCCGAAGTGTACTTTGGGCCTGTTGGGGAAGCTATCGCTTCTTGGATAAGCTGTTACAAAGTTGCCCAAGAAACTGGATCAAAATTAGCCCCCTTAACAGTCCCATGGTGCAATTCGTCCCTAAAACAGTACCATGATGCAAGTCGTTGCCCCAAAACAGTCCCAATATGCCAGTCGTCCCCCAAAACAGTCCCTTGGTGCAATTTGTTGCCCTAAACAGTCCCACGGTGCAATTCATTGCCCTAAACAGACCCATGGTGCAATTCATCGCTTTTAACAGTCCCATGGTACATGGTCTCATCGTCACCTTAAACAGTGCCATGGTGCAAATCGTCGCCCTAAACAGTCCCATGATGCAATTCGTTGCCCTGAACAGTCCCATAGTGCGATTCGTCGCCCTTAACAGTCCCACAGTGCAGTTCGTCCCCCTAAACAGTCCCATGATGCAATTCGACACAACACTGACCCAGTTTCACGCGGACACTCAAAATGACCAATATCCAGTGAAAGCGGTGTTTGTTTTTCCTGCTATGACGCTAGCATGCATTGCAGTGTATGTTTAGTTGAACGGGGCGCTTTTTGGGTGACTCGAACGGCATGCCGTGAAAATGTATTTTCATTACGAATGGAAACGCTGGACGTTTAAGAAACCTTACAGTTGTTTTTTTCAACGTAGTAGTGTTTCGAGGTTGAATTTAAGTTGTTGTTTTGCGGTGTTTCTCTCGAGTGGAGATGGCATAGAGATTTAGGGTCTGCTGTTGAGGTTAAGTGTATTGTCGACTACTTTCGAAGTTTTTTTGAAAACGCACCTCAGTGATTGCTAATAAGCGTAATTTTGCTTTTCCCCATTTTTAATACTATAGGAAGAAGTAGTCTTTTACTCATTGGCATGACATGGTTACATGATAAGAACAGTTGCTTGGTAAATGACAATACTGACGTTCTGTTGGTAATTATTTGAATACATTTCGTTCTCATTTTGAGCAAAACTCGTATAACCACCATACTGACTAGTATTATTATTATCACGGTCTTAAACATCTTATCACGTGGCCACTCTTCAGGATTTCACTCACAGATCTGTATAACATGACAAATAACGTATTGTTCGTTAGCTTCCATTTTTATGGTCACACTTGAGATTTCGCTTATTAATCAGCTCAAAGTCTAATTAGCCAGTTGCACAACCAGCGCCGAGAAGTTCAACCTAGTAAATCAGAATTAACAACACGCGGTAAACTGATTCTCCACAATTTAATATTTTCATCCACAGACTCGAGGTTATTACCATCCCAAAATTCTAGGTTTATAATTGACCCCGACAATTCACAATTGATAGCATCAACATTTTCAGTAACTTTTCATCCTTTTTTAGTTTGCATTTCATGCAAAATTTTTAAAGATAGAGGATACAAAGAATTCAGTTAATGTTGTTTAATTTCTACTTTTTTGACCCCTTAAAATAACGTGTAAGACATTCTCATGTAGTTTAACACGTTCGGGGCAAACGCAGTGGCAAGTTTACTTTGCATACAAGACTTTGACTGTTCCGTTTGGAATATCAAGCGAATGTGACACACGCGACAAACAGCGGCGTCGCCAAAGAACGCAATTGTCATTCTGTCCACTCGAGTCCGTTTAAAAACGCACACGTCTACTTCTACGTCCAAACCGGGACGATATTTATCCGTTTATGAACTTATGCGCCATGGAGACCGTTCTACCTCGCCCCTAAGTGCGTATGGAAACATGGGAAGGTTTTTGGTTAACGCAAAGGACCATGGGAAGGGTCAGTCGACAAAATAAAGAGTCGCCTCTTCGCTCTTCTTCAAGGTGTCTTGCGCGTTTCGAAAATTCGTTCCCAAGATTCCCCTTTGATTCACAGTGCTGCTGGGTACAAGAGACCGTTTGCAATTACCTATTAACGGCGATGTTTATTGACATTGTTAAGGTGTGGAGTTAAGTGGAAATCGTATAGGTGTGTGTGCGGGTACAATCTTAGACGAACTCGCGTGGACATGGCGTTCAATTGTGATAAGAGACTTCCAGAGATAAAATACTTCACAATCTGTTGTATATTTTGTTAATTGCGCTATGTATAATTCATGAAGCTTGGTTTCTCCCGGTGAGAAATTTGTGAGGAAGTTATGAAAATTTTATTTGTATCGAAACAGACGTTTTTTAAAGTATTTGGAGCAAAGGCTTCAGTCTCTTTCAGAAGGAAGAGAGGTGAATGATGATTAGTTGTGAAATGCCAAAACAAATAGACAAATAATATATAAATATATTTAGCACCAGAGGGATTCTAACATCCTTTGGACATTTATTAAAGAAATGAGAAAGAATTTGTTAGATATGGTGTTTTGAATCTTTTCGAAAGAGTCCTGATTAGGAACGTCCTATTACTTCACAGGGGTTTAAATTTTTTGCGTTAATAGTGAGAAAAGAAGGTGCACAGTAGTGAAATGTCCCTAATTTTCAAACGCTGGCCGTTACAGAGGCGTTGTTTCTATTACCATTCCTATTATTTGTGATTTGATCACTCTACCGCTTGTCATAAATTATGCGTTGTTGGGGTGAGCTAAAAAGCTTAAGAGCTCGAAGCGTTGTTGAGGTCAGTGCGTACTAGTCATGCGTGCAATTTTCATAATATGTGGAAGTGAAAGCCAGCCAGGCCTGCAACTAGTTGCAAAGCTGGCTGCGCCCCTGGCGGCCATAGACCTCTTTCATAATGGCGGTCCATTAATATATTCTGTATTAAGTATGATAATTAGCCTTTGTGACCTCGATATTTTACACATGCTAACGAGGTCGGAAAGGCTAATCATCATACATATTTAACAATTATTCCTCGAACCCAGAGCCCGAATGGGCTCCGAGTCAATTTCGGCCTCATGGGTCATTGATTTAGAGGCCATGAGGGCGAGAGGAATAATTGTTTTAGTAAAATCCAACTAGTTGGTCAAAAATATCGAGACAAAACAATTTTAGCTAGCAAAACGCGATTCAGCCGCCATTGTTTTGGTTTTCAAAGCCGGCGCTTTTCGCTACCGGTAGGCTATAACATATAGCCTAGTAGTAGCTCAACCAATCAGAATGCAGCATTGATAATAGACCACTAGTTGGATTTTACTAAAAAAGAATATGTTAATAGGCCGCCATTATGTTGGTGTCCTTCCAAACCAGTCCTGTGGGAGTTGAACGTGTTTCTTATGTAAAAACTTTCTCATAATCCAATAAACTTTGCATAACTGCTGGTCAGGTGAGTGAAACTCTCTATAGGAAAATTCTTACCTTAGCTTTATCAGACGAGAGCAGTGTTATGTTGACATCAAAGTTGTCATAGGAACTAAATGACGTCATTACCTATTTTTCTAACAGGGGACAGCTACCTCTATGCTGCCTCAAAGTCTGAGCAAAGTCTTGTCTTTTGAAAGTTTAAAGGACTTCTGTGGTCTATAGAGAGGAGAAGTCGTTACGTCACGTTGCCATGGTAGCAAAAACTTTGGACGACAACAAACCGAAAAAGTCGCTTAAAAGTCTATTCACACCAGCCTAGTCCCTAGGCGTTCTCTCTTGCCCCGTTGTCCGCGCGAAGTCTGGGAAAGAGCGAGCGAGGCAGTTCCCGCCGCCGTGTCTCTCTCGGTGACGTCACAGCTCACGGTAGAGTCCAGGATTGACCGAGCCGAGAACGCCTAGGGACTAGGCTGTATTCACACTATTTTAAACTTCACCGATCTGATTAAATTTCATTTAATTTGTCAAATCTTTGCGAAATTTTCTTCCGGACCGTATCTATCGTTATCTAAGTTAAGAAAAAGAAAGCTACAAGTTTTGTATGAGTCCACCTACTCCTTAAAGCGGGCTCTTGAAATTAGGAAGTTTCATGTCGTAGTGGTGCAGCCACGGTAAAGAAATGTACAAAATAGCGTGATGCACGCGCAATGTTGTTGATTGTTAATATAAACATATTTTTTGCCGTTCTACTTGCCGTCGCCGTCGTGGTTGGTTTTGTTGTCATCTAGAAATAGTGCTACCATGGTAACGTGACGTCTGTACTGTCGCAATTTGTAATAATTATCGCACTTTGTAATACCTGTCGCAATTTGTAATAAATCCATCGCACTTTGTAATACCTGTCGCAATTTGTAATAAACCGTGTCGCACTTTTTAATAAAAAAGCTGTCGCAATTTGTAATAACAGTCCATCGCACTTTGTAATAAACTAAGCTGTCGCAATTTGTAATAATTCCATCGCACTTTGTAATAATGTTTTGAGAGTGATTCAACTTACTTCGTCAACATTAATACAATGCCAAAATATGCATGGTACTTCATAAACAAAGATGATGGCGTCTGCTAGCACGTAACATCCTGGGGCACCCAACGGGACATTTTGAGAAAA